ATGATTCTCCATATAAAGCATGAAATTGTCTGAATATGCAAATGAATCTCTTCTCTTCACCTGCTGAGACTTGCTGCAATGGTTGTAATTTGGGGAAGCTGAACCCATCCCAAGCAGTTTTGACTTGCCTGAGGCACTTGGGAATTAAACGCTTATTTTCAACGGCCATTTCCTTCCTTAGTATGAGCAGCACAATGTTGCAAGATATACTGGTATAGAGTGTGGTCTGCACTTGACTGATTGGAAGGCTGTGTAGGGTTCCCATTTAGAGTCTGTTAGATTGATGGTTACGTGCCTTAAATTGAAACCTGAAATGCTTAAAGGGATTAACTAGCCCACAATTGTACGTTTTTTTTAAAAAAATGAAGAAACGGTATGAGATTGAGGTGCATTGTGTACAAGATTGACTTATGAATCATATTAAAAAAAAACTTTGAAAATGTCACATCTTTTAATCTTTGGTAATAATCCTTGAATCTCAAATCTTCCACTGCCTGCCAAGTAATAATGGCAAATAGAGGTAATGCAAATGAATAAATGTTAATCTGTTTACTGTGTCAGGGTAACCATTTTGAACGTGGCGATTTGAGGGGAGTGCTGAGGGGGGTTTGGTTCAGTTGCAGTCTGGCTCCTAATTCCCAAGTTGCGACTTGTGAAGGTTAAAGTGTAGCTAATCCACACACCTATTCAAAGGGTTCTGGGAAGTTAAGGTTACATAACGGAGGCTTATTTGTGCAAGTGTTTTTTCCAAAAAGTTGCATTTTGAAGAAAATGTTTATCTAAATTGGACTTCCAATTCCTACTTTCATTTGTGTCGATACGAATTGAATGAATTAGGTTAGTTTTTGATACATCTCGGATGGCAAGGCTCAAGAGAATTGTGCAAAGGAATTTTAAGTCTCACAGGGCTGCCCTGCGCTAACCAGGTCTGGCTAGTTTATGAATTTGCCTGCATTCAAACTGGTTTTGGTTATAAGATGATCCGACTGAAATTGGTTCAGCGATTGATTTACTCTGCCAGAATGTGAGCTCAGAGATGCCTGTTAATTAACTCTTGTTGTATTTGGGCGTTGTTAACCTATTTTGGATTGGTTACTGGAGGGACACCGGAATATTGCTTCCTACGAGGCTAAAGCAGCCAAACAATTTGCATGATGTTGCTGATCTTTCTTTGGATTTCCTTTACCTTTCTTTCTAAAATCAAAGCATCAAGGAATTAACTTCTTGGTGTACGATGGTTCCTTTGTGAAATGGAGAATGAGTTTGCTGTGACATGTGTTTAAGGTGTATTGGTATTCCAGCGTTGTTGTGGTGGAAGAAAGGCTTGTGACTGCAGGTTCCGCTTTTGATCACTTGGCTGTTAAGGCACTGAGCCAGAGTAATGTGCTTCCCCACAGGAAAGGAAATCCGGTTTTGTCCTCTTGAGCAAGAGCAACCTGGCTGGAGAACGACAGCTGGTGATTTTAGAGGGTGACTATTGTATAACCTGGGGAAACTTAAGAGAAAGGAAAGATTTTCTGTTGGCTGGCAGAATGTATTACAATGATAATCCTTGCACTTGATATAGCGCCTTTCAAGTTGGGAGGATGCCTCAAGGCATTTTTACTATGACTGTATTTGGTAGATGGACTATTGATGCAGTATTTTGATTGTCTATTAAAATGAAATCTCTCTGACTTCAAATTGCGCCTTGAAATTACTAGAGTTGCTGCGGAGGCAGGTCTTGGGGACTGGAAAGTAAATGAGAATTTTTTGCTGGTAATGAAATATATCTTTAGAAATTTGAACAAAGTACAACTCTTGTCCCTGTAGATGAATGGATTAAAAAGGGAGTTACACAACAATGCAAATTGTTTCATAAGCTGAACAACTACCACAATTCTAGACGTTCCCAGGTTTTTGAAAATTATGCTTGCATTCTATATTCATAGTGTGGCAAAATATAAAAATGGCTTCTGCAGCATACGTCTGAAATGTCCGAGGGAAGGAGAGATAATGGCATCCATACCTGAAATGTAAATTCAGGCATATTTTAATCTTTAACTCAAGGTCTGCAAAAAATGTGGCTCTATTTGAGGATCCAAGGGAGGGGTGTGAATCCTCCTGAAACTGAGCCATGTTGTGTAGGAATTCCTGACTGCACCCTTTGGTGAGATTGAAATGAGGTGCATAAAAATTGCTGATGGATAATGTATTATCCTTAAGAACCCAGCTGAACAAATGTTCAGAGTAATCTTACTTAATTGATACCCTTCCAGACCCTCTGTCTTATCACCTACCATAAGTTTTAAAATAGTAACAGTTGGGGTGGAAGGCATTTTGCCATGAGTTGTAGGAGGTTGAGAAGCCACTTGAAATGTATCTTGTGGGTGATGTTAACTTATTTTCTTAAGAAATTAGTGACCAAACTCTTCTGATTCCACAAAGTACCAGGGATCACATATTCACTTGGTTCTCTCCTTTGATTCTCTTTATCGGGTTTATGGTTACTGCTTGCAGAGAGGAGGGGTTTAATACCGGGGCTACCAGCTATCCTACAGAAAGTAATGAGACAGGAAGCCATTGCTTCTTACTAATAATAGAATTATTGTCTCGGCAGGCTTCAGTGGGATTACAGTACAGTGAAATGAGGAAATAGGTCTGGACTATTGGATTACTTTTAATTCTGCCAGTTAGTACTGAGTCATACAACCTCCTCTACTAGCTCTGAGTTGCCGAATCTAGTGCTCAACGCTTTGGGTTTTTATTTTGTTGACCAACTAGTAAATGAGTTGTATGTTAAAATATGGGAGGCTATATTGTATCTCGTTTCCCTTTGAGAATTTATCCATTACAATCATGGTCTTTTGTCCTTTTACTGAATTCTATTTATATAGAGCAGTACTTGTAACTTACCAGCATCCTGTTCTATGCTGGTAAGAGGCAATCTAGGAAGCAAGACATTTTGTGTGGCAAATCCTCCCTCTGACATCATTATTGCGGTCTGTGCACTGAGAATTATTTAGTGCCTTTATGATGCCCGTGGCTCGTGTCTGTTGAATGCAGGACAAAAAAAAACTTTCTGAGGCTCGCAAAGTTGGAAGGATTTACAATTTACAGAATTGAGAATGTGGGTAATCTCCAGAAAGCCATATAAGCAGAATCAACTGAGTTTAAAAGGGAGATATACAGTCCTTGGATATGAAATTAAGACATGCTGCACATTCATAGTGTCTGGTGCAGGTGTTTCTACATGTTAAGTTCTAATGTTATGTGCTGCTGACCCCAAGTGGTAATTAAGGGCATTACTTTGCAGGAATATTACCCCCTTAAAAGTATTCAATTTGCTTCAACCAAATTCAGCCAGAAGGCTGCTTTAATCCTAAAAAACAGTTATGAATTTATTCTGGACTATGCTGCTGTAATCTCCTCCCGAGGTGGAATGTATTCTCTCAATTACTTGTTGCTTGAAAGAAATAATTCGCCTAAGCAGAGAGAAATTTGCGGTGCCAGATTTTTGCAGTGGAACCTTTAAACATTCAAAAAGTGTAATTCAGTATTTCCATGGAGTTAAGTTGATCACCTGTTTTGTTTCTTATTTCTTTTTTCCCTATGGTTACTTTAGAGCATGGAATATTGCCACATTCGAATATTTTTGGGGAATGGACTAGCTGCTACCTTTGGCAGAGATCCCACTGAATGGTTAAATCTTACCGAACTATCCATGTTGAAGTGGAGGAAAGGACAATCCATTGGTGCATGACTTGATCTAAAGTGCTCAAAATCTATCACTCAAAAGTTGGTACTGATTCTTGTTTTATTTTCTGCTTGAAGGCAGCAGGTCTTTATATAAAGCTCTCTCTGGTGATAAGCGAAATAATCAGGGGGACGTGGTTCAAATATCTGCACAACTGCTGGCCATCTAAGACCAGGAGCAATCAATCACTTTTACAGGAAATTCAGCAATGAAATGACTTGTTTGCATCGCCTGGTGTCTGGCTAAGTGATATATTAGAGACATGAAACTGGGTCTCCAGATTGTCCCTCAGGCAAGGATGTTGCAGGAAACTAAAAATGTCAAAATGTAAAGAGCCTACAAGAAGTTTCAGCCTGCATTTTTGAGGAAAGTTATGGGAGTGCCTGTCTGAATAACTAGTGCATCCCATCTCCATTTCTTTAGTAAATTCTTACAGCCATCCTATGGTTTTGAAGGGGTCTGCACGACGATAAAGAGTAGGGGTATGTTCAAACTCACTGCCTTGTTCTTGCATTTAGTTTTATGCAGACTAGCATTCCGTAAATCAGATTTGTGTGTTCTTGTTGAGATTTAGTAAAAGCGGAGCAGTTTTGCTCGTTGAAGGTTAGGTGTCTGTTGGTGCTTCAGTCACAGGGTGTGGCTGTAGACACAGGGTGTGGCATTCTTGCAGTTTTGTAACAAGCACCCAAGTGTGCTGATGCATCTCAAACATGCCGCTAATAAACCAGAGGTGCTGTTAAAATTCCACAAGAGAAGATCACACTGTAAAGTGCCCAAAAGCCACACCTAACTTGATTCGGGCTATGCTTTTTAAAGTACCATTTTTACCAAACTTTTGGCCGGTTCCTGTCTGCCTCCCATGAAAACGAAATGTCAATGTGATTTGAAAATTGCCCCCTTTTGTGTGTTTTGAGGGAAGGGAATATGTTTTTGTGAAAATGAGAGCTTGGATAAAATGAATGCACCTGAATTAGCTGTGTTTGCTTATCAACTGATTTCTAACAGGACTTGTGGAGTGTTTTTTTGGTTTACCTTAGGATTGGGATCTTAGGAGCATTGATGCAAACTCTCTGGGATTTTGTATTACCATGATTGAATGGCGGGGCAGGCTCGAAGGGCCGAATGGCCTACTCCTGCTCCTACATGTTATGTTATTCCTGTGAAATGTTAACCTTCTTGTGCTTTTCCAGCAGCCATGGTTCGTCTCGGTTTGTTTTTAAAGCAATCAGTATTGTGCTGATTATCTTTCTTTCGTATCCAACAGAAATGGTGGAATCAATGAAAAAAGTAGCTGGTATGGATGTGGAGTTGACTGTTGAGGAAAGGAATTTGCTGTCTGTGGCCTACAAAAACGTGATCGGAGCACGGAGAGCGTCCTGGAGGATAATCAGCAGTATTGAGCAGAAGGAGGAAAACAAGGGTGGCGAGGACAAACTAAAAATGATTCGTGAATACAGGCAAACGGTAAGACTGTAGGAATGTAACACCGGTCCTGGGTACTACTCTGTGGTTAGTGCATGTAGTTACATATGTACTTGGAACTGCAGGTTACCTAATGTGATTGAACATCCCATTATTGCAGTCTATGGTGTTGATGCAAACTTTATAATCCTCTGGATTTATGTCCATTGGAGAGGATAATGGGTACCCTGAAAATATACAAGGCAATCATTTCTTTTAAAGGAGGTTAAGGTGAAACAAGATGAAAATGTAACACGTTTTTTTGTTTTAAAAGTACCCATGAATCTAGAGGTTGTGTTTTGCCTTAAAGTGGTTGAAACAAATCAATTTCTAATGCTTTCCCTTTCTACAGAGTGATCCAACATGCTGAATTGTAATAGAAAGGGTTTCACTAATTTTTATGTTGAATTTTACTTTGCTTTGCTAAAGCAATTACAGGCAATTGAACTCCAGACGGTGGTGCTGTATGACTTGTGCTTGTGGATGTTTTGGATCACTTCCTACATTGCATGGTATTTTGTTTAGGATTAAAGTATGTAGAAATGATTCATAATTCAGGATATTGAATAATGAGATACTGAGTTATGGAGCTGTTAGTGGCAAAACTAGACCAGCACTGAGAATCAAATCTCATGCCTGGTTCCCTGGAGGCTCAGTAAAATGCATTGTCTGCGGTGGCATTTGAGACGCATGGACCAGAGAGGTTTCTGATCCAATTCCTCATCTGTGATTTAGCTGACGTGAACCATAGCAGAAATGAAACTCTAATTGGGTTCATGACCACTAGAATGTGGTGGACCGCAACAGACTGAGGCTAGAGCATGAAGAATTGCCACTTGGCGAAAGTATGCTCACGGGTACCAAGTGTAACTCTGAACATGGATTCACTGGTGGGGTTGGAGTTTAGAAGGGAGAATTATGATCCCCTAGTTTGGTTTTGCAGGATCATAACTTGCTACAGGAGGCTGTCTAGTACTAAGCAAGTTGCTCCATCGGGTGGTTTTCTTTTGGGAAGTGATTTGTGTTGTCATCAGACTGGTAGAACATGAAGACCTTTATCACATGTTTACCCTTCAAGTATTTTCTAAAAGTGTTCAAAATGAAAAATATAACTTGATCCTGGAGGAAGTTGATATTTTACACAAAAATCAAGCCCAGTGTCGAGGTTTAATTTTCAACCAATGTTGAGGTTAGGTTTATCACACTCATCTGCTGCAGTTTAGGGAGTTTTGTGTCTACCACTTTTGAGCAGAGAATTAGCAGTTCCCCTCAGAGCTGTCGATGCTTGTCAGAGAATCTATTCAGTGCTGCTGTTATGCTATCTTGGCATCGGGAGGCAAGCAACAGGAAATGATTTGATTTGCACTATTTACCAGTTTAATCTTCCTTCTACCTTCACTGCAGTTCACAAAAATAACTCTTTTCTTGAGGATGATGTAGCGGGTGTGGTTCTGTGCCAGTAAATACAATTTTTCTATTGTTGAGAGCATGCACGGTTCAGTTATAAAAGCATACAAATAGGAGGAGGACATTCAGCTCCACAAGCCTGTTCCGCCATTCTGTAGGATCATGGCTGATCTGTACCTCAACTCCAATTACCCGCCCTTCGTAAAATCTTTAGCTAGTAAAATCACAATACTGTACACTTGCAATATGTAATGTAAGTCAGGGTTGAGCAGGCGTGATTTGCAGTGAGTGTAGTCTAAATGTAGGCAGCCCCAATCAATTCAAATTCCATGCTGATGCAGGGTTCTCTAAAAAGAGCAGCCCAGGAACTTGTTCTTTGGTAATCTAACAAAAAAAAGGTTGTCTTGCTGTCACGCCCATTGATTGGGAAATGCTTCAGGTTGTAATTGGTTGGGGGGGTGGGGGGAACGGGACACTCTGCTGGGTGGATCCATGTTCACAATAATAATAATAATAATCCTTGCATTTGATGTAGTGCTTTTCACGTCGGGAGGACGTCCCAAAGCGCCTCCCAGAACACACTGTAAAGTGAATTGACTGTATATTTGTGGGCGAATACGGCAGCCAATTGCGCACAGCAATGTCCCACAAACAATCGTAGATTGAAAATGACCAATTTATTATTGTTTTTGGTTTTGAAGGGATTATTATTAGGCTCTGTGTGGAGTAAGGAAACTTGCCCGAGGTTTGGCCCTCTGCCGGGAATTGAACTCAGGTCTCTCACTTGCAAAGCGAGCGCTCTAACCACTGAGCTACAGGACTCCACAATGCAGAAATTGATCTTACGTTTTAAGTGTATTTGGCCGACAGTTTGTAGTATCAATTTGCCCCCACATTGGCAATTGATGTGAGCCAATGTTTGGGCCTACAACTGTTGCTTTGGAAATCTACAGTTCATATTTGGGTGGATTTTATTCCTGAAGATCTCATGTGAAATGTTGGTGATCTCATTGAACTGGTATTTGAGGAACTTGGCCGAAGTTCCAACTTGTGACATCAGTGAAATGCTATTTAGTGGAGAGAAACCATTTGGTGACTGAATTTAAACTCAACTTGTTAATGATTACTTGGCCATGTTTAAAATGTGTTTGATTAGTAATAGAGGTCAGGCATTTATTTCCATCTTTATGTAGAAGTGATAATTCCCTGAAGGGTTGGAATACTGTACATATCTGAGTCATATGTTGTGCTAAACTCAACTGTTTGGGAGTACAGAACTGTCTGCCCCAGGGGTTATATTGAAACAGCAGACAATTTTTTTTTACAAATCTTCTCAGCCCAGTATAATTCCCTTGTGTAGATGGAGATCAGCTACATATGACGTGACTTTCTTTCACTTCCCTCCTGCCTTGCTGAAGGTGAATACATTGGAGTGCACTTTCACATTTGATTACTGATTCCAGGAGCAATCCTTTCTCATGTTGAGAGGCCACTAAAAAACTTACAACACCAAAGCCAAACCCAATCTACTCTGTACTCAACACCCATTTACCCTCAATTACAAGAAGTGAGTCACTGGATAGGGATTGTTGCAAGGATCACTGCATATCTTCCCTTTTTTTAAAAAAAATCAATTCACCACCCTGGAGTTTTCTCCTCAACATCATCTAACTGTTTAAAAGTCATTGTGAACCTTTGAGGTACTAAGCTCTATTTATTTTGGAGCTGCATTAATCTGGATAATAGAGAGGGTCTAATTTAGTGGCATTCATCATAGCATAAGGTGGTCTCATCCAGGCTGTTCTACCCTTATTTAAAATACTGTAGATCTTTTAATGCCACTTCCTGTCCCTTAATACCTTTCATTCCCAAGTATATTTTTAAAGATCCCAATCAATTTTACATTTACAGCCTTCTATTGCAGTATATTCCACATTTTCACAGCCCTCTGTAAAGCTTGTGCTTGCTGTTAATCTATGAAATGTGGTAAGCCTTTGACACCCTGGGTCTTACTGCTACTGCTTTAGTCTATCTCTGAGCAATCTCTTTCTCGGTGTAACGAATGGCCATTGTGTGAAGTAAATGAACTGTCATTTCAGGTTGAGAACGAGCTGAAATCTATTTGTAACGACATTTTGGATGTACTGGATAAACACCTCATTCCTGCTGCCACTGCTGGGGAGTCGAAGGTTTTCTACTATAAAATGTAAGTGTTCACTGTTTCTGCATATGGAGGGGGGAGACTGGGATCAACCAGAATGTATTTTTTTTTCTTTTATTCTATTCGGTTGAGAATCCCGGCAAACTGCTGCCTCCCAATGTTACTTTTTTTGTTGAAGTATTTTGCCTAATTATCTGCTGCTCTTTCTTGCATCACACAAGTTACTCTGCAAATCATTTAGACATATTAATTAAATGGCTATGTCGCAAAGTGGTCAAATACATGCTTGTTTTTCTCAGTGGTTCACTGAATTCTGGGGAGGGTAATATAGTGTAGACAGTGTCTATCCCTTTTTCAAACAGTAACTCCCATACAACTGTAGTGTGTTTGTGAACATCGCTGACTTTCTGTATTCTGATTGTAGGAAAGGCGATTACCACAGGTACCTCGCAGAGTTTGCAACAGGAAACGACAGGAAGGAGGCAGCAGAGAACAGCCTGGTTGCATACAAGGCAGCTAGTGATATTGCAATGACAGAACTTCCGCCGACACACCCCATTCGCTTAGGCCTTGCTTTGAATTTCTCCGTATTCTACTATGAAATTCTCAACTCTCCTGACCGTGCCTGCAGGTGTGTGTGTATGTGTGTGTCGCATATGTGAAAGAGAGTGGCGGGGTAGTCGTTTGATGAGATGTAACAGATTTATGTCTCATTCAAGCTGTTAAATGGTGTGAAGTATTGATATGCCTAACTAGATTTTTTTTAAGACGCTGTGCTAACGTGTTCAGGAATTAAGTGAATCAGCGTGCTAGCTTATTCGAGAGAAATCAGATTTTTTCCACTGTATATAATTGATGGTTCACTATAGTCCCTGGGTCACCTTAAGAGTCCACAACCTTAGAAACTAGTGCAGCAGGAGTATGGAAAACATGAGCGCGGACCGGGACCTGCTGCAATCGTATTGTCTCCCGTTCAAGTTGTTTTTTAATGAAGAAATTGGTGCCGCAGAATAATGCAATAAGCTCAAGTATCTAAATCCATTTCCCTTGTAGATTGGCGAAGGCAGCGTTTGATGATGCAATTGCAGAACTGGACACCTTGAGTGAAGAAAGCTACAAGGACTCTACACTCATTATGCAGTTGTTACGTGACAACCTGACACTATGGACTTCAGATATGCAGGGCGATGGTATGTAACAAAAGCCATTGATTTTTCAGTAATACTTTCACTTGCATTCAGGGAGCACATAGACACATTAGGCCTGGTAGTTAAGGTGTTTACTGCAGAGTGCAACTCTTTATCTGATTGGGGTCATTTGATTTGAAGTGTCCTGGTTCTCCCACCCATCCCCATCCCACTGCCGGTAAAGATCTTAAATTATTTGAGCTGTGTGAGTAACACTGTCCAGCTGAGGGATAAAATGACAAAACTCTTAAAAGAGAAGCTTGAGTACGAATCCGTACAATCCAAATTTGGTGCCCTGTGCTTAGCCACGAGCTCCTGTTTATTCAACTGTGTGTGTTTGGTGGGGGTGCCCTCTTACCATTGCCCGTGAGCACAGAACCCAGAGCAGCACTAGTGGCGTGTGAACTAATTTGGCTCATTGTATAACTGTAAAACACCCATTTCCACTTCACTGACACATTTTGTTTATTTGCCTTTTTTTTTATTTTTATAGCTTAATTTACTCGACTCTTTTTGACCTTGCATTCATTCTTCCTGTTTTCTCCCTTCCCTTCTCCTTCCTGAATAGATTCCTAAAGGATTTGACCCCTTCATTTCCCTTGTAATCTGTCCTTTGTAAGTCATTCAAAACACCAAGCAATTGTTTTGTCTCGTAACGATATCACAATACTTTTATTTTTTTAAAAGAAAGTATTGGCATTTCTGGCTTGCAAGTTGCCATGTAACTGCTGGTTGCCCAGGTGTACAATTATACTGTGAGGCTGTGTGTCAATGTTACTGTGGTAAATCCTGTTATAACTTGCTTTTTTATAACGTTGGTTTGCTTCTAACATGTTTGGGGTGTGGATTGCAACATTTAACAAAAAATCCAAAATGCGCGCATAAATCAGGTTTGCTTCACCATGCCTGCTGGCTTTTCACACACGAAAGGATCATTAGGTTGCTGCTGAAGTCACGTCCTGGGGCTTGCAGATGCTTTTAACATGGACTGACAGCTGGAGGGAAACGGACCACATTTCACCACCGCATAGTTCGTGGTCTGATAGAAATTGATGGATTAAACCTAAACCTGATTAAACCTTTCACAAAGCTGCTTTGAAGAAAAGCAAAAGCACATCCTGCCTTCCTCGCGTTGTGTTGGTTTTTCTGTTCAGGGCCTGTCTGGTTTGCAAGCCAGACATTCTGAATGACAGTGCATCTTCAAAGAGAGTCTGCCATAGTCTGCTTTTGATATCGGTCACATTTCCAAGGTTGCCATCCATACGCCCTATATCGAAAGCCTTTGATCGTTTGTTTTGTACACTGGTTTCTAGTTAATAGAACAGCTCCAAAGACACCCTCTGGCTTCATTGGTAGAGAAGTTTTGTGGTATTTGGCAGGTTCTGTGCAAAGGAAGATTTTTGTTTTGAACAATGGTTCAAAATCCGTTTGTGGGTTTTGTCCATTTATGGTAGTATCGTGACATCTGCTGCCTCTATATACTAACCTCCATGTTACTGATTTGTCACCCACTATTACACACCCTGGACATGACGCTGGAATGGATCTGGGTGTGCTGAGTTAAGGTTTCAACCTTCTTGTGGTGGTCTCATCTAAAGCATGCTCCATGCAAGCAGCCCAGAGAATCCAGTGAATCAGCCTTCATTGGGATTTAGATTGTTTGACTCTTGGTGTATGCAGAGAGGTTGCTCTTTGTGTCCTTAATCCGGGCATCCTCAAGTGAAAGTTTTTTGTTGGTTCTTTGTCTATTTGGATATGTTCCTTTACCGCTCTTAAAGCTATAGTGACTCCTCACTAGTTGTGTCAGGGAGTTTATGTTAATTGGTGCTATGACCACAATTATTAAGGCATGCGCTCACTTGTACATTAGACTTAGGATATGGTACATTGCATGTAGGATAAAACTCCTGTCCTTACTTGCACTCCCAGATCCCAGCCTTGGAAGAGGACTTGTATTACTACACCACATACCAGCCATTTGTTAGGTGTGAGTAAGATACTAAATTATGGCCACTTTAATTGATGCTCCCCTTAATTTCAATTAGCAGAATACTTTCACATCGCAGAAATCCATCTGTATGGGCAGGAATCAGTGGTTCCAAAGATGGAATAATTGTTCATTGGCTACACAAACCTACCCTTGCACAGAGAACCTGTTAAATCAGCTGTACACACATGCCTCTACTCATGAAGCACTCGCTCGGAAATGAGTTAATGGCAAAGCCTTTTGACGCTTAATCAAAAGTGTGATTTAATTGTGGTTTAACATGGTTTTTTTCTTCAGACTCCTGAAGGCCAGCACTGCAGTACCCTTCCTTTATCTAGTTACAAGCCACTTACAGACTATGATCCAAACTGGGCTGAGATGTTGGGGTTGGGGAGGGTGAATAGATTGCGGCACATTAATCAACCTGCCGGAATATAGTGTACAGAGCATTCCCTGCAGCTTTAAGGGAAGGTAGTTCTTAGGAATCTGGCATTCGTGCATGTAGTAATGTGCAACCTCCAGCTAACCTTGAAGTAATTAATGTTTAACACCATTGTGTCAGGAACCATAATCCTTACCTGCTGTCTGGCAGGGTTTGGATTAATATTTGGTGAAATCACTTGTGGGTGTTTGAAGTCTGACCTCTATTCATTTCTCTTCCCTGTAATGTGGATCTTTATATAAACCAATAGTAATTCTGGTATTTGTCATTGTGGCCTTCAATGCATTCAGTATTCTTGCACATAACATGAAGCAAGTTAGCTGTTAACTTAAGATCCAACCCACGACTTTGCTGTGAACCTTTGTGGTGTAACCACATTTGCATCTTTGCAGTGCATAATTAAAACACTTTACAAAAAACTCTTAACATCAAGACATTTCAATAAGCACTATATCAAATGCAAGGATTGTTGCATTTGTGGACAAAATGGGAGAATTGCTTTCAAATGTTAAGTTAGTGAGTGCCTAGGTATCTTGTGAAAAATTCAACCTCTGAACTCCACCCTTCCCTCAGCAGAGGGAAGAAGCTGAGAATGCATAACTTTCTATGCACTTTACCTTATTGTTGACTCAATTATTTATTCTGGTAATTGGTCGTTTCATTTATGAATGTACTTTGAGATCAACTTAACCCTTCAAGTCAGCCTCTATAAACTGTCTGCTATAGAGAACATTTTGTCATTTAGATTCTCTTCTCAGTGAGGGAAAGGTTGAAATGATCTTTGTCCAGCACATTAAGTACTGCAGTATCATCCGATATACTCTGCATGCTGGGTTGTAGTGAACCATTGTGATGGTCCTTTTTAATAATAATAATTTTTATTGTATGTGCCTGTGGCTGAGCATGAAGGGGGCGTTCTACCTTTTCTGTACTTCTCAGTAAATTGTAGTGGCTCCAGAATGAGGTGTGTGTATGATCAATGTGTGGCTGTTGCATTTCTGTGGAGTAAATTTGTGTCCCATTATTTTGTTGGCTGGAATGAAATGCAACTGGTATTTCTCCAGAAAGCTGCATGGGTCTGTGCTTCGGAGGTCAGAACCCATTGGGTGTATGGATGCACTGTTGATGTGCTGAAAAGTGACCCTTCTCTTTGCCTTATTTTCTTCCTGCACAGGTGAAGAGCAGACTAAAGAGCTGCAGGACGTTGAGGATGAAAATCAGTGAGAAGACATGGCCAACGAGAAGACCCTGTCTGCCCCCACCTTCCCTTCCTGCCCTTCCCGCAGTCCTAGTCCAAGCTGAGAGCCAGTGAATTTGATGTTGGTGCTGGATCTCAGAATTAGTTATGTGCCCATTTGGGCTCCAAGGGTTATTTTTGTTTTTTATTTTATTTTTTATTGTTAAAAAAAATCTTAAGGCAATGTTGTGGCCATCTGTGGATATCTTAACTGGAACCTGCTTTCTTTCAGTAATACCACAAATCTTTGGGAACCTTGAATAAACTGTTCGACCTACATATTAAACCAACTTGTGAATAATTCATGTCCTGTTACACTTTTACTTATTCGAGATCTGAGCAGCAAATTGGAACTGGTGCTTGGCCGTGAATCACAGTGATTTGACAACTGAGCCAAACTGTGTGCGTGCGTGTGTGTGCGCTGAGAAACCGTCAGCACAACTGAGATGTGTGCTGCGTTGACAGTGTGCTGAAGTGTCCTAACCCTCTGTAACCTGCATGCTTCTGGTTTGCTTTTCTTTTTTTAAAAAAAAAAGTTTGTTTTTTTACACTCATTTACCCAGTGTGGTCAAACAAACTGATATGTTCCCTGTGAGCATTAAATAGCTTGCTCCAAGAACCCTTCTGAAGCCTGTACGTATGTATGCACGGCATTTTTCCCCTTCAGTTTGATAACCCTGGAAGCTAGCAGGTGACAGTTAAAATCCATGGAATGCTGTCCTTTGCCTTTTTTGTCCATCCTGGCAGAGCAGGTTCTGTTCGAGCTGCTGTTGGAAGCCTGCATGCTTGTTAAAACAAGTTTTTTTTCTTACCCACTCCACCACCTCTTCCCCTTCCCCCTACTCTCTCTCTCTCTCTTTGTTCAGTATGTGTAACTTGAAGCTAATTTGTACTACTGGATATATCTGACTGGAGCCACCGATACAGATCTGTATCCTTCTTACTGAAACACAGCATGGATTAATATTAAACTTAAAATAAAAGAACCTAAATTAAGATCTGTTTTGCTGTTCATCCTGTCATTAAGTGATTGTGTGAGTGATCTCGTTCTTTCAAAAGGCAGTTTGAGGGGAAGGAATATGGTGTTCAGATACATTCAGTGAAGAGGGAGAGGGTGTTGCTAACATTTGTTTCCTTGTCAAAACCGGAGATTAAGGAAGTTAACTGGGTTGTCGCTATAAAATCGAGACTAGTAGATGAGTAATGCGCCCATCTGTGGTGGGGCTACTACCAACATTTCAGCACCAGACTGACGCAATGATGAGAGTAGGGTATATTGTTTGTAATAAAATCAAGTGACTTATTTAGAGGAATAATTTCCAATAACATTTTGGGCAGTGGGTGTCACACTGTTATTCCCAGTCTACATTTACACAGCTGTGTGCAATTGACTGCTGTGTTTCACCTGCAAATTAGTCAATTCACTTTAGAGTGTAATTCTATCAAGTGTTTTGAGATGGCTTGACGACGCGATAAGGCGCTATATCGAATGGAAGGATTAACCTGGTTGTTAGTCGATTGGTGGATCGCTTTGTGGGGACAATAAAAAAAAATGTGGTCACTTAATCCATAACCGTTTGTGGGGCACTGCTGTGTGCAATTAATTGGCAGCTGCATTTTGGCCACAAAATACACATTCAATCCACAAATGCCAAAATTATTATATTGTATCCACATGTCTCCCCAGTTACTGGAAACACCATTGGCAGGACTGGCCATGTTTCCTCATACGGTGCATTAGTCGCAGCTTCTAAAGCACGGAGATCAGTCTCTTTACATCATCACTGATTTCGCAGCCTTGAAATTTCCAGTTCAAGCCCCACACGTCAGCCTCTTCCACCGTGGGCTTCTCCCTGTACTCATTGTCTTCCCTGTCCTCGGGCCTGGGGGAGGAAGCACATTCCCCAGATCATACGTGTAGTTTAATTATCTTTTTCATAGATTCTTCGCTGTAATGCTTTTCTATCACTCCAGAGATGAGTGAATGACTTGCTCCCACTCCAGGCGGTAAGAATTTCACAGTTTCAATGCCCTGTGCTTTCCCTTTCTTGGGGATTCTTCCCAGAATAAAGGTAGGTATCTCAGGGGTTTGCTTATTCGCTCGCGCCCATTTGTTATTCGCCCCACTATCAGCGGTTGGGCTTTCAGCCTTTCTGCCCCCAGCCTCTGGAACTCCAATCTCATAATCCCTCCCTTGCCTCCTACAAGACCTTCCTTGATCGCACCTTCGGTCACAGTGGTCCAAGTGTATTACAGTGTTTGCTGACAGCTGTTGGGGTGAAGCTTAGCTGTAAGATTTTAGGGACAGAATAGGATGTGCTTTAAACTTACTCAAACATTGTGTAGAGGAGGCGCTCGGAGAGAGCACAGAGCGGGATGAAGAGTTTGTGAGTGAATCTTGTGCTCTCGTCGGCGAGCAGGAGCTCCGTCACTCGCCTGACGTCCCGGGAGGTGATGGTGTTGAAGTAAACGTCGATCAGTGCCTTCTCCATCTCCTGGGGGGGGTGGGGTAGATAGCATTAGAGTTAGAGTGTGAGCTTCCAATCCAGTGGCGGAGACTGACTTCCCCCGAAAGGGCTCGGGATTGTCCGGTAAAATGGGGACAATGGAGTGATTATTACACCCGGAAAAAATGTCTAAATGCTTCCATCGATAACTGCTGTCAAGTGTTGTGACTGCAATATTTGTCAGCAAAAGACAGGCAGCTTCAACATAGTGAGATCCCACACAAAACCAGGAGACGAATGACCAACTTGGTTGAAGGACTGTTGGCTTTGGCTCTGGGAGAAATCCTCTTTTTATTGAGGTCTTTTTTTCTTTGCTCCACCATCGTCAACCTTCACCCCATAGTTCTCTGGAACATTTCCAACATCATGTCAAGTGTAGTGACTATTTGTCAGCAAATGACAGTTTCAACAATGGAGTTACTGCTTTTTGCCCTATCCTCAAATCCTCCTTAAAAACTCCCTTAGGCGTTTAGGTCAACAGCATTAAAACTCATGTTCTGTGTGTTGACGCAGCGTCTTTAAGCCAAAGCTTACGGACTAGACGTTGTTTGGTTCTATCACTGTCAGAAGGATTCAAATACTCGTTACTGCTACAGTACCTGGAACGAGAGAATTCCGTCTCTGTCCTTGTCAAACTTGTCAAACGATTTCTTGTAGTGAACTTGCCGTCTCTTGCAGACAATGCAGTATTTCATCAGGTAGTCCTGAGGTGACAGAGCTGGCACACAGACAGAAAAGATTTAAGAATGTTTTTTGCAGTTTCCTATTGATCTGTGCAGTTCCAACGTGAAGAGTCGAGGCCAAGGAATGGAACACATTCTCATTCTCTGCATCGATATGTTATCGATAGATAGATATCAATGCAAACCCCCACCCGCAGCACTGCATTGGAGTGTCAGCTTAGAATATGTGATTCCAAGTCCCGACGTGGGCCCTTGAACCCACAAACTTCTGACTCAGAGGCGAGAGAGAGTGTTACCGACTGAGCCAGGTTGACGCAATTCTCAGCTCTCTGGCCCCAGGGACTGATGACGAGCACGGAGCAGAGTGCAGGTCAAACACCGTGGAGGTGCTGGCTCCGACTGACACCTTGGACCATGTGTTTGCTGGTGTTTGTTCTGAGCTGCAGCGAGCTGACTGGGCGAGCACCTACTCTCCAGTGTCTTGATGTCCATGGGCAGCTGGAAACGGCTGATCTGCCTCGAGAGAGCCAGGCGGGTGGGCACCGTTGGCATTCTCACCCTCTGAAAACAGTTGAAGAAGAATAATAAGCCTTGCAGTTGATATAGTGCCTTATCACATTGGTGAGACGTCTTAAAGCGCTTCACAGAATGTATTGTAAAGTGGATTGACTGTGTATTTTGTGGGTTAAACGGGGCAGCCAATTGCGCACAGCAGCGTCCCACAAACAGTGGTAATTATTTCTTGAGGGATCATAACCCCCCCAAAAAGTGATCCACTAACAACCGCGTTCCTACTTACTGCTGGTAGACAGGCGTGCAGAGTAAGGAAACTTGCCAAAGGGTTTGCCCCGCCCGGGAATCGAACCCAGGACCTCTCGCTTGCGAGGCGAGTGCTCTAACCACTGAGCTACACGGGACTCCATGATCGTGCAAAGTCAGAGATCCACTCGTGCGCAACATAGTCATGGGCCGGGATTTGGGACCGTTCTGGTTGGGAAGAGCGATGATGTGTGACTTACAGAAGCTTCGTATTCTGTTATCTCTGCAATAATGTCCAATGACACCTTCCCAGCAGAGGCCTGTGTCTCATCCAACACAACCTGAGGGAGATATAGAATCCAACAGGTTAATGCTATGCTGCATCTGGACATCCTAAAGCCTCCAACACCAGGAGCTGACATCTCATATGGGCTTCTTGAGTGCACAGTGTAGAGATGGCAGTCCATTGGGACGGCAATAATAATAATAATCTTTGCATTTGATACACCGCCTTATTACCTTGTTGCAACGTCTCAAAGTGCTTCGCAGAATGCACTGTAAAGTGAATTGACTGTGCATTTTGTGGGTGAAACGTGACAGCCAATTGCGCACAGCAGCGTCCCACAAACAGTCATGGATTGAGTGACCAAAATGTTATTTTTTGGGGGGGTGGGGAAAGCGGTTGTGAGGATTAAGCGTTTCACAGGATTCCCAGTAAAACATCGTGACTGTTTGTCGGTGAACGGAGAGTTGTAGACCAATTACTGGCCTGTGCTGGTAGTGACAATGCGTTGGGTTAGTGAGGGGAGAATCAGACAGAATCTCACTCTCCCCACCAGTGGCTGATCAAGGCTATAACAGTGAGTGTCAGTGTGAAGGGAAACCTGTGCTAACCCCCACCTGAGCCTGGCTCTGCGGAGAGCTCTCTGGCAATGAGGAATCAGCACCCCCACCGTCTCTCCTCTTCCCTTTCTTTTTCCGCTTCCCTTTTCCCGATTTCCGGGCGCTCTTTCGATGACTTGCGGGGAAACACAATTCAGTGAAATACAACAACAACAACATTACATTTGTACGGCGCCTTTCACGGGCGTCGGGAGGACGTCCCAAGGCGCTGGGCAGTCAGTGTTTCGGACCCGGGCTGGGGGTCAGGATTGGGGAGGGTGGGGGGGGGGAGGAGGGAGATCGAAAGCACAGTCGAAGAGGAGGGTCTTGAGATGAGTCTTGAAGGGGGTGAGGGTGAGGTGGAGGGACTGCAGGATGGAGTTCCAGAGGGTTGGTGTCTCTGAACTACAACAAATTACATTTGCTCCTTCCTTATCCCAGTGCCCCATCTCCTGCTCTTCTGCTCGAGAACCCAGGAACCAGGGACAGGCAGGAAATGCCTGTAACCAACACAACGTGTGTGTGTGTGTGTCTCTATCTCATTCTGTGTGTGTGTGTGAATCTCGCACTCTGTCTCAATCTGTGTGTATGTAGGTGTGTGCGTGTGTATGTCTCTCTCTAACTCTGTCTCAGTCTGTATGTGTGTGTGTCCCTCGCCTACATTGCATCCCATCTAAGGCTGTTTTTGACTACGTGGAGAAAGTATCTGAGTCTATTGGGACCAGGTTTGGAATATTGTGGCCGTGAAAGACACTGGGGAGACTGAGGGCAGGTGTGTAAGTACCAGTTGTGGTGCAAATGTGAGTGAGACACATACCGCTCACTCTGAGAACCAGCCTCTCCTTTCTTCTTCCCCTTAGCGATTTTCCGAACCATGTTCTTTCCCTGTGTCCCGGGCCAGGCTTCTGCTCATTCAGACGTCGTTCTGTTCCGTGACGTGCTGTTTTAATAAGCGTTCCTGGCTCAGTAAAATCCGGTGTGATTTTCCAGTCGTCGTGGATGTCAGTGCTGGTAATTTGAACACTCTCCCTTTGTATCAGTCAGCACGCCCAGGTCAGCCACAGCACCGGTTAGAGACTAAGTAAATCTCCCTCTATGCTGTCCGTCCACACTCCCTGGTCAACCACAACACGAGTCAGAGACAGAGTAAAGCTCCCTCTACACAGTCGCTGCCAGGTACAGTAACTGTAAATCCTTGAAGCACTTTGATGCTTCTCGACGAGGTGATAAGCGGGGCCCTGTGTCAAATGCAAGGAAGGTTTTATTATTCGTTCCACTTGTTTGTCTCCTGAAACGAGTTGAATCCGACCATCACCTGCAAGTGTGAGAAACACAGACTGCGGAGCTGTTGGCATCACTCGTTCAGGTGTCTCTCAGGCTTGCTGTCGGCTTAAATAATGGTTTGCTCTCAGCACATTTGACTGGCAGCTGAATGTAGGGTCAGGGTCACTCTTATCCGGTTGCTAACAGCAAAAGGAGGAACTGAATGGAAGAGTAAACAGCACTGGGTGTGGTAACGATATAACAGCAACCCTCTGGGAAAACACACCCGCACACAATGACAATAATTAATCCTTGCACTTGATATCGCGCCTTATTCACGTCATTGAAACGTCCAAAAGAGCTTCGCGGAATATACTGTCAAGTGGATTGAATGCGTATTTTGTGGGCGAACCGTGGCACCAATTGTACGTAGGGGTGTCCCACAAACAGTCGTGGATTGAGTGACCAAATCCCCCCCCACCCAAGATTTTAATGTGTTAAACCTGCCCCAGGGTCAGAGACCACCGCAAAGTGCTCGTCACTCCGCAGCCCCCGAGGGTATGTAGTCATGGCAACTGTAGCGAGGGTATCTTGATGGGAATCACAGCCAACCCCCAGGGAGAGAGGCGGGGGTGACACTGCAGCAAAAGCATGAGAGTAAAGGATAACAATATCACACCACCATCACCCCACCCCTCCTCTCCCAACTGTCCCAATTTCTGAGCTCAGAGCCTCTGCTCACAGTATGTTGCTCTTTGCTGTTAGGGTATCTATCGTTGCCCGTGGGGGGGGAAACAACAGCAAAAATCAGCCAGACAGGAGGTCTGCGGTGTCTTGATGGGAATCACAGCCCACCCCCCCCAACCCCAGGGAGAGAGGCTGGGGTGACACTGCAGCAAAAGCATGAGAGTAAAGGATAACAATATCACATCACCGTCACCCCACCCCAGCCTCTTAGACTGTGAACTCAAAGTCCCCAACGCAGGCAGAGGGTGAACCCACAACCTCCTGCCTGGGTTGTCAGCAGATGGTGTGACTGTAGCTGAGCTGCTCTCAGTGGTACAGAAGACGTACCTCCCGGCGAGAGACAGTGAATTATGTGTGATTTTTTTTTCTCTCTGGCCAGTCGAGTGCCTGACACCTGCAGAAACCCATCACCGTTGCTTCAGAGTCTCCAAATCGAACTGCGAATTCCATGCACCCCACCTACACGTGGAAATCCCAGAGATGGGATAGTTGGAATAGAACACGCGCGCTCTCCCTGGAGGGACACATCCTGCTCACCTAATTCCGGAAAGTATTAGGCGCAGGTTGGCGAGAGTCAAGCCTGGGGGGGTCGGGGGGGGGGGGGGATCGCAGAGTGCGAGTTGGTGTAACTGCTGGAGCCTAACCAGCTAAAACCACAGAGCTTGCCCTTGATATCGCTGTCCGGCAAGCTTTCCCGCTGCGCTTGTCCAGCTAGGACCACCCGACCTACGGTTGGGCGTTTCCTGAGCTGGGGACCCCCTCACCTGACCGTAGCCCCCACTGCTGTCTCTTGTCGGCCGAGATCAGTGAACAGAGCGGAGACTAGGAAGGGCAACCTGAGCTTCCTGGTTCCGTGCGTGTCTCAGCTTCACACTGAGCTGTGGCTTTACCAACCGAGGCAATGGGGGGGAAACTTATTAACACACAGAACACAAAGCTGAGAGATGGCGTTATTCAGTCTGGAGACTCGGTCACTGGCTGCAGCACAGACAGGTTAGTATCTGCACTGAGCAGCACACAGAAGCCAACAGGTTGCGGGTGATCGAACATCACATCACACAAAATGCAACTTGTCTTAAAATTGTTCCAACAGGAATTGTGCAGTCACCATAATGTGGGTCTGACTTTTTTCTCCGTTATTGCCTCCTGCGTTTCTCTCGCTCTCTTTTTCTCCACAATATCCTGATCTGTGGCCCTGAACAACTGTATGATGTAAAAACATAAAAGACTTGCAGTTTGGGCTGTTAGTAAGTGCAATGGTGTGTGTGTGTGTGTGGGTGGAGTTGTGTCTCCGTGCCCATGTTGGGGAGTGGAAAGCTGTGGCCCCCTGATCACTACACAGATGCCTACTGTTGGGGCTGCGGTTAACATCGGTTAATTTCTTAGCGTATTATTTTTCTCTCCTCCCTGCCCTGCGTCTCTCAGCTCCTGGCTTAAACTCCTAGTGATTCCGGACCGGACTCGGTGGGCTAAATGGGCTCCTTCTGCGCTGTAAATTCCTGCGATTCGATGAAAGGGGCTGAACAGCTCGAGAGCGGAAAGAGAAGCAGCCAAGTGTCTGTTCCCAAACCGAAGCCTTGTGGCCGTTGCTTGAGGTGAGGGCACAGGAGAGCGTGAACGACAGCTTTAGCGACATCTTTGATAAAATGCTCCCGAGCACGGTGGTTCCCTTTGAGATTGAGTCAATCCCAGATCACAGGAAGCTGCGGTTACAGACTAACGTGGTGTATAAATGTGACTGTTACTCACTTGCCTGTGGCGGAGGCCTGTTAGTGGTTGTGGGAGCCGAGTGATGGGGAACTGCTCACGCGCAGCCCAGAGTGAGCATTTCCACTGAGCTGGAGCCAGGCTGACACCAGTTGCAACACACCAGGGTGGGGGGGTAGGAGGACGGGGCCAGGAACTCTGTGACAGCACCACAGGAATCCACCGCCTTCTGCCAGGGAACCACCGGCTGGGCCGTGAGCTGGCAACCGTGCTGCTAATAATAATAATAATCCTGGCATTTGACCCAGAGCCTTATCACGTCTTCGAGACGTCTCAAAGCGCTTCACAAGATATACTGTAAAGTGTAGCGACTGTATGTTTTGTGGGCGAAACGCGGCAGCCAATTGTGCACAGCAGTGTCCCACAGACAGTCATGGATTGAGTGATCAAATTCACTCACGTCCTCCTTCCCCCGCCCGCCCCCAACCCCCGCACATTACCCCACCAACCTCCCGGCAGCTCCTGGTGCCGTCTCCTCTCCCATGGTAACCGTCGCTCGCTCGGTTGCACTCAAATAACGTCAGCCTCGAGCGCGCACAATCAAGTTTAAGTTTAATCCGGTCAGAGAGTGAGGTGTAACAGAGACGAGGGCAAACACTGACCCTCTTTAAATGCCGTCCGGCTCTGTACCAAGGCCGTTATCTGGGGAATGTCTGTGTGCGGCACGTGAGTCCAGGCTGCCTGTGGCGGAGGCGGAGGTCGTGGGGGTGGGGGAACCCAGTGGGATGATGGTGGTGTGGGATGGGGGCTCGGGCTGTCAGGACTCGCTGTCGGAGGTCGAGCTCTCCCGGCTGATCTCGATCTGCAGCGAGGGCAGGTTGTCCAGGCGGCTTTTCTTGCGGGATCGTTCCTTTTCCCGGATAAGAGCCCCCCAGGCCCGCTGCAGCTCCGTGTCATCATCCTTCTCCTCCCCCCGCTCGGCTGCCCCCTCGCCCTCGGGCTCCCCCTCACCCTCGCCCGCCTCGGCCACCGGCTTCTCCTTCTCCTTGCTCAGTGGCTTCTCCTCCTCCTCTTCCTCTTTGCTGGGGCTCTTCTCTCTCTTGCTGGGGGCTTTTCCCAGGCGGCTCCACAAACTGCCTGTTAAGATGAGAGACAAGGAGCCACACAACACGTAACAGGAGATTCACAGCAGCTCCTCCCAATCCACACCCTCACGGCAGTGCTCAGGTGGCCGCAGAAGGCTCTCCGTCACTGTGTCACCGGAGCCGAGCTCGAGTCCTCCCGCTGTGAGACACTCAAGACCTTCCTCTTCGATCCTGAGTCTTCAGCCTCTCTGCTCCCAACCTCTGGAACTCCATCCCACAGTCCCTCCGACTCTCCCCCTTTCTTTGTCCCTTTCAAGACCCTATTCTTCGACCGCGCCTTTGGTCACCCTTCATGTCCCTCCCAACCCCCCTCCCACCACCCCCCCAACCCACCCCTCCTGATCCCAACCACCAGCTCGGCTGCGGATCTCCCGACTGGCGTGAAAGGCGCCGTGTAAATGTCATTTGCTAGTGTAATCATTTGAGGACACCCTGTACACCACGCGCCGAGAGAGAGGGTCTGACTGGGGAGTTTGCTGCTCACCTGGCTTCTTGCTCCTGTCGGATGGTGGGCCGCGGGGTTCCAGGGCCCTGGGGACCCCGAGCCGGCTGTGCACGTCGGTCTGCGGCTCTCGGCGGGCGATGGAGGAGTTGCCGGCGGTGACGGCGCTGGAGACGATGTGCGGCGAGTGTGGCCTTTTTCCCAGCCTCTGCCGGACACCTGCAACCGACAAGACAGGCACGGCGGCTCGTTCACTGGGGTTTCCGACCAACCGTCACCGCTCGGTGAGCGGGAGTGACGTGTGCCCCAAAGTACACAGCAATTTCCAATCCCCTCCCTCCCCCCCCACTCCCCAGGGTAGCAAATAAACACTGCGGTGGTCACTCTTACTGGCATATTGTTGTGAAGCACTTCCTTCCCCATCTTCAGGTCGCACCTGAAGACCTTCCTCTTTGACTGTGCCTACGGTCACCTCCCCCACCTCCCTCCCCTCATGATGCCCTGTATTATTACCGGTGCCGCAGCTGCTCCCGGCCCCCGGGGGTTGCCGACGCTCCGCCAGTTGCCGCTTGTCCTCCAGTAAGAGCCTCACGTCCGAGATCTTCTCCGCGGAGAGCCGGGTGCCGATCCGATTCCTGATGTTCCTGGTAACCACGGTGACGCTGGCCTCCGGCTTGATGGAATTCCTGGAGGCAGATCACAATCACGGGATCAGCAACGGCAAAGCTTCAGAACCTCGAGATCAGAGCACACGAGCCTCTGACAGTGAATAGATTACACATTAAACCCCACTGCGGGCGAGTTCAATGCCTGACATTTATTTATCTTCTATTTGTTCGCACTAATACACACTGTGAAGAGCTCCACTGAGTGACTTGGAGAGATATCAGTAAGAGCAATGGCTTAGCTTCAGCATTGGCCAGCGTCCAGTTACAGCAATGAAGCAGTCAGTCTATACAAGGCTGTCGAGGCACAGTCAATGGGATGTTTAAGAGACAGACACTTGGGAAGGAACAATACTGAGGGGTCTGATTAAAAGTGCAGGGTAACGGGATCAGAATATCTGCTATTTTCGCTGAGAAAATGCACAGTCAATTAACTTTATAGTAAATCTTGTTAAGTACTTTGAGACATGCTCCCAATGTGAAAGGAGCTGTATCAGATGTAATTATTTGTGTTGATATATTTGATACAACTCACTTACCACATCTCGAAACACTTCGCAGAACATACTGTAAAGCTCGTGTTTTGCGGGCGAACATGGAAGCATTGCGCACAGCGACGTCCCACAAACAGCCGTGAGGTGAATGGCCAATTTTTTTTATTTTTTATTTGGAGGATTATTCGCCCGGACCCTCTCTCTCTTCTCTTTCCGAATCGCACCACGTGATCTCTAACGACCACCTGAACAGCGCAGACGGGACTTGGGTTTAGCGTCTCATCCGAAGGACGGCACCTTCTCTCGTCAATGCAGCACCCGCGCCCCCCATCCCCGCTCCCCAGCGCTGCATTGCATTGGGAGCGTTAGCCTGAACTATATAGGCTGTTGTCATAATAACCTGGTGGCTCAGGTCTTCAGAAAGTGTTTCCCTCTTTATTACAGGGAACCCGTTACCCTCTCAATATACTAACTATATTATCGTCTCGATGTTGGATGTTCCACTCGGGACATGAAGCACTGTGAGACGCTGCTGTATGTGAAGGCGCTACACGAAGGGAAGCTGTTGTCGTCAGGACTTGTGGCCCAGACCCACCTAATGTTCTTCAGTTGAGCTTCCACCTCGTCGGCATACATGGTCATCTTCAGGCTCTTCTTGGGCGATGGCATCGAGATCATCTTCAGCTCCAGATCGTAATCCATCTCGTCCGAGTCTGAGTCTGAGTCCGAGTCCCTGGAGCTGGCGTAGCAGCCCGGCCGCGCCTCGTCCCTGTACTCCACCACCACACGGTCATCGGCCTCCATGTCCTGCTCATCTTCATCCTCATCCTCCTCCTGGATCGGCTCCTCGGGAACGTTCCCCAGACCTGAGCAGAAGTCCAAGGGTCTCGTCAGAGAACAGAACAGCACTCCTCACCAGGACCCCCTCTACCCTACCCTACTGCCCCTCGATTCATTGTAACACACATCTTAACCCCCCACCCCCACTCCCTGTGTGGGTGTGCAGGGGAGGGCTATCTGTGCTGCGATGGGGAGTGTGCTCCCCCTTCCCCATTTCCAATCTTGGCCTCTAGTCCAGCTCAGGTACAGTATTGCCCATCTCCTGAGTAATATTAACAATTATGATCCTCTGCATTTCATACATAAAAATGTCTCAAAAAACACTCCACAGGGAATTGCTGTCAAGTGGAGTGACTGTGTGTTTTGCGGGCGAAAGGCAACAGCCCACGTGCCATTTGGTTCCCCAAATCCTGCAGCGGACTCTGGGTGATTTGGCGATGGGGGAATCGCCCCATTCACTCTCAAAACATCTGCTGCAAGACTGACTGACATGGGGGCGGGGGGGGCCTGGCTGGTTTCTCCCCCTGTCCCCGGCCTTTCGTGTGTGGACTGACCCGAGTGACGGTGTTTGTAGCCGGACTCTAGGGCCTCGTCGTCGTCGTCGGAGAAGCTCTTTTTCTTCAGGACGTCTCGCTGAATCCGCCGAGCATGGTACCGCCGTTTCCTGTGGAAGCGCAGCGTTACTTATACTCGGTTAAAGCGCTCGACAAAGCCATCACCCCTATCCCACCCCACCCTGGCTAAATCAGGGCAACCCTCCTCCCCACCCCAATCTCCACTGAGAGCAGTTGTGTGGGTGAACAGCCTGTGCCTACACATCAACCAGTCCAGTGCTGTTAATGAGAACAGAACAGCAGCTGAGATCTTGGGCCAAGCAATCTGGCGCTGGCCAGAAGCAGGGTGGCACTGACCGCCCCCCCCACCACCACCGGGGATTTTACACGTGACTCACTCACCAGGAGTTGGAGAGGATGCCCTTCATGCCGCCGTAGTTGGGGTTCCCGTATTTCATGTAATACTGACTCCGTCGGGCAGCTCCCAGCTCCTTATGGTCATCTGGAAATTAGCCACAGCATCAGCACGTCCCCCAGGCCCCTCACACAGAGTCTGGTCACTGCGGTGGTGGGGCGGGGGGGGGGGGTGTTTGTGTGTGTAATCATGTGTGTCAGAGTATGTACGCGCGCGCGTGTGTGTGTGTCAGGGTGTCCGTGAGCACGAGGTGGAGTTCACGTACTTGCAAGATGGGAGGGAGTGGGGGGGGGGGTGGGGTCTACGTGTGAGCAGCTCATTCACCTTTGGTGGCAAACCTGACTTGCAGTTTGTTTCCTCGCAGGGATTTGACCGCCGGCCGCAGGTCGTTTTGAAGCACCGCGTCCTGTTCGTCCAGCGGCAGAGCATCCGGCTGACAAACAAGAGAATAATGGAGACAAAGGAAAGCAGTTAAAGAATAGTTAAGCTGCTCGATCTGTGGCCAGGAATCCTCTCTCTGGCACAGCCCGGCACCCAGTGCTGTGAGCGCTCGCTCAAGCTGTAAAGCTGAGCCTCTGTCACTCACTCGGTTGGTGTCAAACAACAGGGGGATAGGAACAGGACCACCCGCGCACAAGGTTGACAAAAGTGCTTCAATGTTACTCTGCGCTGAGGGTTTCTTAGCCAGGAAGAGAAGGCTTCGAAGGCACCGGGGCATTCAAGGGTTAAAGAGGGGCTAGACGTTACCACACTGTCCGCTCCGGCCTCACACTGCACTTCCTCCCGCTCCACCTGCGGCTTCTCCTCCAGCTCCCCGTCCTCCTCCTCCTGTTCCTCCTCTGCCTTGCCCTGCGAGCTGTCTGCAGGGAACAGCATTGCAATTACTAGAGACGATGTGAAAGGTCTCATGGCACTCTCAGCCACCAATGTCACTGTGACTGTGCCAGAGACCAGGTTCGATTCCGACAGGGTCTAACATGCCGGAGAGTGGCTCTGGCTGCACTTACACTGCTCCGAGCAGCTGGCTCACGGAAACTACCGTGACGGTCACACCGTGATTTGTTGGTGTCTCTCTGACCAGGTTAACAGCCCACCCTGAGCATCTCAAGCTCGCTCAGTCACCTGGGTTGGGTAGTAAGTTGGTGCCAGTGTCAGCTTCAGAACGCTGAGAGGCTGGGCACCATTCAGAACAAGTGCAGATGCCTAGGTCTTGACTGAGAGATGTCTGCCTGAGCCAGTGCTAAGCGGTTTCCTCTTTAAAGCGGGGGCAGAAAGCTCAGGGGTCTGAACCGAGATGGTGAATTGTGGTCAGAGCCAGGGGGTGACCGGAGAGATAACAAGCGTTGATAACGCAGTAACAATGCGCCAGGAGATGACGTGCGCCTTGAGGAGCGCTGGGCCGAAGGCAGGGGTCGTTCGGTGTTGCTGTCAGTGCCGCTCACCATGCTTTGGTGAGTCAGGGCTGCTCTTTCTTCGCGTGCTCACACTGGGCTCTGCCGCCACGCTCATGTTCATCAGAGCTCGGGCCGCTGTGACGTCGTCCAGCCACACCACATTACCTAGGAAAACAACCGCGAGGAGAAGCAATCAACAGAGTGGGTTTACTGGCAATATTTCCTCTCGGGCAGCAGCACACCCCAGCCCACCCACCCCCCCACCCCGGATCTGGGACACTCCGCGCCGTAAGCCTTTCAGGTAACAGGGGAGGGGAAACCAGAAGGAGTATAAAGCGTTCCATCCCCAACCACCCCCCACCCCGCAGAACACTCACAGGAGGAGTCGTCGATCCACTCTATGCTGGATGGAGGATATTCCTTAAAGTAGGTGAAGATCTCCTCGGTGCTCATCTCGTCTACGCCCATCACGTGCAGGGCCTCCAGTCGCACTTTGGGGATGGCTGCAAAAGGACAGACAGGAGACTTGTAACCACAGCAACGCAACATCGCGGACATGTGTCAGTCACAAAACAACACACAAAGATGCGATAAACCCACTCAGGTCAACGGAAATGCTCTTTTAATCTTTTTAAATAATAAATAATAATAATAATTTGGTCACTCAATCCACGGCTGTTTGTGGGGACGCTGCTGTGTGCGATTGGCTGCCGCGTTTCGTCCACAAAACACAGAGTCAATTCACTTTGCAGTATATTCTGTGAAGCGCTTTGAGACGTCTAGAAGACGTGATAAGGCGCTATATCAAATGCAAGGATTATTATTATTATTATGAATAATCCCACAATCCTGCGCCCGCCCCTGAACTGAAATTTCACCTTGTTTCAGCAACTCCCGGTCGAGCACCTCTGCCTGCTGAGTGAGGTTTGATTCCGCTCGAAAGTGAAACCGCTTTGCTCGCTGCTCCTTCCTGTCCACCGCTTCCTGTGGAGTAAAAATGATTAAATAGAATGGAGAGAGGTGGTGGGGTGGGTGGGGTAGAGACAAGAGGCACACAACCCCCTCGGTCTGAGAGGCTCAGTGTCTCAGTGAGCAGCACAGCGATCCTAAACTCAGCCATGTTATTGTCTACTGTATATTCTGTGAAGTGCTTTGAGACGTCTCGAAGCTGTCATAAGGGGCAATGTCAAATGTAGAAGTGAGAGAATTGTAGAGAAACAAACTGAGGCGGTCATAGCACAAACAGTAACTACACTTGCCAGCAGCGCCCTGTGAATCGCGGACATTTTGACCCAGTCAGGAGTGAAGATTATTATTATTATTATTAAATCTGTGACTCTCCAGCACCTTGGGACGTCCTCCAACGTTATACAACATTATTATACAATATATTATTAAAGTTATACAACGGCGCTGTATAAATGTAATTTGTTGTTGTCGGCGGAACCAGCAATCCCTAAGTCCCGGGGATGAAAAGATCCACTCTTTTACTGACGGCGACAATAAAGATTTCCAGACAACTCTTTCAAGCCCCAAGAAGAAAGGACAATGGAGGTAGGAACAGTTTTCTCGCAGACCTTTGAGGTGACGTCGATTCCAGTGATGAAAGTCCCGGCCTTGTTTTCGTAGCGTCTGCTGGTGTCCTGCGGAAGGAGCAAAAGTGAACCACATGAAAACCTCCTTGCGGGCGGGTACCAGAGGCTTCGTTCCAAACGCAGGACCTTCCCTACCAGACCGCGCTCCAAAGGCCCGACCGGATGTAAACGCAAGTATCACTGAACTAAGAACGGAGAGCGTAGGCAAACACGGCAGCGCGACGGCGCGCAGGAAAGTCCCTCAAACAGCCACTTTTAGGGTTGAGCGAGCAATTTTATCTGGAGAGGGGGGGTGGGGGGGGGATTGTCGGCCCGGGGGCAGCGGGAGAGAGAAACTCCCTTCTCCTTTCCGAATAGCGCCGCGGGATCTTTAACATCCGCCTGAACAGGTGGACGGGACCTCGGTGGAACGTCTCATCCCGAAGGACGGCTCCGACCCCCACCCCCCAACCCCCTCAACGCCGCACTGGAGCGTCAGCTTCGACCGCGGGTGTTTCCGAGACCCAAATAGAGGTTGACCCCCCCCCTCCCCCCACACCCCCTCCCCCCCCCCCCCTCCCCCCGGCTCGGTCTCGGGATCCGAAACTGTGAAGCGCTCCGAGACGCCGTCCGGCGTGGAGGGCGCTATGTAAATCCAAGTTGTTGTTGTCGTTGTTGTTGAACCCCCCCCCTCAACCTTCTGCCCCCCCCCCCACCCACCCCAGAGAGCGCCGCCTTCAGGTAAGTGAGGGAATCGGAGAGCAACAAACTGAGGCCATCTCAGCCCCCAGCGCCCGCCACAGACAGTCACTCTAACAACAACAGCAGCAGCAGCAGCAATCCTGGCGTTCGGTCCGCGTCTCAAAGCGCTTCGGGGGTTGCACTGTAAAGTGTAGTGACTGTGTGCTGTGTGGCCGACCCTAAACTGCCAGCAGCTGCCCCGTGAATGGCGGACATTTTTTCTTGGGGGGGGGGGGGGCAGAGTCAGGAGGCGGTGGAGGAGCTGAGGGTCCGGAGGGTCACCGCCCGGCACTGAGAGTCCGGTTTCCCGCCCACCTCAGGCCCGCGAAGCCTCGGCTTTGCCTCCTCACCGGGATCAGGTCCTTGAGCGTCCGCCGCACCGAGATGGCGTCCAGCTTCTCGGGCTCTATCTCGCCCTCCTCCACCTCCATGGGCTCCTCTTCGCGCTCGGCCTCCTTGGCGGCCTCGGCGCCCGGTTCCCGGGGCCCCGAGTCGCCCTCAGACTCCACATAGACCCGCAGGCCCCGCACCGCCGCCATCTTTGCCAAGGAGGCAGCGACCTGCGGGCAAGAGGAACCCCGGCGCCAACAACAAACCCCACCCCGCGCCCTCTGCTGCCGCTGGAGGACCAGCGGGAAACAGAGGCGTTGTGGGCGGGTTGGGCTATTTCGCGCCCAATTGGGCGGGTTTCCCCCTCGTACAAGTGCGTGAAACAAACCCTCTTGGGGTCATTTTTTAAAATGTTAATCTGTCTGTGGAATAAGGTCCCTTTCAGGAGAGCTTGATAGGATCTGCACATGGGCTGATCACTGTCAAACGTAGTTCAACACAGATACATGCAAGATAGTAAATGCAGAATAATAATAATCCTTGCATTTAATAACAATAATAATAATAATAATAATAATATTCCTTGCGTTTGATATAGCGCCTTATCAGGTCTTTGAGACGTCTCAAAGTCAATATACTGTGAAGTGAATTGACTGTATTGTTCTGTGGGCGAAACGAAAGGATCCAAGAGTAAGAAACACAAAGTACTCCCCGAATGGGATTGAACTTACTGCCAAGGGAGAGGGGGAGGGGTGGGGGGGGGGGGTTAGATGAAAGCGATCTAGGGGTTGACTCATGTCAGTTTGACTCATCGCGCACCATATGAAAACTTTGTGAGCCAGCAATAAACAGGCAAACAGGATACTGGCCGATGTGCTACATCATCGTTTCCAGATCCCAAGACGTCATACTCAAGCTGTGTAGTTCTCTGGTCTACCGAGTAGTTCTGGTAAATGTGACTGAATGGAGCGCTCTTTAAAAGAGCCAGCACAGACATGATGGGCCAAATGGCCTTCTTCTGCGCTGTAAATGTCTACGGTTCTATGGTAGCACAGCTGATAGAGGAACCTCTTCACACAGAGCGTGGAATTCATTGCCAGGAGCTGTGGTTGAAACAGAAACCAAAGTGCTGCATGTGAGAGGAAACAATGCGAGACATGGGGGAGAGGGAAACAGAGGGGAATAGAGGGGTGTAGGAGATGGGAATAGATGAGAATCCGTCCAGACTGTGAGGCAAATAGCCTTAAGGCTCTAACATGTGTAATTGTAACTTGGCTGTAATCAGCTAACTCAGCACAGTTTGGAGATGGAACCTGGGGCATGGGCTGTGATGTCTCAGTGAGCACACAGGAAGCCATCGAGACTTCATGTACAAACCCAGGATTCTTCGGAATGATGCTCCTTGCAATTGATTTTGTACCTATTGCATCATCGGAACGTCTCAAAACACCTCACCGCAATTACCGAGTATTAATTAATTCGTAAGTGAGAGCGACAGCCGATTTGCGCACAGCAATGTCTCGTAAGTAGCACAAACGGGAGGTGAGAGAGAGAGAGAGAGAGAGAGAGGGATGTATCTGGATGTTCCAGTGCAGGATTTGCTCTCATTATCTCGTCCTTCAGCCCATCTCCCTTGCTCCAGTTGCACGTCAGGTCTCTGTGGCTGAACCATAAATATCTTCCTATTAAAAGACTGACGGAGGCAAATGTGTCAGCCTGAAGGCTGAAAAAACACCATCACTCGCCACCAGAGGACGGCGTATTTCTGCCTCTGCGACAGCGCTGTATCCTGGGTAAAGGAGGGGGTTGGGTTGGGTGGTGGTGGTGGGGGGAGTGGGGGGCAACCAGATAACTAGCATTAAATTGAGGGTTTATTCGCTGCCTCATTTGTAGGTTCAGAATCCTCGCCTCTGGATGAGGTTTCAACTTGTAGCACAGCTTGGCTCGGCCACCAGCTGTCAGCCACCAAGCCCCTCGCCTCTGGAGTTCTCTGCCTCAATCCCCCCCTCCCACCCCACTCCACACTCTACCCCCCACTGCGAAGGGCGCTGTATAAATGCGAGCCGTTGCTCTCTTGTTGTCGTTAAAACAAACGCAGAATTTCGAGCAGTGGAATTAGAGACTCTACAGCGTCCTCCTGGGACGTCCTCCTGACGTGAAAGGCGCTTTATAAATGGAATCTTGTTGTTGTTGTTATTGTCCGTAACATTTCAAATGCCCCCAAAGCGCTTCACGGGATTTACAGAGACAGCTGTTAACATGTTGGGATTGTCAATCACAGTGACATTTATGTCGGAACACATGACAAAAGTAAACTCTAATAAAACAGTTCCAGTTACCCCCCCCCACCCCCCGCCACCCCACCCCCATCTTCTCTCTCTCTCTCTCTCTCTGGTTACCAACCCCTACAACTGTGAGGTCCATTGGCTGACGTGAGCCTCTGTCTTTCCGACACTATCAAGCAGATAGCAACTGGCTCCAGGCTCCAGTGATGGAACGCAGCCATCTGACAACCCAGAGATTGGCTAATCTCTATCGCCTTCACACAGACTCTCCAGATAAGAACCAGAGGCCACACACTGCCTAGGCTCTCGGCCAGAACGTGCTGTGTAATTTCCGGACCTTTCCATCACCTGGGGAGGGGATGGAGGGGAAGGGGGAGAAAGAGAGAGTGGGGGGGGAAAGGGGGAGAGAGGGGGAAAGAGGGAGAGAGAGAGAGGGAGGGGGGAAGAGGGAAAGAGAGAGGGGGAGAGCGGATGTGGAGGGAGGGGGAGAGAGGGGTGGAGGGAAGGGGGAGAGAGGGTTAGGTGGGGGGAAGGGTCTCAACAACCCTGGGGCTGCAAGTCCTCCTCTCCCACATTGCTTTAACCCTCAAGGGAATGAAGTCGTCCGAGTTACACTGAGGACTATCACTACACAGGCTAACGGTAACATTGGCTGGAAGAGGCGATGCCTATGGTTGACAATGGTGGCTGGGGCTAGAGGGAGCTCATTCCTCCCAAATCTACAATAAGAATAATAATCATCTTTACATTTGATTCAGCGCCTTATCACGTCTTCGAGACGTCTCACAGCGCTTCACAGAATATACTGTAAAGCGAATCGACTGTATATTTTGTGGGATGGTGGCCAAAAGCACGGTCAAAGAGGAAAATCCCACAACCCTGCAAGAATTGGTCAAAAGGGAACTGGGTAGTTCCGTTGGAGGAGAGCAGGTAAATGGGACTGAAAGGATAGCTCTCAAAAGAACTAATGCAGACACGATGGGCCAAATGTCCTTCTTCTTCTATGGTTCTAAGCAGAAGCAGCTGGGTAGTAAATACGATAACAGGAATGGGGAGAGAGAGAGAAAGAGAGAGAGCTGGGAAGTGGGTTAGGTAGAAAATATGGAGGTGGTTTAGGAAATCAGGCAGCAGGGTACGGACACGAAGGACTGAACCCTCTCAGGCGCTGAATGTCTCGAAAGTGTCTTTAGGGCTTGTAAGCAGGTGGGAGCGGGTCTGAAAGGGTTAAAAGAGGGTTTGAGTACGTCAGCGCCTTAACAGCTGGAGTTTTACTTCTTCCCAAGCACATTAATCTGTTTAAATGTGTTCCTTGTGTGTCCGGAGTCACAAAATATTATTGATGGATTTGGTACTTTTTAATCAGTGGAAAGTGTATGACTCAGTGTCCCCGGGTGGGAGCGGAGCCCAGCACTGAAGATGACTTCATTTCCTGTTCTACTCTCCGTCACCCCTGACGCCCCCCCCCCCCCCTCAATGCTGAAGAACCTTTTTTCCGTCCAATATCTGGGAACCTTGTTTGGCGTTTGTTCCGAATCTCTTTCCTCGGATATCTCGGCTTTCAGATCATTGTTTTTCAGGACATGATCACAGGGCTGTCTTTCCTCACTCTGTCACTGCCTACAGCATCCCCTCCCCTCCCCTCTGGCTGGGGGCTGGTGTGAGTTTGTTGTCGGTGGTAGCGTGAACGATTGCGACAGGGCCTGGCTCTAACGGTGACCTCAATGGGTCTGACAGGCTACTGCTAACCAGCTCGGCAGGTCCCCAGTCCTCCAGGTCACAGCTGACGACAGCCCAGCCCGGCCTGGCTCATGGGCAGGACTTGGAGGAGCAGACCAGACCAGACCTGGCGGAGTGAGCTGCTCTGGGGCTCGGCCCCACCCTCCCTCCTCTGGGAGCTGAGGAAGTGGAGGAGTCCCAGGTGCAGCCTGACAGTGAGCGGAGGCAACACACCTGCTGTGGGACCTTTGAATTATATCATCACAAGGGAATGTTCAACGCCATTATTGTCTCCTCCCATTTCCAACTTCCGTCTCTCTCAGTCTCTCTGTCTCTATCTCTCTCGCTTACTCCCCATACCCATGCCCTCCTCGCTGGGCTCACTCAGCCTGTGGCTCCCACGGTCACACGCTCGCCTCTGAGTCAGAAGTTTGTGGGTTCACATCGGGACCGGGAAGTAAATCGTCTTCAGATGACACCGCGATGCATCACGGGATGGGGTGTTGCATTGTTGGAGGCGCCGTTCTTCGGATGAGTCATTAAACTGAGTTCCCGTCTGCCTGTCCAGGTGGACGTTAAAGATCCCACGGCACTACTCGACAAGAGAAAGGAGTTTCTCTCTCTCTCTCCCGGTGTCCTGGCCGACAATCCCCAGGATCAAGTCGGTCATTCAGTTCATGGCTGTTTGTGGGATGTTGCTGTACTCACACGTACTCACACCTCCACACACACAGTCACCTACAAACGCAGTCACACACACACTCCCAGTAACACACGCTGTCACAGTAACATACGCACACACACTGTCTCGGTAACACACACTCTGTCACTTTGCTCAGACTAACACAGGACCCATTGTTCTGCAGTAATCTGCCTTCTATCTAACAATCAGATAACCATTTCCACATACTCCGCATGTTTGTGTCCCGATCAGTTTAAAGATTCCTTCCTCACTCTGCGCTGTCCTGGGAATTTCCTCCTGGCTGCCTGTGGGACATTGCCGTGCGCAGCACAAATACACAGTCACTACACTGACAGCACCGCCCTGTGAAGAGTTTTCGAGATGTTTGTACATCACAGCGGCTGAATCAAAGGGAAATATTATTGTTACTGTGCCCAGCAAAGTCAGGAGAGGAGAGTGTAAGGAGGATATGAACAGGTGTGTGGCTGGTTTCTGTTTAATAATAATCCTTATGTTTGATGTAGACCTGATTACATCTGGAGGACGTCTCAAGGTGCTTCACAGGATTTTCTGTAAAGTATAATGACTGTGTGTTTTGTGGGCAAACACGGAAACCAACTTGCACAAAGCGATTAAAAAAAAACAGCCATGAGGTGAGGTGAACGATTGACTTTATCGGGGGAGATTCTTGGCCAGAACACTGGGAGAAAGTCCCTTCGCTCTTAAAATAGTGCTGTGGGATCTTTAATGTCCGCTCGAACAGGCAGAGAGGGCCTCGGTTTTAACACCTCATCTGAAGGATGGCACCTCAGACAATGACAATCACCCCGACACTGCGCTGCGAGTGTCAGCTTAGACAATGTGATCCCAAGTCCCAATGTGGGGCTTGAACCCACGACTGTCTGACTCAAGAGAGACGAGAGGGCCACCCTGTCAAGTCTCTGAGAGCTGAGATACCTTTAACTTCTCCCTGAGTCTTCTGACAATAATCCTAAAACCATGCCCCCCTCTTTACCCACTCCCCAACTAAAGATGTTTTTTTCCCTCTCTCCCCGACGCGTCCATTCAGTGTCTATGTTCCACTTACGTCATCGCTAACCTGATACTTTGGAGCAGGTACTTACAGGAGCTGACCCCCCCACCCCCACCCCTCCCCGCCCCGAGCCCCTGCCCAGCACATTCCCTGCGCAGTTACATCAGTCACAGCCTCCAGCAGTAACTCCACAGCTCATCTTGTCAACAAGATGAAGATTTACGCTCTGTCTCCCTGTCCCCTCTGTCAGAATGCCAACACAGTGAGCTCACCATCGTCAGGTTAACTCCTTCACCGCCATCCAATAATAATCCCATCGTCATCCTTGCGCCTTATCGCGTCTTCGAGACGTCTCAAAGCGCTTGACAGGATATACTGGGAAGTGAATTGACTGTGTGTTTTGTGGCCGATCTGTGTTCGTGTCTGCAAATCGGCTGCAGAGTTTACCTACAAAATACCTCAGTCACTACACTTTGCAGTGAATGCTGTGAAGCGCTTTGAGACTTCTCTAATGGAATGAAGAGGCCAGGGACAAGGGAGAGAGATGTACAGGGGAGGCAAACGAGCTCCCGTCTCACCTTTCTACGGACTGAATTCTCAGTGCTTTACTGACTCCCGGGCCCCATGGGTGAGATTGAGACGAGCCGGTGAAGGGCTGTAATGGAGTGTCAGTGAGTGAAGAAATCTCTTTGTGGAATTTCTTGCGTATCTTGTGCATTCTCTGGCGTTCTCCCCAACTCAGCTCAGCCCAGCTCAGCCCAGCCCAGCTATCTGTGCTCTATACTATCTGGAAGGAAACTTGCCTAACGTTTCGCCCTTCCCCGGGAATCAAACCCAACCTTCCTTGCAACCAGCAGCAGTTAACAAGCACAACAACAACAACAAAATTACGTGTACAGCGCCTTTCACGTCGGGAGGACGTCCCAAGGCCCTGGACAGTCAGTGTTTCGGACCCGAGCTGGGGGTCGGGATTGGGGAGGGTGGAGGGCGGGGGGGGGGGGGGGGGAAGCAGGGCGATCGAAAGCACGGTTGAACAGAAGAGTCTTGAGCACCACCTAATCAGAAGAGAAAGATATCTGGGAGGGACCTCACTGAGGTGTAGAAGATTTGAAGCGGGATTGAGAAAGTGAGCCAGGCAATGCCACAGGTTCAGGGGTGCGAAGGGCAGTCTCACACCTACCAGGAAGTGTTATAAAGTGTTGGTCTTGGCCCAATATCTCAGTGGTCCCATTATTTAATGAGCACAAAAGATTGTCCCACTTCCAAGTGGTCGGGATGCCACTGAGGCCACTTCCTGGGCACCAGTCACATTTGGGTCTGAGGCAATGATATCCCAGATCACCGTGAAAGGTCAGACCTGAACCCCTGGGCCTGACTTCCCCCCGGCTCGGTGTCGTGCTCCGCCACTGTCAAGCGCTCTGGGACACCTCTTTGCGCGAGAGGAGCTATATGAACGCAAGTTGTTCTTGTCTTTTCAGCAGACCCTCCCTGATGGAGGCCGGTGTGGTTCTTTTTCAGGATTCCTGGGCTGATCCCTTTTCCCTTTTTAATCCCCCCCCCCCACCCCGTCGAGAGTAATCCTCTTGGTGGGCTGTCACAGTCTGTGCACGTTACCTCCCCTCATCGTGGAGGAACACCAAGTGAAGGAACGCTAAGCGATAACACACCAGGCTGCCTCCAGGGCGCAGGGACAGATTTCCCAATTAACAGAGCAGGACCTCGTTGGTTCGTATACCGGTCTGTCAGTTTGCTGACCTCAGCTGGCCCTGTAGGGAGAGGCTAAATTGGCTCTGACCTCCAACCCCTTACCCCACGGTAAGAGAAGGGGTAAAACTGACCAAGTTCCAGCTCCTGCTCCCCCTTTTACAGTGCCCTCTCGTGTGTGTGTGTGTGTGTGTGTGTTCGTGCGTACCTGTGTACAGGTAAATATGTCGTTCAGTTACAGTGCGGTGCCGGGGAATGTGCTGCGTTAGTCCGAGGTGCCGTTCTTTCAGATAAGAAGTTAAACCGAGACCCCCGTCTGCCTGTTCGGGTGGATGTTAAAGATGTTATACCGGAGGGATTGTGACTCCCGGGTTCCGGGCTCCGAAATAAAATGCGGTCACTCAATCCACGACTGTGCGCGGGCACCTCGCTGCGCGCCATTGGGCTGCCGCGTTTCACCCACAACACGCACAGTCGCTTTACCAATATATCGCTCGGGGGGGGCTTCGAGGACACCTCGACGACGCGATAAGAAGCTATATCAAATGCAACGATGATGATGATGATGATTATTATTATTATTATTTATCAGTGGGCGTTGCAGGCTGTCGGCTGAGAGTTTGGCAGTTCTGGGAGAAGGGGTGGGAGGGAGGGAGGGAGACAGTTACTGTGAAGTTGCTCAGCAGTGTGTAGGGTGACCCCCTCCCCCCCCCGGAGTGGATGGGATGGCTGTTATCTGCTGCTCTGTGTGTGTGTGTGTGTCTCTTGGGGTTCCTCTGGACGCCTGTGGCTGCACTGATAATGAATGTTTAAATTGGCCGTGGGAGAGTGAATATATCGGATTACAGACTGCCTGAAATACCTCCCCCCACCCCACACCCCCAACTAACCCCCCCCTCACCCCCACAACCCCCCCCCCACCCCACCCCTGCTCTCAGTCCCTCCTGCTACAGCTGCTCCCTCTCCCTCTCTGAGCCTTTTTGCTGAGGTTATACAGTCTATGTGTGTGTGTGTGTGAGAGAGAGAGAGAGTGTGTGAGAGGATAAGAGAGAGGAAAAGGCAGAGAGATTAGAGACAGAGAGAGAGGAGACAGAAGGGAATAGCGGGGGGTGACCTCTCGCTGCGCGCACGCAACGCGCACCGTTTAAAGCCCATTTAAAGGGAACGGTTTAGTTTAAAGTCCCATCGAAGTGAGTGAGTGAGAGAGGGGGAGAGAGGGGAGAGGGAGGGGGAGAGAGAGGTGGGGAGGGGGGGTGAGGGAGAGAGAGAGAGAGGGGGGAGGGTGAGGAAGAGAGAGGGACAGTGTGGGGAGGGAGAGAGGGAGGGAGGGGGAGAAAAAGTGACTGTGAGCAGCTGTGCGGGGGAGAGAGGCGCAAGGACGCAGAGGGGGCTTTGCCCAGGACCAGCTATGGAGCGGGGGTTGGGGCTGGGGAGGGGGCACAGCTGGAGAGGCTGCGGGGGGCTGGGGCTGGGGAGGGGCACAGCTGGAGAGGCTGCGGGGGCTGGGGCTGGGGAGGGGGCACAGCTGGAGAGGCTGCGGGGGGTTGGGGCTGGGGAGGGGGCACAGCTGGAGAGGCTGCGGGGGGCTGGGGCTGGGGCTGGGGAGGGGGCAGAGCCGCGGGGGGCGGTGGGTCAGTGCGAGGAGGGGGCAGAGCTGCGGGCGGCGGTGCGGGAGGTGAGGCGGGACATGTTAGAGCTCAGGGACAGTGTGGAGCAGCAGTTGCGGGAGGCGTTGGCGTTGCTGTCGCCGCTGAGCCGCAGTCTGACCGCCCTCCAGCGCGACCACCGCCAACTCCGGCTCCAACTCCAGCGGCTGACGGCCGGAGGGGAGGGGGGTCTGACCCCGGGCAGCGGGGGGCGACCCCCCAGCCCCGACCCCAACATCAGCCCCGACACCAGCCCCGACATCCCAGCCACAAGCCAAGTAAGTGCCCCCCCACCACCCCACCACCCCACTCTCTCTGTCTCTTTACCCCCACTCTCTCCATCTCTTTACCCCCACTCTCTCTGTCTTTCCCTCTTTACCCCCTCTCTCTCTCCCTTTACCCCCACTCTCTCTGTCTCTTTACCCCCACTCTCTCTGTCTCTTTACCCCCACTCTCTCTGTCTCTTTACCCCCACTCTCTCTGTCTCTTTACCCCCACTCTCTCTGTCTCTTTACCCCCACTCTCTCTGTCTCTTTACCCCACTCTCTCTGTCTTTCCCTCTTTACCCCCTCTCTCTCTGTCTTTCCCTCTTTACCCCCTCTCTCTCTGTCTTTCCCTCTTTACCCCCTCTCTCTCTCTCTTTACCCCCACTCTCTGTCTTTCCCTCTTTACCCTCTCTCTCTCTTTACCCCCACTCTCTCTGTCTTTCCCTCTTTACCCTCTCTCTCTCTTTACCCCCACTCTCTCTGTCTTTCCCTCTTTACCCTCTCTCTCTCTTTACCCCCACTCTCTCTGTCTTTCCCTCTTTACCCTCTCTCTCTCTTTACCCCACTCTCTCTGTCTTTCCCTCTTTACCCTCTCTCTCTCTTTACCCCCACTCTCTCTGTCTTTCCCTCTTTACCCTCTCTCTCTCTTTACCCCCACTCTCTCTGTCTTTCCCTCTTTACCCTCTCTCTCTCTTTACCCCACTCTCTCTGTCTCTTTACCCCCACTCTCTCTGTCTCTTTACCCCCACTCTCTCTGTCTTTCCCTCTTTACCCCCACTCTCTCTGTCTTTCCCTCTTTACCCCCTCTCTCTCTCTCTTTACCCCCACTCTCTCTGTCTTTCCCTCTTTACCCCCCTCTCTCTCGCTCTCTCTCTCTTTACCCCCACTCTCTCTGTCTTTCCCTCTTTACCCTCTCTCTCTCTTTACCCCCACTCTCTCTGTCTTTCCCTCTTTACCCTCTCTCTCTCTTTACCCCACTCTCTCTGTCTTTCCCTCTTTACCCTCTCTCTCTCTTTACCCCCACTCTCTCTGTCTTTCCCTCTTTACCCTCTCTCTCTCTCTTTACCCCCACTCTCTCTGTCTTTCCCTCTTTACCCTCTCTCTCTCTTTACCCCCACTCTCTCTGTCTCTTTACCCCCACTCTCTCTGTCTCTTTACCCCCACTCTCTCTGTCTTTCCCTCTTTACCCCCACTCTCTCTGTCTTTCCCTCTTTACCCCCTCTCTCTCTCTCTTTACCCCCACTCTCTCTGTCTTTCCCTCTTTACCCCCCTCTCTCTCGCTCTCTCTCTCTTTACCCCCACTCTCTCTGTCTTTCCCTCTTTACCCTCTCTCTCTCTTTACCCCCACTCTCTCTGTCTTTCCCTCTTTACCCTCTCTCTCTCTTTACCCCCACTCTCTCTGTCTTTCCCTCTTTACCCTCTCTCTCTCTTTACCCCCACTCTCTCTGTCTTTCCCTCTTTACCCTCTCTCTCTCTCTTTACCCCCACTCTCTCTGTCTTTCCCTCTTTACCCTCTCTCTCTCTTTACCCCCACTCTCTCTGTCTTTCTCTATTTCTCTTTCCTCCCCCCCCCACCCCACGCACTCTTTTTCTCTTTCTCTCTCTCTCACACACTCTTCTCTATTTGATATAAACTCTCACATACTCTCTCTTTCTCTCACTCCGTTTCTCTCACACTTCTCTCTTGTTAATAATAATAATAATAATCCCTCAAAAAACCATAAACAATAATAAATTGGTCATTTTCAATCTACGACACGTTGTGGGACATTACTGTGCGCAATTGGCTGCCGCGTTCGCCCACAAATATACAGTCGATTCACTTTACAGTGTGTTCTGTGAAGCGCTTTGGGACGTCCTCCCGACGTGAAAAGCGCTATATCAAATGCAAGGATTATTATTATTATTATTGTTACTCTCTCTCTCTCTAACTCTTCCAGCCTGGTTCATGGGCAGGACCTGGAAGGGCAGACCAGTCACTGGGGGCAAGGAGTCATCTCACTCGGCTCCTGTTAACCCTACCAGCCAAAGCCCTAATGGGTAGGGTGGTCCTCACTGGACAACCAGCCGAAAAGCTTGCAATATTGATGGCAAACTCGGCGGTTTTAGTTGGTTTAGACTCCAGCAGTTACCCCCAACCACACTCTGGAGACCCCAAGCCTTGGCACTTGCCAACCTGCGCCTAATACTTTCTGGAATTAGGTGAGCAGGATGCTTCCCTCCAGGAAGAAGAGAGAGCGCATTTCATTCCAACAAACTTATCTCCGGGATTGCCATGTGTAGGTGGTGGAATTCTTCTCAGTTTGGTTTGGGTATTCTTAAAGCAACGGTGCTGTGTCAGACACCCGGCTGTCCAAAAAACTGGACAGCAATTGCCTCGAGCTGTTTGGATGTCATAAAAGTGGAAAGATTTTTTATTAATCTTCCTCTTCGAATGTGTCTACGTTCACCTCCCACCCCCCCCCCACTCCACCGGCTCGGCATCCAGCTCCGTCACTGTTAAGCGCTCGGAGATGCTCCTCTGTGTGAAAGGTTCTGTGTGAATGAAGATGTTGTTGTTGTTGTTAACTGAAAGCAAAACAGTCTGAGCTCATATGAAGAGGGCAGAGAGGGGTGAAGAGGAAAAGAGGAGATGAGAGGGGAAAAATTGGATTTTTTCAATATTAAAAAAAAGCTGATTTTTCACCGTTCCTTGTTTGTGAGGCCACTCGGCTTTACTACTGTCTGAGCAAAAAGGTTCAATCTTCACCTCCAATGTCCTCGCTTGGAGTCAGCCCAGCCCTGCCCTGCCCAGTCCTACCTGGCTATGCCCAGTCCAGAACAACCAGGACCACTAAGCTGCCAAGGCTAGAACTGTAGTTTCCAGACAGATATCCAGTGCCGGAAAACAGCCCAAGGCTATCGTCAGAGATCGGTGGGTCGATCTTGTGCCAACGCTTAAAATAGCAAACTTTCCGTGACAGGATTCCCAAGGCGGTTTGTGTTATAAACATGTAAAAGAAGGAGGGAATCAATCAATCAATCAATCAGTGCCTCTGATTTAAAGGGGCTCAATGATATACTTACAGAGAAATAGTGCTAAAGGTTATAGGGAGAGAGCAGGGAATGGGGTTAGAGCAGAGAGCTCCAGTGGGGGAGCGAGCACCGGCACAGACACGATGGGGAGAGAGAGAGAGAGAGCAGGGAATGGGATAAGAGTGGAGAGTCAATGTTGGGGCATTCAATGTTGCGCACCACAGCCGCTGTGAGCTGCTGTGTAACAGAGCCCTGGTGACATGTCAGCAGCCGAACCCTCCCCCCTCCGTGTGCAGGTTGCAATTGGTGTGAAACCAGAGGTATTCGGGGCAGATTTTAACCAGATGTTGATGTGGGAGCTGGGATCCAGTGGTTCTGCTCCTCCCGGCAGTTCATGGCCGACCTCTGTTGCTGCCAGTTATAACCTTCATGATGTCATCCCAGCTGGCTCAAGGGGGGCGGAGGGGGGGGAGAGAGAGAGAGAGGAGGAGGGGGCCAGGGCACTGCTCACAGCTGTAAGCTCTGTACCTCTGCTTACAGATGGCAGTAATTCAAGGAGCCTTCGACATCTGACGCATCTCCTCTCCTGGGCTGGTGTCTGTCGAGCCAAAGTCCCTCCACACGTTCACCCCGAGCACCATCATTGAGAGCTCACTGTGGGTGGGGGGCCACGACATTCAAGTGCACTCCTGCTCCCCACTGCCTCCCCCCCCCCCCCCCCTCATGTCCATTCATATTTTCAAGACTGAAGTGAATAGATATTTGTCAGGTCAGGGTATCAAAGGATACGGAGCAAAGGAGGGTAATTGGACTTGAGGCACAGATCAGATTCTTATAGAATGGCGGTAAAGGCTTGAGGGGCTGAATGGCCTCCTCCTGTTTCTATGTTACAAAGCTCATCATGCTCAGGGGAGTGTCCATATCACAGGTTAAGGTCAGGAGAGGCTGGTTAGGAGGAAAGGTGCTGTACCTCAGGGTTAAAGATGCAGGGATTTAAGGGCGTTTTAACTCAGGTAAGAGAGCAGGGAGAGCGCAGGGCAACAGTGGGTAATAGTTTGGCAACAACAACAGATTGCATCGAAATATACAGTCACTACACTTTACAGTGTATCCCTTGAAGCGCTTTGTGACATCTCGACAACGCGATAAGGCCCTCTATCAATTGCGAGGTTTACATTCATAGTATTAGACCCCGTGAGGCATTTCGAGATGTCTCGATGAGGCGATAATAATAATCCTTGCATTTGAAGTAGCGCCTTATCACGTCTCCGGGCTGACACATAAGGTTCTGGATTCAGCCGGGAGGATTAGTATTATTATTGTTGTTGTTAATAAGAGTGGCAACAGTGGGTGAGAGGCCATCTTGCTGATCTCACAGATGAAGCCTAACTCAAGAGCGACAAACAAGAGCTCAGCAGCAAAACGTACCAATTTACACGGGGTGGGAGGTAGTGGAAAGTGCTGGGAAAAGGATTAGAATGATTGGGCCGAGTGCAGGAACACATGTGCCAGCTACACTGAAGGAGGGGATGGTGGGCTTTAAATAGACTCCCATTGACCAGGTTCCCTCTCCCCCTCCACCCCACCCCGTTGCTCCGGGTCATGGCTATTTAAACTGTGATGAAATACCACTCGACTCCAGAGTTAACACTATTTTCTCAGCATGCGTCTCTCTCTCCCTCTCTCTCTCTTTCTCTCTCTGTGTCCGGTGTCTTGTCTCTGCACAGATGTGAATGCGGAGCTTGGGTCTATTCTCCTTGGAGGCTTCAAGGTGACCGACCGTTGGTCACGTTGTCTTCGTTCTGATGGTATCCGTCAGTTGATCCAAGCAGAGTGCTCGCTCATCAGAATGAAGGATTCAAATACCAGAGAAACCAAGTTAAATCTGGAGTGAGGATACAGAGCCAGAGGGGTGGGACCAGGTCAGAGAGATAGGTAGATGCTGGGATGTGAAGGCATTAGTATATCACGTCCAGTGCATATCTCAGAAGTCGATGCATTGCGAGACGGATTGTCCCTATTTGTGGTACAGACTCTTTAAGCTCAGCTCCTGTGTAGGAGCCAGAGTGTGTGACTCAAGAAGGTGCAAAGCCAACAAACTTTGGGTTGTTTACAAACGCAGTTCGAGGGAAAATCAGCCATTCTCAACGATAATTTTCGGAACTGGATGTTATATATAGCCACAGAGAGAGAGAGCGCGAGTGAGTGCCGGACTGTCACTGAACCTAGGCAAGGGAGTTGGGTTGTCACAGAGCCATCTTACTGAACCTGCTGGAGTGAAGTCTGTGTAATTAATCGCTGGCCCTCACTGATGCCTGTGTACTCCCCACCCCTCCCTCCAACAGCATTCCAAGGAATTGAGGTCACCGTCCTCCTGTGCAGTTGAGCGATCCATCTCAACTTCCTCAACAGCTGAGATTGTGTTTGCACCCTGCCCCCAGCCCCCAGCTGTTCCACAACCATCACCTGCCCCCACCACCCCCACCCCCCCCTCTCCCCTCCCAAACCCCCCTTCCTCACTCCTCATCACAGCGTTGCTGTGAAGGAGGTTTTACAAGCTGAGCTACGCCGCCTATCACTGAGATAGCAGATGGTGGGTACTGCAGAGGGCATCTTATCTCTGAAGAATGTCGTTTATCAAAGGAAAAATGTCAGGTCACTGGTATCAGCTGTGTAACCACTTCACATCTGTTCAGTAAAGGGGGGAGGGCCACTCACTCACTGGGTGACTGTGCGTAGTGGCTGTGAGTGCGTAACACACACTCGTCGTGCGGTTGTCTTTTTGGTCGGCCTTTGGGTGTCCTCGACACGTGTGGAAACCCATCATCACCGTTGCTTAAGAGTATCCAAACCCAACTGAGAATTCCATGCATCCCACCTACACGTGGAAATCCGGAGAGAGATTGTTGGACTGGAATGCGCTCTCCCCCTCTCTCTTTCTCTCTCTCCCCCTGGAGGGACACATCCTGCTTACCTAATTCCAGAGAGTATTAGGCGCAGGTTGACAAGGCTTGGGAGGAACCCCAGAGTGTGACTGCAACCCCCATCCCCCTCCCTCCCCAAATAACTTCGGTTGGGCTGAGGACGGATGGATTTTCGCAGCTTTGGCGAACAAGATGAAGAGAATGAGCCAAAGAAGTAAAGCCGCCTCTCTCGCTTGTCTTTTCAGCCTGGAGAAAGGACAGAAGAACAGAACGGGATAGGAGGCAGCAGGATTCTATATGCCCCTGTGACAGAGAACAGCCCGCATCCCTGGAGAGGTGAGGCCAGGATTCTCTCCTTCAACAACCAAACAACAACAACAAATTGCTTTTATCCCCCAGTGCCTTTCGTGTCGGGAGGATGTCCCCAAGCTGCTGGACTTCCCATTATTCCCTCCCAATTCCTATTAATATTCTCCTCTCCCAGTCCGGCTGTTACATGGACCGTTCTATATGGCCAAACAAATACATTTTTCTTGATTGATTATTTCTTGATTTATGGCCGCAATATAAAACATCGCTGCTCAGCAGCTACTGGGAACAAAAACATTGATTCAAAACAGATTCACCTAAGACTAGCGTGAATGTTCGGGAGGCCACTTCTTGACAGCCACTTCCGCATCTCAGAACGCTTCACGGGACTTACCGTAAAGTGGAGTGACTGTGTACTTTGTGGGCAAAACTCACTGCTCGGTGAACAGAGGCGTGTGGAGTAAGGAAACGTGCCCAAAGTTTCGTCATGCCAGGAATCGAACCCGGATCCTCTCGCTTGCGAGACGGGTGCTCTAACCCCTGAGCTACACGTGCAACTTGTCGTTGAGCCACTCCTGATACAGCCCTCTCTCTCTCTCTCTCAGTGCAAGCGGGAAGGGACGGGAGCTCAGCCCAACACAGGGAGACGGGCAGCTTGCCAGAGCACCAGCCAGCCTTGGTGGGCATCCCACACATGCCCATCACCGCTGTCACCAAATCCGGGGAGAGATTCTCTGGCGAAACGTCAAAGAGCACGGTGTTGAGATCGGAGAGCAGTGAGCAGGGGCAGGTCACCGTGAGCAAACCACAGAACCAGGGGCTCAATCTAACCCCAAACCAGCCAGGTAAGTCTGGCTGCACTGTTAAGGGTGGGGGAATGGGGGAATGACTCGGGTGGGGGAGGGTGTTGGGGCAAAGAAATGCACTCACCTATCTCTCCTTGTTGATTTTTACAGATGAGAGCGCTGTGGTTGGTAAGGCTCCCTCCTCTGTCAGCTACCCGGTATCCAGTGGGGTCCATTCCCCAACCAGGTGGGTGCACAGCGGAGCCACCAATAACTCTGTCAATGTACCTTGTGGTTGTGGTGACACGGCGATCAAGTGTTGGCATCTCTCTCTTCCCTGCAGCGTGCTGGACCTTTACCCAGATCCAAAGACCAAATGCCAGTCTCCGCCACCAACAGTCCAGCGCCAGGGGGAGAAGCGCCCCCTGCTGGTGCGGTCACAGACTCTGCCTCGCACATCAGGACCTCAGTCCAGGAAAGGTCTCTTCGAGAAGTTCGAACAGGAGGCTGGCAAGTAGGACATTTCTCCTGATTTTTGCGCAGCACACAGAGAAAGAGCGAGAGAGAGAGAGAGAGGGGGGGTCGCTCTCCCTCCCGTTCGATCATGGACACCTTTACTTCCAGTTTACAAGACGGAGGGATGTTGACAATGTTCTATCTCAGGGTCACAAGAGACACGCGTGTATTAATATTTCCCCGTTAACCAGTCTCCCAGAGGGGCCTTTCAACCACAGAACTGTTGACATTAATCAGCCTCCTGGAGAGTCCCTGAATTAATGCTTCAGAATTTAATAATTATCCCTGGATTTGATGCAGCGCCTTATCACGTCTTCGAGACGTCTCAAAATCGATAAACAGGATGTACTACAAAGTGAATTGACTGCATATTTTGTGGGCGAAATTCGGCAGCCAATTGCGCCCACCAGTGTCCCCACAAACAGCTGTGGATTGAGTGACCAAATTATTATTCTTAACTAGAATTTTTTTTTTTTTTTGGAGGGTTTATTACCCTCGGAAAAGCAATCCACTAATCGACTAACAAACCGGGTGCTTACTTACTGCTGGGTAAACAGAGGCGTTATTATTATTATTATTATTATCATGAATTGCTTGGAGCCACAAGGCAATGTCTCACCTTGCCCAGGAATCGAATCCAAGTCCTCTCGCTTGCGAGGCAAGTGCTCTAACCACTGAGCTACAGGACTATTTCCCCATTAAGCAGGCAAAATCAACATAGCAGGATGTTCCCCATTAAATAACCCTGTGAGAGACCTTGAATCAAGTTCCTTGTTTATCCAGCTTCATGAGGGACCCTGAACAAATACTGCAGGATATCCCGAATTCGCTTGTCCTTTGGGCGTTACAAATGGTGACCAATCCGTCACCGAGGCCATATCAAAGCCGCATATCTCCACTCAAGGTGCTTTGTGCCTCCAAACAATGACGTCGATTCCAGTGCGCGGCTTGTGCGTGCGAGGGAGAGAGCGAGTGTTGTCTCATGTGTTATTTATAACAGCGTTGGGTGCTGTGGGGCTGGTGCTGGCTTGATTGACGCAAAGAGAGGAACGGGATCTGTCTCTGATCGACCTTCCCCGATGCACGCTAACAGCGTCTTGTGCCGCCTGACCGGCTTTCCCGGGTGTCACCCTTACCTTCGCTGTTCACCAGGGGCAAAGCCGGGGACTCCAAGGGCAAGTTGAAGCGATCGCAGAGTTTTGGGGTTGCCAGTGCAAGCAGCATTAAACAGATCCTCCTGGAGTGGTGTCGCTCAAAGACAATTGGATACAAGGTAAGCAAAGGGCAGGAGGATGCTGCCATCAGAAACCCCTCGTAAACACGGTGAAAAGCCTGCTGGATTTGTCAGGGGTTGTGCTTTGCGACTGCACGGACACATTCCTTTAGGAAAGCCATGTGGGCAAAGTGGGTGGAGGCTTCCTCCGTTCTTAGCAAGGTCGTCGTGTGTTTAAAGACGATAATCCGGGCACATCTAGTCAGTGAACGTGCAAATGGGGAGGTTAGGAGATATGTTCGCACACAACAGAGCTGTTAGGATATCGAATGCGTCGCCGGGAACGGTGATGGAGGGAGAATCCACAATGGCCTTCAGAAGGGAACTAGATAAACATCTACGAAAGCGTAAGCCACAGTGGTTCTGAGGGAAAGGGCAGGTAAATAGGACCGAAAGGATTGCTGTTGAGAGAGCTGGCACAGACACGGTGGGCCAAATGGCCTCCTTCTGTGCTGTAAGTCTCTGTGGCGCTCTCTCTCTCTCTCTCTCTGGAAACGGGTCCCACCTCTGGACTGTGTCTGTTCCTCTCCTGCAGTTGGTCGACATCCAGAACTTCTCTTCGAGCTGGAGCAACGGAATGTCGTTCTGCGCTCTCGTCCACTCCTTCTTCCCCGAGGCCTTCGATTACGATCAGCTGGATCCCAAGAATCGCAAGCTCAACTTTGAGCTGGCCTTCAGCATGGCAGAGTGAGTGCAACATACATTTATAATATACTATGTATATATATATATATCTCATGCCTTTCACGTCGGAACAAGGTCTCAGACTGCTTAGAGCACTCTATATAGACAGGAACGCCGCTTCCGTTCACTAACAGTGTTAGGCACGTGCAGCCCATTCAATTGAGACATCCCAAAGACGTGATAAGGCGCTATATCAAATGCAAGGATTATTATTATTATTATTACTATCATAAATTACTTGGAGTCCCAAGGCAGTGAGGGTGCCCCCTACTGGCGTGAAAACGCATTGAAAGTATGAACAAGTCTATCCAGTGACCAAGTAACGGTTTGCTTGACACTGTGAGAGTTTTGCTGATTGTTAGCACAATTACCACTGTCTATAGTTTGACCCTCTCCCACCATCACCCACCCTCCCCCACTCCCATTGCTTGGATCTGCATCCAAGAATCTGTCTAACCTCCCAGGGTCTCTGTGTTACAGGAAGATGGCGCACTGCGACCGGCTGATCGAAGTAGAGGACATGATGGTGATGGGCAAGAAGCCAGATCCCATGTGTGTGTTCACCTACGTTCAATCGCTCTACAATCACCTGCGACGCTTTGAATAACTCACCCCTGGAGAGAGGGGGGGAGAAAGAGAGAGAGAGAGAGAAGGAGGGAAGGAGAGAGAGAGATGGAGAGAGCGAGGGGTGGGTGGGAGGGCGAGGGTGAGGAGAGCGAGCCAGAGAGAGATGAGAGAGGAAAGTGGGGGAGAGGGAAAGAGTGAGAGAGAGAGAGAGGGAGGGAAGGAGGGAGGAGAGGGCGTTGGGAGTATGGAACAGAGGAGGGAGAGGAGAGAGGCCTGCCTATGTGATTGCCCCTCTCTCTGCTTTCACTGTGCACAATGAATGCACTGAACTCTAGTGTGTGCAGTACAGTAGCAGCTATCAGCCAGGCTGTGGGTGTACCAGCTACTCAATATAACAATAAACACACCGCCTGGTTGAACACCAGAGACAACTGTGTCAACTCCGCCCTGCCCTGCCCACGCCGCCTCACAAACTTGCACTGTACCTGTGTGACACAGTGACAACCATGTGATTTATCATGGCACCCTTGCCAGATGGGGACATTTCTAATCAGTGCGGCCAAGGGGGTGGGTGCAGCCAAGGGGGTGGCCAAGGGGGTGGGTGTGGTCAAGGCGGTGGGTGTGGACACCCTACTGTCTGCTGGGCAGGGCGTCTCGATGTTGGGGCAATGCCAAGAGGAGCCTCAGAGCTTCACCCAGGGCGCGGAGAAAATCCAGACTGAATGGCGCGATCCATTGCCAAGGCTGGCTACAGACTGGAAACAACTCAAGTTGCTGCGCAACACAGGACTTCAAAACACTCATAAATCATCTTGAGATCCGTCAGCGATAGAACGTCCCATTTCGCTGGGACAGGGCTTTCAGCTCTTGGCTGCTCACAGGTTCATAGGGACAGCTGCTCTTATCAGATCTCCTGCTCATCACTCTAACCCACCTTCCCCACACCCCCCATGTCAGGACTTTAAACTTCAGTGCTGGGGAGGGGGATTGCTATCTTGTCAGAGGTGTCGTCCTTCAAATGCAAGGATTATTACATGATTATTATAGACTACGGCAACACAGCTTTACAGCAAACGATAATTCTTGCATTTGATAAGGTGCTAACCTTACCACCTCGTGTCACAGCATTTTACTGCGAAGTGTAGTGGCTGTACTTCTGAGCAAACATGGCTTCTGGGACGCCGCTGTGCGCTAAATCGGCCGCCGCGTTTCGCCCACAAAATTCACAGTCAATTCACTTCATAGTATATTCTGTGACGCGCTTCTGAGACGTCACGACAACTATTATCGAACGTAAGGATTATTATTATTTTAATTAAGAACGGCCGTGCGGTCGAGGTTGCCTCCTGCTCTGGGGCATGCAGACGGCAACATAGAGTCAAAACCTTGAGGAAAGGAAGGGCGGATTGAGAACAATAGGGCCGGTTGCTCCTGGGCTGGGGGGTGGGGGGTGGAGGGAGGGAGGGAGGGAGGGGACAGAAACCCACCAGCTTTCCTGCTATTCAGTGCTGCTCACAAACTGGATATGGAGCGAGGACAGGATTGGGCTTGACTTGAGATGCCCCAGGATTGGATATCGTGTCTGGGCTCATGCACGAAGAATGGCTACGGAGGGTGTGCCAAGTCCTTTGAAACGAAACCTCAGCATGAGTCAGCACCTGCCGGCCAGGCGGGGTTACAGCGAGGAGAGCGCATGACCTTTTAAAATATTGGCCAAGAAATAGATTGTCAAAGGCATCACGCGGGCTCCATCTGGTGGCAAAAGTGATTCCAGTGGATTTTGTCCCTGCGTAATGGCAAACTGAGGAGATGTTAGCACGTCACAAGTGTCCAGTAAAGGTCCTCCCTCTGCACTGAAGGCAGATGCCCCGCCAGGTTGCTGATGAGGAAACTCTGAGGCTCGGGGTGACAGCTGCTGGAAGGAGTGACCTGGAGTTCCCGAGTTTGTGATCACACGATCGTACATACAGCGCCTGGAATCCACCTTGGAAGGGCAGACCAGTCACTGGGAGCAGGGATTCTTTCCACTCAGTTTCTGTTAACCCTGCAAGCCAAAGCCCTAAGGGATAGGGTGGTCCTTGCTGGACAAACAGCGGGCAAGCTTGCCAGACAGCGATATCAATGGCAAGCTATGTGCGGTTTTAGCTGGTTAAGACTCCCCTGGGTAGCAGTTACTCCCAACCAACACACAGTCTGGAGTTCCCCCCCCCCACCAAGCCTTGGCTCTTGCTAACCTGTGCCTAATTCTCTCTGGAATTAGGTAAGCAGTGTGTGTCCCTCCAGGGAGAGAGAGAGAGTGCGCATTCTAGCGCTGACACTGGGAAGTTTCAACATGTAGTTGGTGAGTGGACAGCCACGTTACTTCATTCTTTAAATATAAAGCATTAAAAAAACATAAAAACTTTTAATAAAACACATTGATTGAGTAAAATACGAATTAAGAGCGACCGTAAAGTCATTACAAAATTACATTTTGCCAACGCAGAGTAAAGGCAGTGGTGCTGAGTGCAGTGAAGTGAGTTTTAGTCAGTCCCTTCCCAGTGGGACAGGGCTCTGGGAACTGCAGGAAATCCACTGGTTTGTGGCTTGTTTTGCCACAGGCCAGGACCGAACATTTAAAGGGAGAACATTTAAACTGGAGCAACATCTGAAGAAATAACAACATAAAGTGTCCGGGAGGGGAAAGCATGGAATTGGAATTAGAGTACAGGGTGACCACAAAGTCTTGTTACCACCCCCCACACAAGACTCAAAAGAATTCCCATTTCCTATGTCCCCCATTAGTCTGTTACCAAAGCCTGGTGTGTATCCTGATACAGAGAGAGAGAGAGAGATGGGACGGGCTAACTTCCCTCAGTCATGTTTCCAGACCTTGTTCAGAATTCTGACGACTTCCTCATAGATAGTGAAGGTGATTGCTACGTCCAGGCACACCCTGCCCAGCCTCGGGACCGTCCCTTTGTAAAACCTGCAGCGCAACAGGAAACAGAATAGCCCCTTAGCAGATGTGTGGATGGAGATAATTGTGCAGTCCTGTGTAGTTTGAGTGGTTAGCGCACTCGCCTCGCAAGCGAGGACCCGGGTTTGATTCCCGGGTCAGGGCGAACCGTTGGGCAAGTTTCCTTACTCCGCACGCCTCGCTCGGTTTACCCAGCAGTAAGTAGGAACCCAGTTCTTAAGTCGACTGTCGGATCGGTTTTACGGGGGTAATAATCCCTTTCATAAATAAGTAAATAAATAAATTTGATCACTCAATCCGCGACTATTTATGGGACGCTGCTATGCGCAATTGGCTGCCGCGTTTCACCCACAAAATGTACACTTTACAGTATATTCTGTGAAGCGCTTTGAGACGTGTTGAAGACGTGATAGGAGGCTGTATCAAATGCAAGGATTATTATTATTATATCTGGCACTCAGCGCCTTGCTGTAATACACTGCATCTAAGGTCCATTTTACTTACGCCGAAAGACCCTCGTGTTTAAGGATCTGAATCGCACAGTCCAGCGTGTTCCTGTACTTGTGGGACTCCAGACTCTGCATCAAAAACCACAGAGATGAAAACAAAAGGGCCAAGAACCACCCCTCCCGCCTGGACAAAGCCTCACTCTGTGGAGGCTGTGTAAAACAGCCCCACGTCCATCCTTAATACAACGACGATGACAAATCTATGTATAGTATCTTTCACATGGGGAGAACGTCCCAAGTCGCTGGACAGTCAATGGTTTGCAACTGAGCTGGAGGGTTGGGATCAAGAGGTGGAGGTTGATATCAATCCACAACTGTTTGTGGGACAATGCTGTGTGCAATTGGCTGCAAAGTTTCGCCCGCAAAACACAGTCACTACACTTTACAGCTGCGAAGCGCTTTGAGACGTCTCAACAACATGATAAGGCGCTATATCAAATGCAAGCATTATTATTATTGTTAATGTATTCACTGCGCTATGGTATCGACATTGTGCCACGTGTGATGCTGAAAGGTCATCTTGATCCAATTGTAAGGCACGAGCAAAAGTAAGTTACTGTGGCTTTGCTGGCCTCGCCTGCCATGTGCACATTCATACATACACATCACTGTAGTCGGGAGTTCCAGCGGGAATCTTCAGGGTAAAGTACTGGATTAACTCCTTTCTAACCTGCATCCGAGTCTTGACAACATCGAGGGGTGTGTTTCCGAAGACACTGGCCGCTCCTGCACTGGCTCCGAATATCGCTGTGACCAACATGTTGATGGTTTTGTGTGGGTCGTCACCTACAGGCAGAGAGTACGTTACAGCTCCATCAAGGAAATGGATGGCTGAGGAAGGGAGAGTATAGAATTGGTGGGGGGTGGGTGCGTGGATAGGAGGGGGTGAACAGCATAAGAAACAGAGAATACATGGAATTACAGCAGATACTTTTTAAGTCTACATCTTTATAACTTTAAAGAAAAGTAAAAGGCCAGATCTACTTGTGTGCTTCCTACTTTTGTAACATGTTTTAAAGTTGAAATAAATTGGTACTGATTTCGGGCAGCCTGAGATGTCTCGATAACCGGATGATGATGATAATAATAATCCTTGCATTTGATATAGTGTCTCATCATGTCTTCGAGACGTCTCAAAGCGCTCCGCAGAATATACTGAAAAGCGCACAGCAGTGTCCCACAAACAGTCGCGATACGACGTCATTTCAAATGCAAAGATTATTATTATAGGATGTGAATTTAACTCCTGCACACGCTGAGACTGAGAAACAAAAGGATTACGTCTACACCTCGCGCCCGGTGGGGACTTCAGACCGAGAAGGCCCAGGGTGGGTCGCTGACCTCTCACCTGTGTACCAGTTACGTAGCGAGGTCATCACGAAGAAGCGGATGGCCTGGTTTGTGCCCTGTTTGAGGATCGTGGCGCTCAGTCCCTGGTAAGTTCCTCGCAACCCTGAGAACAAAAGAAAAACATAGAAACAGGAGGAGGCCATTCAGCCCCTCAAGCCTGTTCCGCCATTCTATAAGATCATGGCTGATCTATACCTCAACTCCAATTACCCGCCCTTGCCCCATATCCCGTGATATCCTGACTCACAAATATCTATCCACCTCCATCTTGAAAATGAATGGATCCCATGGCACTATTTGAAAAGAGAAGAGAGTTTCTCTCTCTCTCTCTCGGTGCCCTATAACAACAACAACTTGCACTTACATAGCGCCCTCCACGCAGGGTAGGGTCTCAGAGCACTTAACAGTGGCGGACCGGGGGAGGGGGGAGGTGGCGTAAGCACGGTCAAAGAGGAAAGTTTTCAGGCGGGTCTTGAAAGAGGGGGCAAGGCGGAGGGATTGAGGGAGAATGTTCCAGAGTTTTGAGGCATAGTGGCTGAAAGCCCGACCTCTGATGGTGGGGCGGAGGGTGCTACATAGTATATCGTGTATGTATATATATATATATATAAGTCCTAGCGAACAACCCCCCAAAATAAAAAATAGTCGCTCACTCCATGGCTGTTTGTGGGACACTGCTGTGTGTAACTGGCTGCTGTGTTTCACTCACAAAATACACAGTCAATCCACTCAACGACGTGATAAGGCGTTATGTCAAATGCGAGGATTATCATTATTGTCGACGTGGCTGATATCAATTCTGAAACACACACCCCTCCGACTGTTAGTGAGCGAGACCCACCTTTTTCCAAAATAATCTCTCGGACCCCGTGAAAAAAGCCACGATATTTGGGTTTAGTCAACGACTGGTCGTGTATAAACTTCACCTGGTACAGAAGAGAAAAACAGAGGTGAGAATTCAAATAAAGGTCCTGTAAATACACAGCGCTTTGAGGCGTCTCTACGACGTAATAAGGGGCTAGATCAAATGCAAGGATTATTATTATTATTATTAATATTAACTGAGCCAGGCTGACACTTGCAACCAACAAACCCGGGTTATTACAAAGCACTTTATACTGTTCAGTCACTGAGTGCAAACCCTCAGTGAGGACTTTATGGTCTCCATGGGACACCCTGTTACCTTTATGGTCTCCATGGGACACACAATCACCACGGCCTCCATGACCCCGGCTCCAAGCCCGCACATCATGCTCTGTGTGTTACTCAGTTTCCCGCTGGCATCCCGAGACAGATTGCTCAAGAACTCGAATGTTCCAAACCTGAGGGAGAGGGAGAGAGAGAGCGGGGCGGGGGTGAGCGATTATGGTTGGGGATGCTGATGCCCTTTGTAATGGGGTGTTCGGTGTTTGTAAAAAATAGGGTTGCGGATCACACAGCAAACAGTGGCTGAGCAATTCTCAATCTTCCCAACAGATTTGTTGACACTGTAATTCTAGCCCGAGAGAAAATGACATAAAAAGCAGCTTATTTTGAGGTGAGCAGCAGTATTGCTGCCGTGTTGGTGTTTCCATTTACATCCTGTGTGTGTGCAGTGTGTATGTGTGTGGTGCGTGTGTAGTGTGTAGTGTGTGCGTGTAATGTGTGCAGCAAACCCCCAGCACTGTATTGAAGCATCAGCCTAGAGTATGAACTCAAAGACCCGATCGATGTACAGCTTGAACCCACAACCTTTTGACTCGGAGTGGAGAGTGCTATCCGAGTCAGGCTGCCGCACTATCTTAAGATGCGATTTTTCCTGTTGATTTCACGTGCTTTTCTTGTGTTGTGTTGGATCATCCGTTTTCTATCTCTCCGCGTTGACTGCTGCGTGGGTCGCTTACCTGACTGCGGTTTTGGGGATGGAGAAATACAGCAGGGAGCTGAGGCCTCTGTACAGCCCTTTCACCCCGTGATCCCGAATTGTCCGGCTCACTATGTCACCTGCCAAGGGAACAGCCTAAAATTTATTTCAGCAAGTATCGGGGCGAGGGGCGGTAGCGGGGAGGGAATGGGACTCATTGCCCCTAATTCCAACCCTATTTTACAACACACCGAACACCCCATTAAAAAGGGCATCAGCATCCCCCACCGATGCGCTTGCAGTTTTGGGTACCTGTATCAGTCAGACTGTGGCATTGCTTTCTAGTAAGCTGCAGTGTAACGCCTGAATGGGCACATTCCCCATCAAAGCGCTGGGACTCCTGCGGTGTAGCAGTTAGAGCATTTGCCTCGCGAGCGAGAGGACCCGGGCTTGACTCCTGGGGCAGGGCGAAACCTTAGGTGAGTCTCCTTACTCCACCCGCCTGCCCAGCAATACGTAGGAACCCGGTTGTTAGTCGGTGGACCACTTTTCGTAGGTGATAATCCCTTTTAACAAATGTAGTCGCTCAACCCACGACTGTTTGTGGGACACAGCTGTGCGCAATTGGGCTGCGGCGTTTCGCCCGCAAAAGACACAATCAATTCACTTCACAGTATGCCCTGTGAAGCGCTTTGAGACGTCTCGAAGACCGTAACACGGCTATGTAGAATGTAAGGATTATTATGATTATTATTATTATAATACCACGCAGCTGTGTGAGCCTGTGAACAGGGACGGTTCCTTACCGATGCCGGAGGAACGTGAAGGGTTCACTCGATCCAGGAGCTGGAGCTGTGTTTTCACGTACTCCGTGGGAAAGGTGATGCAGATTTCGATCCCTCCGGCAATTCCACCTGCGCCAACAGAAGTGGAGTGGGATGATGGAGACCTTGTGGACACAACTGCAGTATTCAAACCAACTCGCTGCCCCACACGACTGTACAGCATTCATCCCTCAGCCCGGCTCACTGGGTAGCTCTCCGGCCTCTGAGTCAGATCGTTGTGGGTTCAAGCCCCCACGTTCACAGTCGAGGTTGACACTCCAGTGTAGCACTGGGGAGGGGGGGATAGAGAGGGGGAGAGAGGGGGATAGAGAGGGGAAGAGGGGGGGATAGAGAGGGGAAGAGGGGGGGATAGAGAGGGGGAGAGGGGGGGATAGAGAGGGGGAGAATGGGGGATAGAGAGGGGGAGTGCTGCATTGTCGTATCAATATATGGAGGAATATCTGGAGTCCTGTAGCTCAGTGGTTAGAGCACTCGCTTTGCAAGCGAGAGACCTGAGTTCAATTCCAGGCAGAGGGCGAAACCTCGGGCAAGTTTCCTTACTCCACACAGAGCCTAATAATAATCCCTCCAAAACCAAAAACAATAATAAAATTGGTCATTTTGAATCTACGACACTTTGTGGGACATTGCTGTGCGCAATTGGCTGCCGCGTTCGCCCACAAATATACAGTCAATTCACTTTACAGTGTGGTCTGTGAAGCGCTTTGGGACGTCCTCCCGACGTGAAAAGCGCTATATCAAATGCAAGGATTATTATTATTATTATTATTGTATGTATATTGGGGCACTGTGTGTATGGGGTGTAAGTCGGGCTCAGTACATGAGGGATACTGGGGAGTATTATGGAGGGCATTCAGTAAACACTTCAAGTCTTTATTTGTTGTGGCTTTAATGTTACCCGATGCCAGGCACGGAGCAAGCCTTGGTCTGTCCTCCTGTCGGTGTTTCTGGTGTAAAGGTGGGGGGGAGGGGGTGCAGGGCAGCTGGTGGTGGGCACCAAACCTCGTGTTACCTGCCAGGATGGCTTTGCCCAGGTGTGTGGGCTTCCGAGCGCCGCCTGCAGGTGCTGCTGCGGCCAGGTGTCCCCCCTGCCCCTGCCCCCCCCCGGGCTCTGCCGGGGCTCGAACCGGCTGGAGGTCACCCATTCTCGGCCTGATGGAGCACTGGCCGCTGCCAGGCTCGGTGATGGACATTGCGGGGGTAGAGGGAGTGGGGATGGGTTGGGGGGCTGGGTGGGGGGAAGAGGAGAGTGAGGGGTATTGAGTGTGTACGATAAGGAGTGATTGAGGGTGTGTTAATGGGGAGAGGGAGGGCGACGGAGGGAGTGAGGGAGGGGGTGGGTAAGTGTATGTGGGGTGAGGGGTTAGTATGGAATGAGAGTGTATGTGGGGTGAGTGAGGGGGGGTCTGTTCGTGGAGATAGAGTGGGCTATGGGGGGGGGGGAGTGATGGGATGGTGGGAGGGTATATATGGGGTTTGTACGGAGATAGGGGGCTGTGGGTGTGTGTAGAGAGAGCATATGGGGTGAGAGAGGGGTATATATGGGGTGAGTGAGGGGTATATATGGGGTGAATGAGGGGGTGGGTGGGGGTATATGGGGTGAGTGAGGGGGGGTATATGGGGTGAGTGGGGGTATATGGGGTGAGTGAGGGGTGGGGATATGGGGTGAGTGGGGGTATATGGGGTGAGTGAGGGGTATATATGGGGTGAGTGAGGGGTATATATGGGGTGAATGAGGGGGTGGGGGGTATATGGGGTGAGTGAGGGGTTGGGGGTATATGGGGTGAGTGGGGGGTATATGGGGTGAGTGAGGGGGTGGGGGGGTATATGGGGTGAGTGGGGGGTGGGGGTATATGGGGTGAGTGGGGGTATATGGGTGAGTGAGGGTATATATGGGGTGAGTGGGGGGGTGGGGGGTATATGGGGTGAGTGAGGGGGTGGGTGCGGGGTATATGGGGTGAGTGAGGGGGGGGGGGGGGTATATGGGGTGAGTGAGGGGGTGGGGGGGTATATGGGGTGAGTGAGGGGGTGGTGGGGGTATATGGGGTGAGTGGGGGGGTGGGGGGGTATATGGGGTGAGTGAGGGGGTGGGGGGGTATATGGGTGAGTGAGGGGTGGGGGGGGTATATGGGGTGAGTGAGGGGGTGGGGGGGTATATGGGTGAGTGGGGGGGTGGGGGGGTAAATGGGGTGAGTGAGGGGGTGGGGAGGGGGTATATGGGGTGAGTGAGGCTCACAGACCCCCTGGTGGCTCCTGTGTAGTGAGCGCCACAGCGCCTCCAGCGGTGGGAGGAAGAAGGAGCTGAGAGGAGAGACCCGGGTGTGTGGGTGTGTGGGTGTGAGGGGGCGGGAGACGCTGCTGCGGCGTAACCATGGAGACGACGCACGACGCGCCCGACGCGTCGCCTGGAGACGGTTGCCAAGGGCGACGTTGTGTTGATGCGCTGGGCGGGGCCGGGAGGGCAGAGTGAAGGCAAGCAGGCAAGTGGGTGCCGCTCCGGGCAGTGACGCCCTCCTGCCAGCCTTGCCCGGCCCTGGGGCGGGCAGTCAGGCCTCTCATACCCGGGCCAGGCAGCTGCCAGGCCGGGCAGGTGCCAGGTAGGGCTCGGGAGCTGGTGCTGGCAAGACAGCCCGCCCGCCTTGGACACGCACTCACCGGGCAGGTGAAGGGTGGGGGGGGAGGAGGGAGGGAGAGGGGAAGGGAGGGTGAGGGGGTGGGGGAGGGGTGATGGGGAGGGTGAGGGGTGAGGGGGTGGGGGCAGGTGAAGGGTGGAGGTGCGGTGGGAGGGAGAGGAAGGGGTGGGAGGGAGGTAGGGGAAGGGAGGGAGGGGGTGGGGGCAGGTAAGGGTGGGAGGTGGGAGGGAGGGGAAGGGGTGGGAGGGAGGTAGGGGAAGGGGGAGGGGGGTGGGGGCAGGTGAAGGGTGGGAGGTGGGGGGGGAGGTGGGAGGGAGGGGAAGGGGTGGGCGAATGTGCTAAGAGGTTAGTAATAATAATAACGATAACAATCCTCGCGTTTGACACAGCGACTTATCACGTCGTGGCGACGTCTCGAAGTGCTTTCGCGGAATAGACTGCAAAGTGAATCGACTGTGGTAGTTTGAGGGGCGTAAACCCCTCCAGTACGTTACGGCTGAAGTGGGCAGACGAGGTGTTTTTTTTTTTTTTTTTTTGCGCTCTGCACCGTGGCCTCAAACGAACCGGTCGGGGATTTCTCTGTTTGTGCTGGAACTGTTTAGGAACCAAACGCGCTCGCTAACAAGTCCGGCGGGTAACTTGCAAAAGGTTTCGCACGACTGAGACGTCTCGGAGCCTTTTTTCGAACTGACGCGGGTTGGAAATGAAACTGAACGCAGACAGACGCAGCAGCGGATGTACAGTCCTGTGATGCCCCACAAGGAACTGTGAGATGAGAAGCCAGTCATTTGGAATTGGTGGTAAATTTGAATGAGGAGGTGAATTTGAATGATAAACTGCTTTAATTGGGGGGAAAGACTTCACCATTCTTTCAAATAGTGACCGGAGTGGGTGGAGGGGAGGGTGGGGTGGGGGTAGTTGTGACCTGAATAAATAATAATAAGTATGTGGTTTTTAAGCGCCTTTCACTTCGGGAGGACGTCCCAAGGTCCACGATTTACTGTAAAGTGGAGTGACCGTGTGTTTGTAAGTGAATGAACGACTCGATCAAAGAGAACCACTCATTTTGCATTGATAAGCAGCTGAGGCGCCATATCGAACGCGAGGATTATTATTGTTATTATTTTCCGGTCCCACTCCTACACCGCGTGTCATTTCTCGGCGGATGTACATGTAGCAGGAGATTGAAATTGCTGCCGTTACCTTGCAGTGCCGGAGGTGTCATCGTCATGGCCAAACTTGTCAAGGCGCCCATCAGATTCTTGCCCCAGGAATGGAACTACTCGAACAAGACCCACTACAACAATGCAGAGGTCCAGAGGTCCCGTTCGGAACGGTTGGTTGCAGAGAGCGAGAGGCTGGTGGATGAGATCGAGAACACCACGAGGAAAACACAGAGAGACGTCAACAAAAAACTCGGTAACAAACAGCATCCCCATTTTACTCTCGGTATTTCACAGGAAGACTAATTGTTGTCCGACTCACCAACAAGGCTGGGAGCTATAGAGAGTTCCTCCGCTCTGCGCACTAAAGCCAGACCTGGGAAGCTCAAGTCAGGCTGTTCAGTGGATCACAGTTCAGCTGCTCATGACATAGTGACAAATAGCCATTCAACTAAAGAAGCAAATTGTTGCTCTCTGATCAATGTTCTCCCCCCTGTAATCAGAGGTAAGTTACTGTCCCTCCTCGGCATCCAATTCGCAATGAGCGCGGAGAAATATGTGGAGCTCCCCCATGTGTGACCATCGTAGGGTGCAGTGTGTTGGGTGGGTCTGTGGTACTCCATACCACTGCGTAGGTAAAAACAGCAAAAGATTCCCATCCCATTGCACAGCCACGATTCATATACATTATAGGCTTTACGTTTGATACAGCGCTTTTTATGTAAGGAGGACGTCACAAAGTGCTTCACAGGATATACTGTAAAGTGTGGTGACTGTCTATTTTGTAGGCAAACATGGCATCCAATATCCCCACAAAGAACCAAGAAGTGAATGAACGATCAATTTTATCTGGGGGGATAGTTGGCTGGACGCCAGGAGAGAGAAACTCCCTTCTCTTTTTGAACAGACTGACGATTAATTAAATATCAAGGCCTCGTGATCTCTGTAACTGAGCAATGAGGGCAACATGTTAATTACCGTGGCCGGGTTTGGTGACTGGTATGAGCTGCTGAGACAATGATCAGGGCTGATGGCCTTAGCTGCCTGAGTCTGAGCTCACTACCCCATCCTCCCTGTTACAGAGCAGCGGATCGAAGAGATCACTTACTGGAAGAAAGAGCTCAACACCAAGCTTGATGAGCTCATCATCGAGAATGACCTCTTGTTGGCACAAAAGACCCGTCTGCTGAAAGCCCTGGACAAGCTACAGGAGCCTCTCTGTATCGCTCAGCAATGCCTGGTAAATCGGTACGCACCACAAGGTGATCGGTGATCAATAACTGTGAGGCTTGTATTTGACAACCACTTGCTTACAGCTGTACACCTGGGCCATTAACCCTGAATCTTACAGTAAGGCTTTGAGTTTTTCCATCCACAAACCAGTGAGATTGGTCAAGTAAATCTTTCTAAATATCAGAGATTAATGGCTGGAAATTTACCAATTTCCAACAGTTTGTGGAATGGAAACTTTTCCTTTCATACACAGTCTCAATTCTATATATTGTCAGTAGATTGTTTTAGCTGCAATTACTTCTTCCCTCTTTCTCCCTCTCTATCCCTTTCAGGGCAAGGGCGGGTAATTGGATTTGAAGTACAGATCAGCCGTGATCCTATAGAATGGATGAACAGGCTTGAGGGATGAATGGCCTCCTGCTGTTTCTATATTTAATTGGGGCCTCAAAGAACCTTCTTGTGCCTGTTGCAGTCGGGCTGATTCTGATGTTATCTGATTGCAGGGAAAACCGGGTGGGGATCGACCTGGTGCACGATGAGGTGGAGAGGGAACTCATGAAGGAGGTGGAGGTTATACAGGGCGTTATGGCTCTGCTACAGAGGACCCTCGAGCAAACGGATGAGCAGATCAGGTAAGGAGTGGCTCAGGTGTGGGATGGATGTTCAGTCATAGATACAACAACAACCAGCACATATATGGGCGCCCTTCCCGCAGGGTAACGTCTCAGAGGGCTTAACAGTGATGGAGCCTGACTCCGAGCCAGGGGGTTGGTTGGTGGGGGGGGATGTGGGGAGGTGGGGAGAGGGGGTGAGGTGACCGTAAGCACGGTCGAAAGGGAAGGTTTTCAGCCGGGACTTGAAAAAGGGGAGAGAGTGCGGCAAGGTGGAAGATTGAGGGAGATACAATATGTAAGTGCGTGCGAGATCGCTGTGGTTTCATGGTTCCACAAGGCAGCTCGGCAAAGAAACAAGGCGTTTGCTGCTCGAATTGGGGACGGGGGAAATGTTTTGTCTTTTGGTAACAAAAATCGCTCTCGAACGCAACCCAAGAACTTATTTTGTTTTAAAATTAGGTTAAACCGTTCTGCTCAATTCTACCTGGAAAAGGACCTGAAGGATAAGTTCACTGCCCTGACCGTGGATGACTACGCTGCCTCGATGACCAACAACACTCCGGACATCAGCTACGTGGCCAACGTGGTCAGGATTGAGGGAAAGTGAGGACGCCATTTGTTATTTGTTGTCGTTGACGACGATGACGGGGGTGGGTTTGGGGGTGGAGGGCGGGGGGCGGTGGGAATGAAGCCGTGCTACATCTCTCTCTCTGCCTCTGCTTTTGAAGCTCTGTCACCCCGCAGGAGTGGATTGATTTCACCAACACCAACATCGTGAAGGCGGACAAGCAGAAGAATAGCTCCAAGGCTCTGCGTTCCCTGATCGACAGCATCCTCGCCGAGACCACCAACGACGTCCTCAAGCAGAACGAGGCCGTGAATCTCGCCTTCAAATTCCGCATTCAGGAGACCAAGGACGCCAAGTGCAAACTGGAAGTGCACCTCAACAGGGTGAGTAACCAGAATTCCTCCCCAGTGAGCGCTAAACCATGATCTCCATCCATCAAAGTTACACCGGCCATAGGGTTCAGCACTACAGTTCAAGACCAGCTCAGCTGGCGGTGTGAAGAGTTTGAGACGTTCTCCCGATGGGGAAAGGCACTCAACGATTGCAGCACAGGCCAAACCACAGCCATTACCACCAACAAATTACATTTACACAGCGCCTTTCGCGTCGGGAGGACGTCCCAAGGCGCTGGACAGTCAAGGATTTGCACCCGAGCTGGGGGTTAGGATCAGGAGTGGACTTTGACCCCATTGAAATTCCAACTTTGACCTCAGCCTTTCAAGCCTGTCGGGTTAGTCCTCACTGCACCGTGTCCTTGCCAGTGTTTGGTAATTGTACCCAGAGACTCCCAGCCTCGGTGACCTTTCACCAGCTGATCTGTAGGCACATACATGTTGCCAGAGTCTCTAAGATTAACAGAATCTCAGAATATCTCGCACATCACCTCTGCGCCCATGGTTTCTCCTGTTTGTGGTGTTTTGCTGACTGTGGCTGGTCTCTAGGTGCTGAGTGAGATTGCAGCCCAAGAGAAGAACATTGATCTTCTTAAAAAGACCATCATGGATAAGGAGGGTCCCCTGAAGTTGGCGGAAACCCGTCTGGACACTCGGACAAAGCGGCCCAACGTGGAGCTCGTGCGAGACCCTGCTCAGTACCGTCTGATCAGTGAAGTGCAGGAGATCACAACCAATGTGGACAGGTGAGTTCCAGCAGGGTGTCAGCGAAGGGAACGGTATCACACGCAGACTTGAGTGAGGGAGTAAGAGAGCAAGGTCTGGGTGGTGCAGGGCAACATGCCATTGTCTTCTCAACTCTCTCTCCCACTCAATGGGCCAATTGGCCTCCTTCTGCACTGTAGATTACTCCCTCAATCCCTCCGCCTTGCCCCCTCCCTCCCTTCCCTAGTAGATTTCTACTAGGTTTCACCCCAAACACCTACACACCCCTACACACCACAGTCATCAACCGTACCTCCGCGCACACATAACTGAGGTGCTCTCACTGTATGGTTGCCTCTGTTCACTGTTCAGACTCCGCGAGACCCTCGGACAGGCTGAGATGGAGCTGAAGGGCTTACGGCGGAACCAGCTGGCATTGGAGGAAGATATTCAGGTGAAGGAAAACACCCTGTACATCGACGATGTGCTGAACAGCAACCTGAGGAAATCCATCTCCGTCAACTACTTCTAGTCCCCAGTCTACACAGCCCTGAGCAACTAGTCTTAGTCATTTTGTCATTGGATCAACTCTGTGTAAGGAAAATGAACTTGACTTTAAAACCAATCATGATTAGCTGTTCCCTCAATCACCTGTTAAGTTATATTAGTAGATTGCTTTATTATTATGTTTAGATATGAACCTCTTCTGAAATAGAAATAAATGATTGAAAGAGATTGTAGCTCTTTATATGATATTTATCGCTCCATCTCTTGTCTCTGGAGCAGACCCCATTCCTGGCTCAAGCTTTGTAGGCCTGTTCTAGCCCCCCTCCCTCCCCACCCATGAGAAAATAGCAAAGGCCTAAAATTCCACTTAGTTTTATTCTCCATGTTCCCCGGTAATTTAAAAATTGGGTTTAAAATTACTGATAATCTTTGCGTTTAACACAGCGCCTTTCAACAACGACAAATTACATTTGCATAGAGCCTTTCAAGCCGAGAGGACACCTCAAAGTGCGTCACAGGATTTACTACACTAAGTGTAGTGACTGTGTAATCTGTAAATAGGCCAACCGATAAAACAGCAATGTCCTCCAGCAAGATTTGAAGCGAACTGCAGAATTCGTGCATGATCCAAGGTTTCATACGCTGAAAGGGTTAAGTCCAACCGTCCTGCTCCAGTCCCCGTCCTCCGCTAGAAGGTGCCGTGAGCTGGCTCATCAGCTCTGGCTTCAGTGGGATCCAGCGCTGGATTTGCTGCTGACAATCAGGAATGAAGATTGACCATTAATAGGAATAAATCTTGCATTTGATATCGCGCCTTATCGCGTCGTTGAGACGTCTCGAAGAATATATCGTAAACTGTGACTGTATTTTGTGGACGAAATGCGGCAGCCAATCGCGCATAGCAATGTCCCGTGAACAGTAGTGGATTGAGCGACCGCAATTTTTTTTGAGGGGATTATTACCCCTGGAAAGCGATCTGCCAATCGACTAAGAACCTGGCTCCTACTTGTAGGCGAACAGAGGTGTGTGGAGTCAGGAAACTTGTTCAAGTTTTCGCTCTGCTCGGGAATTGAACCTGGGTCCTCTGGCTTGCGAGGCGAGAGTGGTAACCGCTACGATACGGGACTCCATGTTAACGCTCTTGCTTCGCATCCTGTTTCTCTGCCGTCCTCTCTCTAACCGAGAAGGACCTTGGCGTGGGAGGATCTGGAGTGCGGAATAACCCGACACTGCAGTCTCCTGCCTTCACTCACTGCCCTTCTCATTTGATGACACAATCTGCCGTCCTCTGTGACAGTACAGCAAACACCGAGAACATCTCAAAACCACAGATATTTACCCCGAAACTTGTCCTCCTTCAGGCCTTCGTGTATCGTCCTCTTGTTCCGCAGGGCAGCAAAGAGCTGACACTTTACCTTCAGTAGAGACAAAGGAATGTGAAGGAAGAGGTGGGGGCTCCCTCCTGCCCTCTCGTCCCTCCGCGCCCCCCTCTCCGCTCCCCTCTCCCCTCCGCAACCCACCCTCCTCGCCTCCCTCACCTCCACCCCCGAGGATAATCACTAAGAAAATACGATGGTTGTGTGCACTGCATATAATGTACAATAATATACGTTACCTCGTGTTTATGGAGGATCTCGATCGGCAAGGCACAGTGACAGACTGAGCAGGAGTCAATCTCACACATATCATCGCCTCCGACTCGGGCGGTCTTGTTTGAGAAGCTGAGGGCGGAGGAGAAGAAGAGTTCCGCAGAGGGCCAGGCGGAGGAGGAGGCAGCGAGGGGGCTAGGGGGAGAGTGGGGAGAGCCAGAGCTGTTGGCCTCCTGACTTTGGCTCGAGAACAGAGAGGGGTACAGTCCTGCGTTCCTCTATGAGGGCAGAGAGGGAGAGAGAGAGAGAGAGTCACACAGTGGGGAGGAGAGGGGGAAATTCGAATCTTCCAATCTCTTACAGTACTTATTGTGACTGAATCTCAACCGCCTTTCACAGTGCTTCCCAGTGATCATTGACCAAATTAGTCCATGTCAGTGTTTATACTCCACCCCTCCTTCTAGGCCCGTCTCAAGTCCCTCCTTGTCGACCACCCCTTCGGTCACCCTCCTACCCCCCCACCCTCCCTTGCCTCCCACCCCTCCTGAACCCATGGTTCATCTGTACCTCCAGCTCGGGTCCAAATTCCTGACTGTCCAGCGCCTTGGGATATCCTCCCGACGAGAAAGGTGCTGTGTAAATGTAATTAGTTGTTGTTGTATAATGCTCTATTCCCCTCTCTCTCACGTCTGCATTAGTTTCCTCTTAAACACATTGATGGGTTTTGCTTCAAACGCAGCTTCCGGCAGTGAGTTCCACACCCTCACCAGCCTCTGTGTGATCGGGTTTCTCTGGGATTCCTAATGAGATGCTCTGGCTAACTTACACCCAATTGATACCCTCTGGGTTTGGCCCACCAACAGGTGGATCCAGTCTATCGACCTGCACCTCACTGGCAGAGCTCGAAACATCACTGACCTGGTCCTGCAGCAAAAGATCCTCGGGGATGCTCCTCGTCCAGGATTCATTCCGAATCTCAGAGTTGTCTCCTGTCGTAGATGAACACAGAGATAATGAGGAGCTGAGGTGGATAGATGTTTGTTAGGTCAGGATATTAAGGGATACAGGGCAAGGGCGGGTAATTGGACTTGAGGTACAGATCAGCCATGATCTTACAGAGTGGCTGAACAGGCTCGAGAGGCTGAATGGCCTCCTCCTGTTTCTACGTTTCTATGAACACAAGCCAACTAAATTGTCCAATTTGTCAGTGAATACAATTTTGCAGCGCCTTTTACATTGGGAAGGTGTTTCGAAGCGCTAAGCAGAGGGAGGGATTGGGAGGGAGAGGGAGGGAGCGAAAGAGACGGATTCAAGGAGCATTCCAGAGGAAATGGTTGGAAATTGTCCGCCCTCCCATCTCCTGCTCTCCCAGTGCTGAGGTGAGGTCCTACCTTGTGCCAGGCTCGGCCTCTGGCCACACGTGTCTTTGTGTGTTTGGAGCTTCTTGTACATGATGTAGCTGTTGCAGTCCTGGCAACGCTCAGTCCGGCTCCCGCACACCTCCTCGTGCTTCCTCAGCACCCGGTGGGGCTGCTCCAGCTCACAGTACTGGCAGCTCACCTGCCTCTCCTCACACTGCTCACTCTGTGGGTACATGGTCAGCGTGGACACACACCCTGAACTTGACTCAAACACAACCCTTGACCCCAGGCACAGGCCCAGTCACAACCATAGGCCCCTAACCCCATACACCGACCGTCCCCACAACCCTGACCCCGAAACATAACCGACTGACATCAAACACAGCCCCCTGACCCCAAGCATAACCCCGACCCTTGACTCCAGACAAAGACCCAGTCACCACTCCATACACTGACCATACCAACAACCCTGACCCCCACACCCAGATCCCAGAGCCACATTTGCCACTCCACTGCCCAGCCCCTGCCTCAGCCTCGCCCCCAACCCTCGCCCTCTCTCCCCCCACTCAGATTACAAACCTGGTGTATCTCCAGTTTGCACTTTTCCATCATTGAGTGACACAGGGGACAGTGAACCTGAGCACAGAGAACAGCCATTACACAATGGACAACAGGCCCTTCCCCTCACACTGCCCCTCCATCATCATACAATCCCCCCATCACACTACCCGCCAAGACAATGACCTGACTGTGTTGCTCTTCTCTGTGCTCCTTCATTTCCACCCGGGGCACAGGCTCCTTACACTGGGGGCAGAGTTCGATGAATCGCGTGCAGTGAGCATCGTGGATGGTGTAAGTGGATTTCTTCACAGATCTGTGGCTGGAGGTTTCAGAGAAAAGAGATGGAGAGAGTGAGAGAGGGAAGAGAGTGTGTCAGAGAGACAGACGGACAGACAGAGAGCAAAAGTGCGAGAGACGCAGAGAGATTCCAGCAGTTACCCCAACGCACACTCTGGGATCCCCAAGCCTTGGTTCTTGCCAACCTGTGGCCTAATACTCTCCGGAATTAGGTAGAAAGAGAGAGGGAAACAGAGAGAGAGAGGGAGATGGAGGGAGGGAGGGAGAGAGGGAGGATGGGGTTGGGTTGTGATGTTCTTCTTTCCTACCAGTTGCCACAGACTCTTTCCTCCTCCGACTCCTCCATCGTTCTGGGGGAAACAGGAAAATCGTTCAGAAGAGTGAGAACCTACTGTCAAGAATAATGTGCTCACACTCACTGCTGCTCACGCTCACCGCTCACCCTGCCTGCCGCTCACCCTGCCTGCCGCTCACACTCACTGCCGCTCACACTCACCGCTCACCCTGCCTGCCGCTCACTCACTGCTCAAAACACCAACAATTTTCAGGATGGAGGCAAAGGGACCGTGGGATGGAGCTCCAGAGGGTGGGGACACAGAGGCTGAAGACCCACCCAGCAATGGTAGATGTGGAGCCCACTGAGCAGAGGGAACGGACAGGTTGGTGTGGAGTTAGACGTAGGTCTGAGGAGTAGGGAGGAGAAAGGCCCTGGAAGGCTTTGAAAGTGAGATCAAGGAATTTGAACTTTATCCTCTGGGGGGTGGAGAGACAGTGGAGCCGGGCGAGGGTTGGGGTGATAGGGTCACATAGCCTGTTGCGGAAACCTCCCCGGTTCTCACCTGGAGCTCAACTCTGTCTGTCTGCCTGTTTGTGTGTCTGTGTGTCTGTCTGTCTGTCAGGCTCTGCCAGGCTCTGTGTGGGTGTTTGTTCCCTCCCTTTCAGTTTCTATCTCTCTTTCACTTTCTCTTTCCCTCCAGGCTGTGGAGGGTGGAAGTGGCGCTGGGTGTCTGGGTGAGGTTTATTGATTACAATCCCGCAGGTGACCCAGAGACGATCACCACACGCTCCGTCCCACAAATCTGCTGCCGACGCCGTGTGGCTGTGTGTCTGTGGCCACAAAGCGAGTGACCGGTGTTATCGGGGAGATCGTCAGCCAGGACCAACAATTAATATTAGACGGCAACCTCCTCATCGTGAGGATGTTGATTCGGAGTATGACACCTCGGGGCCACTCCAGCTCCAAGGAGACTCCGCTCACCTCCCTCTCCCTCCACCCGCCCCACCCCATCCCCGGGACCTTTGACGGCCACCTGAATAGGCAGACGGGACCTCGGTTTAATCCGAAGGACGGAACCTTGGACAATGTCGCCCCCACCCCCCAGTGCTACCCTGCGACGTCAGTCCAGACTTTGAGCTCCAAGGCCTGACCTGGAGGTTTGAAGAGCCGAACCGAGTCAGGCTGACACTTTGATCTTAGTGAACGACACAAGGTTGTTGATGACGGAGCCTTTATCTCTTGACACGACAAGTGCTAACCATCAGCGGGCAAACCCACCCTCCCTCCCTCCCTCCCTCCCTCCCTCTCTGCTTTCAGGTCCGCCTGCAGATGCTGCGGCAAACTGTGTGCTTTTAGTTGGTGAAGACTCCAGCAGTTACCCCAACGCACACTCTGGGTTCCCCCCATGCCTTAGCTCTTGCCAACCTGTGCCCTCTAATGCTTTCCAGAATTGGATAAGTAGGGTTCATCCCTCCAGAGAGAGAGAGAGAGAAAGTGCGTATTCCACGCGCACTTACTTCAGGCACAAGTCCCGAGACACAGAAATGGTGGACAGATTTTATTTTGTACTGAGGGAAAAACGGTTGAACACAAAACAGCGTTGTGACATTCTATACAAAACGTGTTAAAAATCAGAAGCCAGAAACCTCAGGACTTTGTGACAAGACACTCCGATAGTCTTCAGACCACACACTCACTCACTCTCTTACTCACTCACTCACTCACACACTTACTCACTCACTCACACACTCACTCACTCACTCACACACACACAGCCACAAGTACTTCCGCTCGCAAGCGCACACACACTCGCACATGCGCGCACACTCATGCACACATTTACACACCCAACGCACTCCTGCACACTCGCACACGCGCAGCTCTAAGACGTTTAAGAAAGTCTTTGATCCACTTCTGGTTGCTGCGCGGGCGGTTGCTGTCACAGCGAGGCGGCTGCTAGGTTAATGCGGCAGCTAATCTACGCCAGCGACGTCTGAGATTAAATCAGCCACAGAGCAATCGACGTACGTTTTTTTTTTCTGGTGAATATGGACGCGGGAAGAATTCCGTTGTCTTCTCCTCCGAACACACACGCGCACCCACACAAATACACAGCACGCGGGCGCACAAACACAGAGCACACAAATACACGCAAATACACAGCGCGCGCGCACACACAGAGCATGCCTCATCTTTAACGTCCACCCGCGTGGGCAGACGGGACCCGGGTTTAACGTCTCATCCGAAGGACAGTGCCTCCGGCTATGCAGCGCTCCCTCTCCCCCCCCCCCCCCCAAGCACCGCGCTGGTGGTCAGCCTGGACCGTGAGCTCAGAGCCCCCGATGTGGGGCTCGAACCCACGACCTTCTGACACTGAGGCGGGAGCGCGGGTGAGAAACTGAGCCGAGCTGACACTAACACAGAGGATTCACAATAACTAAACTAGTTATCAACAGGTTAAATATAAACTAGTGGCTTTCTCCACCTGTGGTTCTGGAGAGAGATGGGGGTGGGGGGGGGGGGTGGGGGGGCTTTTTTTCATATATATAAAAGAAGAAAGCCCAGAAGTGCAGTAAAGTGCCTAATACTGTTCTCTCCACTGAAAAGTGCACAGGTGGGAAGTATACTGTATGCAACTGTATATACATAAACACAGCACAGCAGGCGAGGGTGAGAGAGACACATGTAGCACACACACACACACACGCACACAGAGCATGCACACAGACGAGAACATCCACAGAGACCAGAGTACACACATACGCACACGCAGACAGAACACGAGAGGGAGTTGTTTTTTTTTTAAGTGCAGACGGTGTACCTGTGTGCAGAGATACACAGAGCGTGAGAGGCACCACACAGTCGCGGGTCAGCAATCCGAGGGGTAGTGAGACCCAGCACAGGGAGTAACCCCAGCGAGGGTGGGGGGGGGGGGGGCAGAGTCTCCTCTCGGGTTTAGTCTGGGTGTAGGAATAGGTTCAGTTCATTGAATCATTTTCACGGTCAAATCGAGTAATTCGCTTAACAGGACGTAACTGACTTAACTGGCTGAGCCGAGGGCAGACAGACAGACACAGACAAGACGGACAGACAGCTCCAGGCACGGCCCGGACAGTCGACAAGAGAATTAAAAATCCCAGTTTAAAATGACTTCGAAATCTATAAAATTAGAAAAGCAAAATTTAGAAAGGAGCGTGTGTGTGTGCGTGTGGCGTGTGGCATGTATTAGTGTGTGTTGGTATATGTGTGTGTGTGTGTGTGGTGGGGGGGGGGTCTGTGTGTCGTGTATCAGTGTGTGCGTGTATGTGTGTGTGTGTACCCGAATGCGTTTAGTGTGTATGGGCGTGTGTGTGTATGCGTGTGTACACGAATGTGTATGGTGTGTATGTGCGTGGGTGTGCGAGTGTATGGGGGGTGGGGGGGGTTCTATAAAAGCGACAGACATCTCTAACCTCGCTACCCACCCCCCACCCCCAGCGCAAGGCTCTAACATTCAGCCTCAGCTACCAAGTGGTTACAGAATAGAATCAACACACAGCCCCCACCGTCACCGGGGGAAACCCAGTCGCAGGTTTTAAAGGTAAAAGGTGTTGTTCGATACAACACGCGGAGGAGGAGGGTGTGTGTGTGTGGGGTGGGAGGGGGGGAGAGGGCCAACGAGCACTTCCCCACTCGCTGACCATAACCCCCTCCCCCGGGGGCTGATCCCAGCGTCCGGGAACTCGCTCAGTTCAGCACGGCTCCTTGTCACACTGCTCCCCCACCACGATCCCCACCGCCTCACACTCCAACTCAGGCTCCGGCTCGGGGCAGATCTGATGGGAAACGGGAGACACGTCACGGCTATATAACCCGGGCCTGAATGCCCCCTCTGCACACATTCACTGTCACACATTCGCAGAGACACACACAATCACTCACACAATCACTGTCACACATTCACACTCACAGACACACGCACATACAGAGACAGACACAATCACTGTCGCACTCACACACACACACACACACACACAAAACATCCGGTCTTGCTACCAACCCGACCACTTATAAAGGTATAAGGTGAACATATGTTTGAGTGTAAAGTATTCTGTCTCCCAATGAGAGCATCAATTACCGTCAGAGACACAGTAAAGCTCCTTCTACACTGTTCGTCCACACTCCCAGTCATTGGGGAGGAATGGCTACGCGGTGGGGAGGGGGGGGGGGGGCAAGAGAGGCATATGAGGGGACGGGAGGGTCTGGCTGTTTACCTGGAAATGGTCACTGACTCCCACCAGGGAGTCCAGGTTGCTGCTGCAGTAACAGAGGAGGAAGGTACCGGTGCCTGTGGGCACATAGTCGCTGCTCAGGTAAACCTGTAACACACCGCGAGGAGCTCACACTTTATATCAGTCCACAAAACACACGGTCACTACACTTTACAGCATATCCTGTGAAGCGCTTTGAGACGTCTCGATGACGTGATAAGGCGCTGTATCAAATGCGAGGATTATTATTATTATTATTTACCAGTACACCCGGACTGGGGCAAAGGCTGTTGTTAAACCCCACATTGACCATAATTTGTTGCATTGATGTAGCGCCTTCTGTGGAATGGGGGGATTGCGGAGGGAGGGGGAGCGGGGGTGGGGGGGGGGGGGAGGTAATTACCTGGAATGTATCCTGGCTGTGCAAAAGCTCGTCGTCCTTCACCCAAATGTACGTAACGTAGTCGTTCCGGTCTCGGAAGCCAACCTGAGGAGAGCGGAGCCTGGGGGTGAGGAGTGTCTCCGAGCCCAAGACCCAGCTCGGCGCTGCCTTCCTTCAACAACCCCCCCCCCCCACTCCCCACTCCCCCAGCGCTGGAGCCACAGCGTCCCCCGCCCACATGTTGCGCTCCGGATAAAGTCACTCATCCACTCGTCCCAGCGTTGAGACGTTTCACAGAACATATTGTAAAGCGTAGCGACTGTGCATTCGTGGGCGAAACGCGGCAGCCAATTGCGCACAGCAGCGTCCCCGCACACAGTCGTGGACTGAGTGATCAAATTTTTTTTTGGAGGGAATTCTTATCCCCGGAAAAGCGACCTGTCAATCAACTAACAACTGGCTTCCTACTTACTGCCTGGTAAACAGAGGCGCGCGCGCGTGCGTGTGTGTGTGTGGAGTAAAGAAACTTGTCTAAGGTTTCACTCCGTCCTGTCCCACCCGGGAATCGAACGCGAGTCCTCTCGCTTGCGAGGGGAGGGGTCTAACCCCTGAGCTACAGGGGCTGTGGGGCGCGAGCGAGGGGTCTAACCCCTGAGTTACAGGGGCTGTGGGGTGCGAGGCGAGGGGTCTAACCCCTGAGCTACAGGGGCTGTGGGGTGCGAGGCGAGGGGTCTAACCCCTGAGCTACAGGGGCTGTGGGGTGCGGGGCGAGGGGTCTAACCCCTGAGCTACGGGAATCTGAGCGAGGCGGGCGCTTACCCTGTACAGCCCTATCCAGTCCCAGGTGCTGCTGGGATAGAGCTGGGACATGCGGTAGGAGACGATGGCGTCACGGCCTGGAGTCCACCTGCCCTCCGGCTGCAGCTTCACCAGCGGCTCCGTGATCAGCTTCTCGAACTGGGCAAACAAGGCCAAGGGTTAAAGGGCCGCTACGGTTCACTCTACCACACCCCCGAGCGCGCCCGTGCCCCAGGCTCCCTCCCTCCCTCCCTCGCTCGCTCCCTCCCTCGCTCTGGTCTGGCTTTTTAGCAGTGAAATTCCAACCCAAAGGGCCGATGGAAATCCGGAACTCTCTCGCCCTCCCCTGAAAGGCTGGGAGTACCGGATCCATTCGAATCCTCACGACCGAGGTGGACAGATTTTTGTTAGATCGTGGGTATCAAGGAGCCACGGGGCAAAGCCTGGTTAGAATGGCGGAACGGGCTGGCGGGGCTGAATGGCCTCCTCCCGTAGCTGCACTCCTATAAGGCGGTTCAGCTCTCGACCACGAGGAGGAGGAGGGGGAGGAGGAGGGAGAGCCAGCGCACGCGACGGCTCGCTCCAGCCTCCCCCGCCCGCCCCACCCCCCACTCCACCCCACCCCCCTCGCCCTCCCGTCTCGGCGCTCATTCGCGCGAGGGCGAGGTCGGAGCCCCGCTGATGGATCGGAGCCGGCCGCAGCTCTGACGCAGTCCGACGTCGAGGGGGACGGTGTCCCTTTAAATAACGCCTCCCACTGTGAACGGGGACGGGGGGGGGGGGGAGACGGGGGGGGCGTCGGCGTCCCGTTAAGTCCGTGTTTACCGTCTGTCGGCCGATCCCTCCCCTCTGCTCCTCACCTCGAGGCCGAAGGTTCCCGCCACGGGCTTGTGGTCGCTGATGCCGTACTCCATGCGGCTCCCGTACGACTCCAGGTTCACCGTCGCCGGCTCCCCCGGCCGCGGCCCGTCCGCCTCGGCCGCCCCCTCCCGGGGACGCTCCCGAACCTTCCAGAGGATCCGGTCGGTCCAGGCCGGCTTCCGCTTCTTCCCGCTGAGGTCCGCGGCGGAGGGGGAGGGGTGGGGGTGGGGGGGGGGAGAGAGCGAAGGGGCAGTGGGTTAACGTCACAACAAATTGGCCGACGGAACACAACAAGTCACTCCGCTGTGCGGTGTGTGTGTCCCCGCGAAGCGCTTTGAGGCGACGCCGTGATTCAGTCGCTGTGTCAACCGCAACGATTATTATTATTATTGTTGTTGTTATTGTTGTTGTTGTTGTTAACAACAACTAAGGGAACGTTCCCTCCGCTCAGGACACACCGGGGTTGCTTCACGTCCGCCCCCGCACCCACCCCCCCGCACCCCACCCCACCGCCCAGCTCTCCCCGCCACCGCCATCGGCACGCGGATGTTCACCCGACTCTGCGCCCCCCCACCACCACCCCCACCCCCACCCCCACACCCACACCACATGCCACACGCGCGCGCGCGGCAGACGAAAGGCGAGTCCGCGGGGGCACACGCGTCAACAGCGCTGGGACACCGAGTCACAGAAGCAGACGAAAGCGGATGTTACGTGTTATGACACTTAGAGCAAATCTGACGTGGGGAGTGGGGAGTGGGGAGAGGGAGTGGGGGAGAGAGAGAGAGCGGGGCCGGTTTTCATCCGGATGGCGTTACGCTCGCATGGCCGTGAGAGACGTGTCTGACCACTACCCCCCCCACTTCCGCCCGCGCCCCCACCCCACCGGCCACAATTGCACTCGGGGCCTGGCCACTGTCTCGCGCGCACACGCCGGGGGTGCGGTGACTTGAGCGCAGTTGGCTCTCTGCCCCGTCCCTCACCCCCCCCCCCCCACCGCCCCGTCCCCCAGCGCTGCCTGTCTGGGGAGAGTGGGGTTCAGGCTCCCTGCCCCCACACACTGAAGCGTGCGTACGCTGATGAAAGCTCAGCCCCACAGCTCTTAACTACACACAGGACGGGGGTGTGGGGGGGGGGGGAAGACTTTGCTCTTACTTAAACCCCATAGTGGTCTGTAGGCTGTGAAGAAAGGAGAGATCAGTAAGTTCCTTAACGTGAGCACAATCACACGGCAAAGTCCGGCTGGGCTTTCCTGGTAATAAACCACCCCCCCCCACCGACCCAAGACTGTTTGTGGGGGTACTGCTGTGTGCAATTGGCTGCCGAGTTGCCCCCCACAGACTGTGTGTGGACAGTGGCTGAGCCGCGCACACGGGCTAAGGCAATGCAGCTCAAGTCCGGTCCGTGCTGACTTAGCTGATCTCAGGGCAACAGTTGACCCCTGAGCCGGGAGTGCGGACGGGCAGCGCAGAGGGAGCTTTGCTCCGTGTCGCTGCGATAGACCCGTGAAGGTCCTGCCAGCGTTGCCGCTCAGGCAAGATGCCGAGAGAGCGGGCGGGGATGGACAAGAAGAAGCGGAAGGTCGCGGATTTGGTGTGGAACAGTCTGGAAGGGGCGCTTGGCCTTCACGTGACTTCCCTCCCCCCCCCACCCCATCACCCCCCCACCCCCCTCGAGCTGCTGGTTCTCTAGTTACCTGGTGTCGTAATTTTCGGAGCCCAGGTCAAACTTGTAGGTGGGTTTGAAGCGCAGTGCCCCTTCCTGGAAGCCCTGGAGGATGGTCTCTGTCTTCTTGGCCATGTTGAGCTGAGGGACAGAGAGGAGATGGTCTGTGATAGAGCTCTTGCCAACTGGGCAGGTGCAGACTCCGCGAGAGCAGCAGCAGCAACAACAAGAGATGCCATTTACACAGCGCCTTTCATGTCGGAAGGAAGGACGAGGCTCTGGACAGTCAAGAGTTTGTCTCTAACACCCGGGAGCGTGGATGGACAGTGTAGAGGGAGCTTTACTGTTAGCCGTGTGAGCTCACCTGATCCTTGTCCCACAGCAGGTGGAAGCGGTTGCCCCTGATCGTTTCCCGGACAAAGTGCATCCCGTGATCCGCGATCCGGAAATTCAGGTCCCCCAACCAGAACAGCAGCCTGGGGGAGAGGCCAGGACAGCAGCTCACTGTGTGTCAGCCTCTGGGTGCAACACACACACGCACACACACAACATACACACACACACCACAGGGAGAACTGGGGTCATGAGAGTTGGGTGGTCCGAGCAGCAGGAAAGCTTCCCAGACAATACCATCGATGGCAAGCTATGTAGTTTTAGCTGGTTAGACTCCAGCAGTTACACCCGACCAACGCAAATTCTGGTGGTCCCCCCAAGCCTTGGTTCTCGCCAACGTGGGCCTAATATTTTCCAGAATTAGGTCATCACGGTGCGTCCCTCCAAGGAGAAAGTGGAGGCTGGGGGGGTGAAGGCTAGAGCGGGTTTGGGGTTGGGATGTGGGTTGGGCTGTGGGTCACAGGCCCCGGGGTGAGCGGGGGTGGTTGGGAGGGGGGGTGGGGGTGATACTCACTCGTGCTCCAGAATGCCCCCCGCCTGCTCCCCGCTAAACTGCTGGGCGTCCAGGATGCGCTGGAAGGAGTCGAGCCGGTGGTCCACGTTGTCCATGTGGGCCGGCAGGTGGCAGTTCAGGAAGCAGGCCAGGTGACCGTAGATGGACAGGCGGATGGTCACGCCCCCTTTGTTGCCCTGGGAAACACAGAAGTAGCAAATTTACACGCGTGTGGGGGTGGGTGGGTGGGGGGGGGGTCAGGATTCAGGGGCGGGGCGGTGGTCGGTGGTCACAATACCACATAGGGTTGCCACCTGCCATCGCACGCTTTCATTCAAACCCCCCCCACCCCACTCGCTCAGCGCACTGCTCCGTCATGGTCAAGCGCTCGAGGACGCGAGATAATGCAAGTTGTTGCTGTCGTCCGAGCTGCGCACGGAACATCCCTTGGTCCGACGGACTGTAACGTTCAAGGAAAGTAGTTGGGACAGCACTGAGAGGAGAGGTGAGGGCTTACGGCACAACTTTTGACCATCTCTCTGCCGATGGGAAGAGTTCCACTGTTACCCCGACGTCATCTCACCCATTCCCCGGGGCCTGTCACGGCCTGGGACCGGAGTGACCAACCGCTCACCCAGTATCCGTAAATCCCCGTGCGGGTGTAATTGGTCTGCAGGTCCCGGATGAACGGCAGATGACGGGACTTCACAAAGATCAGCAGCAGAATGCCTTGCATCCGGATCGAAGTCACCTGAGAGAGAGAGAGAGAGAGAGAAACGAGAGTCGTCAGGGCGTCAAGAGGACGTCAAGACCCTGCAGGTCAACCTTCAAACTATCAGGTCAGTGAGCGTTCAGATCATCCGCTCTCCCTCCCTCCCTCCCTCCCTCCCTCCCCCACCCCCTCGTTCGCTAATTCTCACTAACTTTCCTCGCAACCTGGGCTGTGGCTGACCCGGGAGTGTGGATAATAACCTTTGCAATGTTTGTATAGTGCCTTTCACGTAGGAGGACGTCCCAAAGTGCTTCACGGGATTTAACGTGAAGTGCGGCGACTGTTTTTTGTGTGTGTGTGTGTGTGTGTAGGCAAACGAGACCACCAGTTTTTACACAGGGCAAACTGTCCCGCAAACAGCCGTGAAGCGATCGTTTTAATTGGGGGATCGTTGGCCATGACACCCCCCCACCCACACCCCAAGGGTGTGTTGTTGACAGTGTGGGTCTCCCTCTCTCTCTCTTTCTCTCTGATCACAGGGTCACGGAGGTGGCCCTCAACCGAGGCTAAACTGGAGAATCCCAGGGATGTGAGAGCCGATTGTTCCAGTAAATCTCTCGATCCAACGTGGTCCCTTCACGCTCCGCAGGGCTGACCAGCCCACCCCCCCCCCCCCACCCCCAATGAGGCCCTGATCAAGGAGCTCATTGTTGTTGTCGGAGAGAGTGAGAGACCGACTGAGGATTAGCCCAGCGACACACAGCATTCTTCAGCACTTAATCACGCTTTAAAGGGACAGTGCCTCCATGAAAGGATTTGTCCCAACTTTTATTTATTCCCTTATTGTTGCCATTTGGCCCCGAATCGCACTCGAGATACCAGATCCGTGAACTTTGCACTCAGTACTTGAAGTGCTTCGAGACGTCCTCCCAGCTTGAAAGGCGCTGGATCAAATGTAAGGATTATTGTTATTATTATTATTATTATATCAAGTGGAAATGTGTTATAATAACAATAATAATCCTTGCATTTGATACAGCGCCTCATCGCATCTTCTAGACGTCTCAAAGCGCTTCACAGAACATACTGTATAGTGCGTTAACTGTGTACAATAGCAGCAGCCAATTGCGCACAGCAGCGTCCCACCAACAGCCGTGGATTGAAGCGACCAATTTATTATTATCTTTTTTCTTGAGGGATTATTACCAGGCGTGCGTGTGTGGAGTAAGGAAACCTGCCCAAGGTTTCGCCCTCTGCCGGGAATCGAACCCGGGTCTCTCGCTTGTGAGGCGAGTGCTCCAAACACTGAGCTACAGGACTCCTGTATCGGTTTTATGTACATACAGTGACTGGATCATAATAAATAATCCTCGCATTTGATATAGCGCTTTTCACGTCGGGAGGACGTCCCAAAGCGCTTCACAGAACACACTGTAAAGTGAACTGACTGTATATTTGTGGGCGAACGCGGCAGCCAATTGCGCACAGCAATGTCCCACAACGTGTCGTAGATTGAAAATGACCAATTTATTGTTGGTTTTGTTTTGGAGGATTATTATTAGGCTCTGTGTGGAGTAAAACTGTGAGGCGCTTTGCAGATGTTTCAAGCTTACAGGCGCTGTCTCAAACATTGATTATTATTGTCTTATTGTTGATGACCAGCTCTCCAACGTTCTCTCATTCCATCGTCTGGTGGCCACAGAGGATGGACAGAGGTGAAGCTGAGTGTGCGAGGAGCGGGTTGGAGACTTACCTTGACGTAGCCCCTGGGAGCCAGTGCGTCCATCAGGAACACAGACCAGGCATCATTGAACGCCAGATCAACCAGGAAGGCCGTCACACTGGAGTTCACCTCCTGTAAACTGAGGAGATAGTCAGCACAGACCATTGGGCACACACAGCCCTGCTGCCCACAGCCCCCACCCCGGCTCCTAACATACCCTCTCCACCCACCCCACCAGCCCTCGCATCGTCCACAGACCCCCTGCCCCCACCCACAGACACCCCCTTCCCTCCCCCACCCAAAGTCCTGCCCCATCATCCACAGACCTGTCCCTCCCTTACCCAATGACGAACATGTCCGTCTCTGTCTCCGTTGATTCCAAACCCAGTAACAAGGTCACGTTATCAGGGGGGGAAGCTGTTCCCACATTCCACGTCACAATCTGGAGCCTGAGAAGGAGAGAGAGAGAGAGAGAGAGAACGTGAGAGAAAGAGAGAACGTGAGAGAATGAGAGACAACGTGAAACAGCGAGAGAGAATGTGTGAGCAATAGAGTCCCACAGACTTAAAATAAACCTCCACCGGCCTCCACCTGCTCTCTGTCCCTCAGTGAATTGAATTCAGGGTCTTGGTTCCATCTTCAAATCCCTCCCTGCCTCGCCCCCACCCTACCTTTGTGACTTGAGGTGGTTGTTGTTGTTGTTGTCGTCGTCAGCCGTGTGTCTGACACGTGTGCCGGGGCTTAAGAGTCTCCAAACCAAACTGAGATTTCCATGGAGTCTAACTGCTTAGGTGGAGTAAGATAACTTGCCCAACATTTTGCCCCACCCAGGAATCAAACCCACTGCCTCTCGCTTCCGAGGTGAAGGCTCTAACCACAAAAAACAGGTTAAAAGGGAGATTTATTCAGTTACCCCCCCACTCCTCCCCCACCCCATCCCACCCCCAATGTGTGGGTGATCAGCCAGGACTCTCCTCTTAGCAAGAGCTCCCGTGTGGTTCACTCAGCCCAGTCTCCAGTGACGTCCTGGGTGCAGTGGCGGAGGCTTCGGGCACCGACAGACACTCGGGACACCCGTTTGTTCAACGTTTTAACAGACGTTTGAATTTCAGTCCCAATTTTGAAGTGAAAGATTTTTTAAAGCACAGTCAGAAATGATGAATTTGTTCATGTATTGCACTCTCTGATGGCGCGAGAGAGAGAGAGAGAGACACACACACACACACTCACTCACTCACTCACTCACACAGACAGCCCCAGAGAGAGAGAGAGTGAGAGAGACTGCGCAGAGAAAGACAGACAGAGAGAGAGAGAGTGAGTGAGTGCATAAAAGATCCAGAGAAAGAGAGGGGGTTGGGGGGGGGGGGGGGGGGGAGAGGGAGAGACCGTACGAGAGCCCCAGACAGAGAGGGAGAGAGAAAATGATGATAGAGAGAGAGAGAGAGCAGTGTACTCAGGCCCCAGTCACGCGGATGCCCTCTCCCTCATGAGAGAGATTTGCAGGGTTTTAGCTGCTTCGAGACGCTGAGACCAAGGGTTTAAGTTACGTGCGGTTATTACAGAGTCATGTGGCCGGGATGATCGGTCAAGGGTAAGGCGGCGAGGGGCACGAGGCGTGGGACAGAGCGGCCCGAGAGGCGCCGGGTCTGTGCTAACTTGTCCAGGGACCAGGAGGGGAGCCCGTGCTTCAGCGCAGCAAGTGTACAAGAAGAAAAAAAAAAGTCGGGGGCGGAAAGCGGGGCTGGGAGGGGTTTTCGGGGGGACTCAAAATTGCCGTCCGGCCCAACTGCTGACTGCAAAACATCCCGAGGGTTGTGGACCCTCAGAGTGTGCGTTGGGCGGGGGGAGGGGGGGGTTGGGGGGGTGACCGCTGGAGTCTAACCGGCTAAAGCCGCACAGCTTGCCATTGATATCGCTGTCCGCCGAGCCTTCCCGCGGCTTGTCCAGCCAGGACCACCCTCGCCGTTACTAACAGGAGCTGAGTGGGATGACATCCCACACCCCCCCCCACCCACCCACCCACCCACCCAGTGACCGACCGGTCCGCCCTCCCTCCCAGGTCCTGCTGTTTCTTGTGAGACGTCTCGACGATGTGATAAGGCTGTGGATCAAACGCTGGAGATTACACGGTTTACAGGCAATTTCGAGAACTTTCTGAGACGCTCCGGAGACTGTTACTTTTCCACCCCCCACACCCCCCCCCCCCGCACCCCCCGCACCCACTGAGCTGTGTGTGACCCCCTACGCCATGGGCCGAGCTTTACAGAGATCAGAGGGAAATCGGCTTTACTGGGGGCGGTGGTGGGGGGGGCGGTGGGGGCGGGAAGAAAACATCCCGACACTGAGCCTTGGTCACAGCTTAGGGGCTGATTATGTGGATCACAAACTGTGTAAAGCTCAGTGTCCACGTGAGGCCTTCACGGCTCAAACCACTGCTCCCCCTCCCCCCCCCTTGTACCCCCTTCACCCCCCCCCCCCCACCGACACACACACACACACACACACACACACACAGGGCTGGGGGGAGCCGGAGTCTCTGCCTTACCGGAATCTCTCCCCCGTTCTCGCTCCGCACTTCTGACCGGAATCCTCCGTGGACTGGTGCGGCTCCATCCTCACACCTGCGACCAGAGGAGGAGCGTAAGTGTCAACCAGTCCTCCCCCACCGAGCGTGAGCTCACACTCGCGCACACTCAAAACCCCCCGAGCGCTCTCTCACACACACACGCACACACACACACACACACACACACGTGCAGCGAGTGGTAAATCTACGGGACAGTCTCCCTCTGGGAGACGGCGGAAGCAGATAGGGTGGGGGTGGGGGTGGGGGTGGGGGTGGGGGTGGGGTGGGGTGGGGGTGGGGTGGGGGTGGGGTGGGGTGGGGGGGTGGAGGAGAGTGCGGTGTTGGTCCTTTCAAAATGCCAACGAGGTGGATTTCTCGTCTCGAGAGCAGTACAGTGCGCGTTGCCCCCCGGCCCCGGCCCCCCGGCCCCGGCCCCCCGGCCCCGGCCCCCGGCCCCGGCCCCCCGGCCCACGGGCACAGACGCCGGAGGGCACACACCGACAGCCTGAGACGGGATGTACCGGAAGGGTCGGCGCGGCTCGGAAGGACCGGACAACCGAGGCCGAGGCAGCCCGAAGCTCGGCCGAGTGGAGAGCGGACGGTGGAGAGCAACGCGACAGGTGTCAGGAGCGCCCCCCGGACTGACCCACCCCAGCAGCCCCCCCCCCACCACCCCCCCTCACCACCCCCCCTCACCCACCCCACCCCCACCACCCCTCACCCCACCCCACCCCTCGCCATCTCACCCGCCGTCTCTTACTGAGCGACAGGAACCAATGTTCACCGTCCACCGTGGACGGAGCTGGTTGGGGGGTCCGGGGGGGGGGGGGGGGGGTCCTGGGGGATACAATGTATCATTTGATGAACAACAAAGTGACAGGAAACTGACACATTCCCCACTGATACATAGAGAGATACAGAGACACACACTGACACACACACTGACACACACACACACACACACACTGACACACACACAGACACACACAGACACAGACACACACACACACACACACTGACACACACACACATACACACTGACACACACACTGACACACACACACAGACACACACACACACACTGACACACACACACAGACACACACACACTGACACACACAGACACACACACACACTGACACACACACTGACACACACACACACACTGACACACACACTGACACACACACACACACACACACACTGACACACACACACACACACACACCGACACACACACACACACAGACACACACTGACACACACACACACACACTGACACACACTGACACACACACTGACACACACACACACACTGACACACACACACACACACACCGACACACACACACACACACTGACACACACTGACACACAGACACACACACACAAACACACACACACAGACACACACACACCGACACACACTGACTGACTGACGGGGCGGAGCGGCTCATTACGCGGCAGTACCGGTGGTCGGGGCCCGGGGGCTGTCGCTGGGGCCCGCGGGCGGCTCAGGAGCTGAGTCCGGGGCGAGTCCCCCCGTTCCTCCGGCGCCGGGAGTCGCCTCTCCCCGTCCCCGACCCTCACACCGGGAGCCGCGGCCCCGTTTAAATCCAACCGCGGCGGCAGCGCCCGCTCTTAAAGGGATCGGGGCGCGTCTTAAAGGGATCGGGGCGCGTCTTAAAGGGATCGGGGCGCGTCTTAAAGGGATCGGGCGCGTCTTAAAGGGATCGGGCGAGAGCGCGTCTTAAAGGGATCGGGCGATAAGCGCGTCTTAAAGGGACCAGAGCCTTGAGTCGCCCCTCCGCGGGTCTCAGGGGAGAGGCGATTGGAGCTGAGCCAAGACATTCCAGCCCGGATTGTAAACGCCCCCACCCCATCCCACCCACCCCCAACCCCACTCCTCCTCCCCCCACCCCCCCCCCCCCCCCAGGGAGCTTGTCAGCAAAAATAACATTCAGGTCTGGGGGTGGGGGGTGGGGGTGGGGGGGTTGGTGGTGAGGGTGGGGGTGTAACAATCCTCAGTGATGTCAGTTACTTGTTACTTATTTACAATGACCCGGTCACCAACACCCCCCCCCCCCCCCCCCCCCCAATAAAAATCTGTTCTCACATCGTGGCTGTTTGTGTGGGTTCCTCGTGGGGGCGGAGAGGGGAGAGGGGAGAGGGGGAGAGGGGGAGGTAAACGCGGTCTCCTTGGAGGTGACCTGCCCGGTAATGGAATGTCGGAATCGAGCCCCCTCCCCTCGTCAGATTCCTCCTGAGCGTGAGCTCAAGCGATAAGGAATTATGTTTTCGGGCGAACAGGAGGTGTGGCTTTTTCCAAATAATAACAACAATGCTTCCGTTTGATACAGCGCCTCATCAGGTCTTCGAGACGTTCTCAAAGCGCTTCGCAGGAGTACACTGTAAAGCGAATTGACCGTTTATGTTTGTGGGCGAAGCGCGGCAGCCGATTGTGCGCAGCGGCGTCTACCGCAAACAGTCGTGGATTGAGGGGTAATGAGTTCAGAAGGCTGGTCTGCCTGGCCTTGCTGTCAGCTGCATTCAGAGCTATAGAGATACAACAACAAATTACATTTCTACGGCGCCTTTTACGTCAGGAGGAAGTCCCACGACACTGGACAGTCAGGGATATGGACTGGGGGTTGAGACCAGGAGGGGTTCGAGGGCAGGGAGGAGAGGGGTAGGAGGGTGACCGAAGACCTGGTCGAAGAGGATGGTCCTGAGATATGCCTAGGAAGAGGCAAGGGGGGGAGCAAGCCAAATATTTACCACTGACTGAGGTAGTGCGCGCACACAAACCACATACACACACCACACACCACATACACACTCACACACACCATAGACACGCACCGCATACACACCGTATATACGCGCGCACACACATACACCGTACACACTCACACACCGTGTATACACCCACACCCACCACACGCACATTTACACACACTGTATACACACACACACACACACAGAGACACACAAACAGAATAAACCATCAAACTTTTTTTTTTTCTTTCTTAAATTTTATTCCTAAACATAAGATTTTATTTACAGCTGACCATTGTCATTCAGAGCTGAGAGATCCAGTGAGTTTAAAGAACCGGCTGCCAGCTGACACCTCAGCACAGAGGACGCTGGAGAGGGAGGAGGTGGCTCGGGAGGGGAGGAAAGAGGATTGAACAAAGAAAAGGCAATAAATTCAGAAGTGGATCAGTTTCCACGGACTTGGGATAGAGACAGAGAAACACTCACTCCCGCTCCACCCCACCCCCTTTATACTCAGGTTTGCTCACACCCTGCACCCACACCCGTATATATATATATATAGTGAGCACTGTACAACTCTGGGCCTCACAGTTAACCACAATCAACATCGATAAAGAGACCCCAAATTCCACATCGTCTTAGCCTGGAACACCATCTCGACCCCAAGTTTAAGACGGCGTGAAACGGTGGGAATGTTTCATTTTGGAGGCCGCTTTATCTGCAGTTCTTGAAAAATAACCGGCTCCCAAACCAAATCAATCATCATAATATTAACAATAATCTTTGCATTTGATACAGCGCCTTATCACGTCGTTGAGACGTCCAGAAGCGCTTCACAGGATATACTGTAAAGTGGAGCGATTGTGCATTTTTCGAGACAGATTCAGTTTCCAAAACTGTACAAAGACTTGAGTCGGGGGTCTCGTAGGCTTAGACGGGTGGAATTTCAGGCTTTTAGGGGTTTATACAGATAGGATTGCTGTGGTTTCCAGTGCCCGGCAGAGCGAGAAAACAGAATACAGTACTCGATGCGAGTGTGGGCACCACTTCGCTTCCCTCCTTTCCTCCCCATCAACCTCAGGCTCATCAAGGCTTACATTAACCAGGTCAGATGCTGGTCAGCAGAATAAAGCTTCTACTCTGCTCCCACCACATGGTTAAGCTGCATTCTCAGGGGGCGCACCCTCCTTCTGCAGCATCGTGGCAATTTCCAGCTTCCCACATAAAGCCGGGGTTGGCAGGGAGGGGCGGGAGGGAGGGAGGGAGGGAGAGAGACGGGAAAACGTTGAATTAACATCTTCCCAGTCTCGAGAGTCTCAAAAGTCACAGAGTGACAGAGAAAGTCAGCGACGACACAGAAAGTAAACGTAACAAGCAAGAAATCGGCGTCAGAAGCCCGAAATTCCACCTAGTTTTAGTGCGTGGGACCGTTTTATCTTGAAACTTCCAAGGTTGCGTATTAATAATAATCCTTGCATTTGACATAGCGCCTTATCACATCGTCGAAACATCTCACAGGGCTTCACAAATATACTGTAAAAGTGGACTGACTGCATATTTTGTGGGCAAAACGCAAAGTATTTATTGGATCGGTTTGTGTTTCAAGAACTGCAGGAATCCGGCTCCCAAGTTAAGTGAGTTTCAGGATTCTCCACAATTCTGGTCCATCCATCCTCCAATTCGAATACATGAACGGTTTCACGGGCCACGACGCGATGGAAATCAGGGCCTCAAAAAAAATGGTCACCTCCCACAGGCTTCCTTCCCTTCCTCCTGCAATGTACAGATAGCAAAAGCCAAGCTGGACATCACCGTGTTCTCAACTTACTGCCTCCGGCCTTCTCTGCTACTCTTTCTCTGGCGCTTAACCAAGTTTTTTCTCAGGGAAGGAAAAACAGGAGAGAATATCAGAGTCAACGCAAGAGTCAAGCCAGAGGCTGAGCGACGCTGGTCTAAGGTATACATTGTACAGATTACGATTGGTCAGCACATCCGGCCTGAAACCCAGTTAGGACGTCACAGGAGAGGCCAACATCTTCTCCCTCCCGCCTAAACCCCAACACTTGGTCCTGATGTGTGTGCATCCCCTGTCCTTAACTGCGCGCTTCAGCCCAAATTGCTGCAGTAATGCACAGTAAATGCAATGACAATCAGAAAAGTTTCCTGATAAGTTCCTATTTTGAGAGCTGGTATAAGCTGCATAAAGTACACGGTGCTGTCCTTGGTCACACACCCACACATGCACACACCAGTTAAGTACTGTACTACTGAGGTTATTCTATTTACATTTATATATCAGAATGTCTTATTATAGCTTTATGGTCTGTTACCTCACCCTTAAGCACAACTACAGTACATGGGAGTGGCTGCCGGTATCAGCTGCCAGTCAAGGTAACACTGATAAATGGGCAGTGGGGGGCGGAGGGGAGGGAAGGGGGAAAGCACACAGAATCTTTCATCGTTTTAGTAACAAAATCGATTTTGGGGAGCAGGGAACCCGGACGTTTAATCCGAAGTCTCTCAGTACATGGGGAGCCAGTCAGGGTTATGTTGAGCAAGGATACTCTCTCTCTCTCTCTCTTCCTGGTCTCAGAGAGCCACGAACTGTCCTGTTAATGGTGTGGCTTTTACTCTGGATTCAGGCTGGAAGACCAGGTAACACCTGGTACCCAGAGCCAGTCTGTACTCCAGGCGAGGACCTCAGGGTTGATGGTGTCTCTTGAAAGAAAGGCTGTGAAAACGCGTATATGTGGGCATTTAGGAGGGGTGGGGGGGGGGGGGGTGGGCTTCAAAGCTAAGAGTCTTCGTCTATTTCTTAATCCACACACACCCCTTCCCTTCCCCATCTTCTGAGGTTTGGTACCCCTCATTCGGTCACCCTACTAGTTCCCACTCTCCCTGCCCTCCCCCACCCCACTGATCCTAACCCTCAGCTCGGGTAGGGGATTGGTTGGGAAACAGTAAAAGCAATCGGGAAATGGCAGGGGGTGGAAACTCAAGTGTGCTGCGGGGCAGGTTGGGTTGGGCTGGGCAGGGGTCCACCACCAACAGAGAAAACACCAGCAAGGTTGGCATCACCCAATTTGCTTGAGTCGGGCGTGAGCTAATCAATGAGCAAAGCCAAGATCCACAAGGCAACAACCCTCCCCCTCACCAATGCGAGGAACATCGCCAGCTCAACACACACACACACACACACACATATTAATTAATTGCTCCTGCCAAACATGAAAGCCAAAATACTGTACTGCGAAAGCAGGAGAGAGAAACTCGAGACCTCAAGGCAACAACTGGAATGTTGTGTAAGGAGTGGGCTCTGCGGAACGACACTCACAGCCAAACCCCATTGGACCCAAAATGCAAATGTTTGCTGGTTACTGTTTACATCCGACATGTTTGGGGAAATCAAGACAGTGGCCCGAGGCATCGTTTGTTCTCCACTTCCCTTTCTGTCTAATTGATTTGATTCACATTTCGAAGGCAAGAGATGGGAGAGAGAGGAAATGTACACAGACAAGACACAGACAGACAGACACAGACAAGACACACACACGCACAGTAAAATCTAATAAGAATGCTCCTGGGAAGGCTTATTAAAAGAGCCCCTTTGGAAGATTCCCAATTTATATACAATGAGTCAGAGCTTGAGACCTAATCTGTACTTTACAGGAACTGCCATGTACGCCTTTCCGTGACGCTACAAAGATATTGAGGGGGTAGGACTCCAGTCACTCGGTTCAAAGTGTGCCTGGGTCCTGGGTGTGGGCGCACACAATCCAGGAAGAGATAATAAAACAGGAGAATGAATGGGCTCTTCCTCCCTCCACACTGGGGCTGAAATCTTTACGTTTAACGTGGGAGTTGCCACAAGCGGAGGTGGTGCATTTCCTGGTGACAGCAACACTGCCGGGGAGGTCGGGGGGCCTCAGGCTCTGACCTCCCCACCCCCTCCACCAACACACACACGCACACACCAGAAAAGAGTACATGCCATCAACGTGGGGGGGGGGGGCTTTAACATAGAAGGACATGTGCCATTAATGGGGCAAACCGTGTGGCATCAAAGGGGCAGGGGACCTCACATGCCATCAATAGGGTGAGCTGAATGGCATCACAGTGGGTGAGGGAGTCAGCAATGGAACACCTGTCACCGGGGGAGTGGGGGTAGTGGGGGTCAAACCCATTTTGCAAATCCAGAAGCGTTCTGGGAATATACAGAGCGAGACTCGGGTCTGCAGTGCAATCGGACATTTTATTTCAGGAGTGACGGAACAGTTAAAAAAATAAAGCGATGCTTTTCTTTTTCGAGAAATGAAAAACCAGAAGCGGTGATGACTTCACAGCAGTGAAAGCCTCACCGGGTGACCGCACCGAGCGGGTGGACAGCAAGAGCAGGTCGGATGAACAAACCAACAGACACATTCAACACGAGACGTGGGGGCCCTCCCCCCGAAGCAGAGAGAGGTTCACAATGACTCGATTTGGCCGAATTGTTGGAATTAAATTTTAACACCCATTTACATTTTCCCGTGGCTCTTAGATGGGACAGAAAAAAGAAACCCAGCAGACTCAGGGTGAGCCAAATTCTGGGCGCTCTCAAAACGCTACGCCACTGAGAGTGAGTGTGGACCTGTGCGGAGTTCCTCCCTCCCCACTGATGTCAAAGTCCGCGGCGTGACGACTTGACTAAAATCCCACTTGCAACTCAACACCATCCAGTTTCTGCCTCTCTCTCTCTTTCTCTCTCTCTCTCTGTCTCTCTCGCAGACACACCCAGCGGGCAGGACACAGTAACTGTTCGCTTCCTTCGGTCCCTCCACCGATGCTCCCGTGCTCTTGAAAACAGAACAGAAAGGACCAGCGGAACACAAGCGCTTCGGGTCCCTTAAGAGAAGGTCGACACACAAAGGGGATGGGAAGCAGGGGGTTGGGGGGGGGGGCAGTTATTGCACTTGAACTGAATAAATTACTAATAAGGCAAAAGGGGACAAGTGTTCGGAAGGAAAGGAAACCCACAACAGCACAATACTGTCACTCACTGGAGTAAAAACGCCACATTTGAAACCAGTTAGTTTTTGGATCCAAACACACAGCCATATTAACGGTTACGTCACGCAGTAAACTCTAACATTTAATATATTTTTTTCTCTGCACGGGGATAAAATTTCATAGTGTTTTTTTTTTTGTTTGTTTGTTTGTTTGTTTTAGATTCCTCGGGGGGCCGGCTCACAACAAATCAGTATTCCTAGAAATATCTGAAGATTTTATTTTTTTTTTTAAAAAAAAATCGTCTTAAAACGAAGATCTGGTTAGTTTTCCTCGAGGACATTTTGCGTCGTTTTGCTGTCGGGAGAGCGTCGGAGCCACAAGTGGAAGTCTTCTTTAAGAAGCTTTTGTTTTCCACGGAAAAAAAAAAAAAAGAAAACAGTGAAGAGAGTTAAAATCAGTTTCCGCTTAAAACGCTGGGGCGAGTTTCTCTCCTGATGCTCCAGCTGTGAGCCCTGGGGGCGTGTGGCTGGCTGGTGCTTTGGGACGTCCTCCCGACAAATGTAATTTGTTGTTGTTGTTGTTGTCACTGACTAGCGCAACGGCTGCCCTCCCACCCTCCCCGGTGCTTGACCCAACCGCTTGTTCAAAAAAGTGGCATCAGGGCACATTCCAGCCGGTCAGAAATGAAACGGAAAAGGCCGCTCTCTGGGACGACGTGCATTCATTTATCCATCGCCTTCCACTTACGAGAGAACATCTCAAAAGTGCTTCGCAGATGGACTGGGGGCCGAGCAGGATAGAATAACGGTGGGCAAAGGCGCTATTGTTTTTAGAGAGAGGCGGGTATTTAAGGTGAGGTTACGAAGGCGGGGCCATAGGGTACGAGGCGGAGGGATTCGGGGAGATGAACGTCCGTAGAATTCTCTCCCCGCTGAACCTGCTCCTCAAGGGGGACTGAGTGAGAACAGAGCAGCAGAGGTGGCTGCTGTTAACACCGCTCAACCCGCACTCAAACCCGCCTTGCTGGCTGGGCGTAGGGCGACTGAGGCCATCTCTGCTAACCCCCCCCCAGTCACAGGAACCACAGCACATTACAAAGGGCTGTTAGGGAATGACCAGCTTCAGAGGGACCCTCTGTACTTACAGCATAAATAGGAAACCGTGCTCTACTCATCTGTAGCCGTCAGGCCTCGCACGGGACCGTTCATGATCATCTGAGAGGTGAGGAAGAACACATGCATCAGTGCCCAGTGCCTCCATAACACAGTCACCGCTCTAGCCCCACAACACACACTCCCTCACACGCTCACTCCCTCTCTCGCTCACTCCCTCACACGCTCACTCCCTCACACACCTGGTCCAGCTCCTTCTTGGTTTCATCTTCCATGCGGCGAATGTCCTCCATGGTCAGGTTGATCCACTTGTCGATCCAGCAGAAGAGTTGACGGTGGAAGACGGTGAACAGACGCTTCTCTTGCTGTGACCAAACAAACAAGATGCAGCTGAGAGCCTGCCTGACTGAACGCTGGGCCGAGCTGGGCATTGAACGGGGACAACTGATCCAAAGTTTATTTCAAGACCAAATCCTTCCGTATTCTTAACCTTGATAGTCGTTTGACGAGCACCCGTAACGCCAAACACCTGCACGGGCCTCGCATGAAATTACTGCCCAGTGTAGTGACTGTGTATTTGTAGACGGACGCGGCAGCTAAATGTGGGCAGAGAAGCCCGCCAACAGCAGTACAACAACTTGCATTTACAGAGCGCCCTTCAGGCGGGGTAATGTCTCAGAGCGCTGGTGTGGTTTGAGGCCGAGCTGGGGAGGAAGGGGAGGTGACCACAGGCACGATCGAAGAGGAGCAACCATGAGGTGAATAATCAATATACTTGGGTCAGTCAGGACAGTGAGAGAAACTCCCTTTTCTCTTCCAGTCTTCAACTAACGTCCACCAGGACAGCTGATGGTATCATGAACATCAATGGTGGCCAGAAGTGGCCCATGAGGCCCCCAACCACGCCCCTTCCCCCCCCCCCCCCCCAACCAACATTCTCATGAGCTCAGGAAAGTCTGTGTTCGATCGGTAGGATGTTTATTTTATTTATCTTGTTGGCTAACCATAAATGCTTGTTCATCGCTGATTTACCCGACAAATCGATTTACAGTGTAAACAGTGGCAGCCGTGACAACAGCTGTTCTACCTACGAAGTGCCCTAAAACAAGACGTGTTTCATCACAAGGTGGCTGTTATTTTGACCTCTTGCTCCTGCCATTTCTGTATCTTTCTTTTTGCTACTCTATTTGGTCTGACTTAGTCAGTCCAGTTCTCGACTGAGTCAGAAAGTTGTGGGTTCAACCTTCTCGTCACAGCTTTGAGTTCACAGTCTAGGCTGGTGCTCCAATACACTGCTGAGGAAAGGCTGCACTGTCAAGAGGTGCCGTCCTTCAGATGAGATGTGAAACCAGGGTCCTTTTCTGCCATTTAAAATGGCTGTCAAAGATCCCATGGCATTATTCAGGAAAGAGAAGAGCTTCTCCCGGTGAGAACCGGCCAACAATCCCAAAGATAAAGTGTCGGATGTCGCTGTGCGTAAACTGGCTGCCGAGTTTGTCTACAAAATACACATTCACTACACTTTTCTGACAACTCTAAAGCGCTCTGAGAGGATTTTTGTCGTGACTGTATCAAATGCAAGCATTATTACTGTTTAACTTCAGTCGGTATCCCAGCACTGAAATCAGTTTATCCGTCAGAAAAGGTTAAGCCCTGAATTTTCCCCACGAATGAAACCCGATGTTGATCTTCTCAGCCTAATCCTCCCTGATGTTTTGTCCCGCTCTCTCCTAGTCCCAGGACCTCACCCAACGCTCATCCCCCACCAGCTCAGCACCCTCACCTTCTGGATGAAGCTCTCCACTTTACTCTGAAAGCCCCACCACTTGAACTTCACCGTCACCAGTTTGTAGGCGCACATGTGCGGACAGTCCGTCTTCTTCAACAGCTCTTTCTGCAACACAGCGGAGAAGGATGTAAATCGTGGTGAGGTCTGACATCGCCAAAACTCAGAACAATACCAGACACGTGGGAGTGCTGGTCGGCCAGTGTAGAGGGAACTTCACTCTGTCTCTAACCCTGACCTGGGAGTGCTGGATGGATAGTGAGCTTCACTCTATCTCTAACCCTTGCTCCAGTCAAGCGCATTAATTGACAACCATTTGTGAGGTTGGATCACTAAAGTGTGCCCATTATTTTAATGTTTTGTCCTGATCGTTTTAATCCCTCCAAGCGAAACGCAGAGAGTAATTACTTCAGAAACAGAGAGCTGCAGGTATGCACTGCGTATGATCTGGGATAAATAATGCAGGAGGCGGGTTGTAAGTATTTATTGGGAAATTAAACCCAGGCACACGCGGGCCTGGAGAAACAATGAGCTTACGATTTGTGAACCGATTCAGAGCAGGGTAAAAGGATGGAGCCAGCCTCTTATAGAGTCGGTCAGGGAGAAATCAAAGCATTTTAACGGTTGTGTAAAAATTCCTCCCATTTCTCATGGTCCCTCTCTCTCTACACACCTACCTGCCCGTACCCTCCGTCCCCTACCTACCTGCCCGTACCCTCCGTTCCTCTGGCTCCGGTCTGCTCCACGTCCCCCGCCCCAACCGCCCTACTATCGGTGGTCGGGCCTTCAGCCTCTCAGCCCCGAGCTCTGGAACTCCATCCCCCAGTGCCTTCGCCTTGCTTCCTCCCTTTCCTCCTTCAAGGCCGGTCTCAAAACCTTTCTCTTTGACCGTGCCTTCAGCTCCCCTCTCGACTCTCTTCCTCCTCCTCGCTCCCTCCCTTCCCTCCCCTCACCCTGACCATTTCCCCCTCCTCTCTCCCTCCCTTCCCTCCCCTCACCCTGACCATTTCCCCCCTGCTCGGGTCATGACCCAACTGTGCAGCGCCTTGGGACGTCCTCCTGACGTGAAAGGCGCTCTATAAATGGAATCTTGTTGTTGTTACACAGGATGTGATGCACAACTTGCTTTCAAACGCTGAGTGAGGTGGTGGACAGGTAACCAGTTTACAGGCCACTGACTCTTTAGTGGGTGAGCGAAACCCTTATGTACCCGCTCCCTTAAATAAAGGTGCTGAAATTCACAGACGTGGAGGCTGGGCAACACATGGCATCAGGTGCTGGTACTCAAGCCACAGGAGGCAAGCAGACTCCCCACCACCCACCTCCCCAGACTGTCCCCCAGGAAGAGCCATTGTTTTCTGCACAAGGAAGCATTGGAGGGAGGAAAATAAAATAACTTGCAGGACGGTGTCCCATTGCGCTTGACAGTGACAGAGCATGATGTCAAGCCGGGGGTTTGGAGGGGAGGGAGAAGATGACCGTAGGCACGGTCGAAGAGGAACATCTTCATGCACGACTTGAAGATGAGGAAGGAATGGGCAAGACGGAGGGATGGAGATAAGAGTGTTCCAGAGTTTCAGCAGGTAGTGGCTTGAAAGCGCAGGCACTGATGGCGGAACAGAGGGCACGAGCGACATGCAGGAGGGCGGACGGAGCTGATCAGGAGGAGGTAATGGGTAGCGTGTTGGGGAGTGAGTCGGTCGGAGACGTAAGGAGGTGCCAGGGTATGAAGGGAACCTGTAAGACAAACACGCAATCAGCACCTTCCAGTTGGGGCCCAGCGGCCCACGCCCGGTCTTCACAGACTTGAACACTGCCGGGTCCTCATCGTGTTTGTAATCCTGAAGCAGGAAGAGTTAGCGACAGCCTCGATGAGTTACAATCTGTTATCGCTTGACACCTCTCCCCTGAACGGAGATCGACCGTCGCTATGCTGCACAGTGTCGTGCCCACAAACGGACAGAGTTTGACATTGACATGCCACCTACACACACATGTAAACTCTTCCACTCCACATCTGCACCCCCACCCCCACACCCCCCCACCTCGGTCTGTCCAGTCTAGTGTTAGAGGTCACTCTGCACCAGGATGTCATGCAGTACCGCCCTTCCGCCAGCATGTAGCGCCAGCGGGCTGTGGCCGTACGAAGCGCAAGCACAGAAGACTGACCGCCAAGTGCCAATAACACACACAGGAACAGATCACACTGTTTTATGGTCTTTTCACTTTTATCATCCTTTTTATGAAGAAAATCCACCCCACTCCCTTTTGCCTCTGACCCAGGAGGCACTGCCGCCTAGGTCAGAGGCGAAGGGAGCGGGTGGATTTTCTGACGAAAGGTTTAGAGGTGCACGAGGCAATTTCGGGACAGACACCGGGAAGGTTTTTTTTACCCACAGAGTAACTAACAACTGGAAATAGGGCTGCAAGGAAGGGTGGTTGAGGCCAGGACACAGACTCATTTAAAAAGCGGCTTGATGTGGTGGTGGGGGAGGGATAATACTATGGATATTCTGGAGAGAATATTGTATGCATGAGTGACGTTAATAATGATATATGGGGGAGGCTTGAGGGAGTTTGGCGAGGAGTATAAACAGCGGCACAGATGAGTCGAGCCAAAATGGCCTATGTACAGTCTATGCAATTTTAGGCACTAACAGCCAACTCACTCGTGAATGGATCTGGCTCCGATCAGCGATGTCTAAATTAATGACTTCAGTGGATTTCCAGGTGTTGGGATCCAGGCCGTGTACCTGCCATCGGGGAGGAGACAAACAGGAGTCAAGTCTATTCCAGTGGAAGCTTCGTTCACAACCGTAATCCTGGCATTTCGCAAAGTGCCCTTCACGTCAGGAGGGCATCTTAAAGCACTTTACTTGTACGTACTTAATTGTAAGCAAACGCGGCAGCCAATCTGCACACGAGGTCCCACAAAAGCCCAAAGCACGGAGAGCAATTGTGTGACTGCCTCTCTCTCCCATCACCCACCCCAACCCGCAGACCCGCATACTCACGTTTTCAGTGCTCCCCATGTCAGGCTTGTGCCAGGTCTCAATTTTAATCAGGAAGTCATCCTTCATGTACTCGTTCTGTAAAAGGAGTTCAAAGCTTTAGGGCTCTTATATACCGGAAATAATGTCAATGAAATAAAAACTAACAATTTTCACTTTTTATACAGCGCCTGGAACATTAAAATACTGCCGAGCGCCTCACAGTAACTAGTATAAAGTGTCGTGTCTATTTGAAGGTGATCATAGCAGCCAATATGGGAATAGCATCGACCCACAGACAGCCATGAAGTCAATGAGCATTTTTATCTGGGGAGATTGTCGGCCAGGACATGGGATAAACTCCCTTCTTTTCAAATAGTGTTGCAGGATCTTTAATATCCCACTGCACAGGCACAAAAGGGACTTCGGTTTGAAGTCTCACCCGAACTGGTGTCTTATAGTCTTTTAGTCTTAATTGCAGCTGTTATGTGCCAAATGCATTTACTAGGAAAACAAATTAGTTGGAAGATTACAGAGGAACACTGTGACCAACCAAGAGAGTGCTCCCGAGTTACTGTTTAACTAGTGTTAAAACAGGTTCTCTCTGGGTTACGCTAGTGTAGGCGATGGAGGGAGAAATCAGTCCGGGAATTGAACCCAGGTCCTCTCACTTGTGAGACGAGCGCTCTAACCAATACGCTACAGGACGCCATGTAATAAGCAATAAAAAGATCTCAGAACTGACAAGTCACATTCTCGTGGCACTCGAAACGATTTCCAAGAGAAGAGCGAGTGTTTGACAAGTAACTTACTGTGATGACTGCACAGCGGCAACGGTGGGAGCAGGGAGGAGAGAGAGAAAACAAAACACACAAGTGAATACAGATGCAATTTACACAAACCGCGTAGACATCTATTATTCTCTTGAGACTCTCTACTGAACTAGGCAGACTGCACGGTTTAGTCACTAAAATCTGCAAGACTCCTTGCCAACTAACCAGGTATTTACCTCGAAATGCAGAAGGTCCCTGATTGCAAACCTACTACTTAAACCTGAGTGGGAGTGACCAAAAACACAGAGATTAGTCGAAAGCATTTCAACCATATTTTCTTTTTGCTCAGTTCTTTGTGATTCCCAGGGCAAGTATGTTGGTTATCAGTGTCACCGCTCAAAGCTTTGAGGCTTGTCCCAACATCCGATTTGGAAGGGGTTTTGCCAGGATTCATCCCATTTCCAACCCTTGACCCACTCTCTCCCTCTGTGATCTCCTCCAGCCCCACTCCCTCCCTCCACTCTGCAAACTCGGCCTTGCTGCATATCCTGTGTCCGATTATCAGTGCCGAGCCTTCAACTAATATGGAACAATACGGAATAATAACAACCTGAAAAGGTTGCAAGCTAGAGTGGTTCAGACCAGGGCCCTGGGACTCATCACAAACGACAGCTCAATGCTGTGATGGGAAGACAGGTATCCTGGAAGGATGAGATCAAATGGGCCAAAGGGCATTTATACTAATTTGATGATTTCATTCACTGCATCGCTGACCCAACCCTTCTACTCTTCGACCACTCCTTTGTTCGTCTCAGTCTAACCTCCTAGCTTGCTCTGCTTCCCTCACCATTTCTGTGAAGTGCTTTAAGATGTTATCCTATGTGAAAGGCGTTATACGAGAGCACGTTGCTGTATTGAAATCCAGGAGGCTGTAGTTGGGGGTCTTGATGGTGGAAAAGGACAGACCAGAAGTAACGAAAGTAGGTATGTCAGGCTGAATTTGTGTATTAATAATAATAATAACTGTTCCATTTGATTTAGCACCTCATCACCACGTCAAGACGTCTCACAGGATATACTGCAAGGTGGTTTGACTGTGCATTTTGCAGACAAAAGCAAATTGATATTAAGGGATCTGGAGAAAGATTAAAAGATTAGCAATAATCTAATTAACTGGCAGGGCAAGCTCAACAGGCAGAATGGTCTACGCTGTTCCTTTGTACTGAGTGCTTGGGCAAGATAAGAATGGTGTTTTGCATGATGGAATAAGAAGGGTGTTTAAAGGCAGTGTTGTAATGAAGGCTAACCTCAATTAACTCAACAGAAACTGGGAATTCCCAGAATACTAAAAATACAACTGAATCGGATCTAATGAATACACTGCAGTCTGCTTTCTGGGCAAGACATCCAGAGAAAGTGCCTGATGATCAGTGTAATGTAGAAGGGGATCCCCTAAGCCCGAGTGACAATAGATTTATGAATGGCTGGTAGGTAAGCAAGCACAGCTGTCAAACCAGGGGTGAGACTTCTCAAAAGAAAACACGTCAAGAGAGTGAGGGGAAAAAATGTTACAAGAAAAAATGGGGAAACGGCACTCAAAAGTCTGGTGTGGAGACAGGTTGTGAAAATGGGACGGAGAGATCTGTCGTGAATGAACAGCCCTGTCAGACCTGGAGTGTCTGTGTGAGAATGTCAGCCACTTGTATCCTAGAGTGGGCTGGCTCTCAGTGACAGTGATAGATAAGTGACATCAGGATACAATTTCCCTGGGCCAGACAGTGGGTATAATAACAATAATCCTTGCCTCATCACGTCTTCGAGACATTCAAAGGGCTTCACAGGATATACTGTAAAGTGAAATGACTCTGTATTTTGTGGGTGAAACCTGTGAAATTTTGTGGTATCCTGGGGTTTGCGAAAGAGACCAGGGAGGAAGCTTGGGCACTGGCTACAGTCGCTGAGAACCCCTGTGGTTTTGCGCTGTTTAAACAGAACCAGTTTCTAAATTAAGACTGCTTTTAGGAATTTTCCATGTTCCTCCGCGACATGTTAAATTTTAAGACAGAACATAGCCTCAAGGGCTAACTCCAGGTGGGGTTTCTGGTCCTGGACCGTGTGGAGTTTAACAGGCACACACGTACTTCGCAAGGCTCGTCCTCTCGCAAACTCACATCCAGTGTCTAACCCACCTGCCTGCAGCCGTCGCTAAAATATTTATGCGGTGCTGAAGTAACACGGTACGGGAGCTCGACAGGTGGCAGGGCTCTGGTGTCACCTCACTGTCATGGCAATGACACATTCCACCAGGTTGGACGGGGGCTGATGAATAAAATAGTCGCTCCCTGACGCTGGGAGCTTGTATTTCACGGGGCTACCTTTGCAGCCATTGTCCGGCCCTGGCCAGGCGGAGAAGTGGGGGAGGGGTGGGGGGGAGATTAATCTCCATCAGCGTGCTGCTAGGCTGACACAAAAACCCTCATTTAAAATGGGAGAGCAGCTCAGGTTGTTTGCCACGTGGCGGTTAAGACTGCCCGCAGATTTTCTTAAAGGGGCTGTGCCGCTCGGAAGAGTAACAGCAGCTGCCTGAAGCTGCGAGGATTCACACCGCAGAGCGGGGGGTGGGGGGGTGAGGGTGGGAAGACAAAAGTCTCCCCCCCCCCACCCGCCTTCGTCCCATAAAATCCAATGAACTGATGATGATACCAAGGCTCCCAGTGCAGAAACTACCCAAGCATCTCCCTATATCTCTGATCTCCTTCTACCCCTCTGTTCGCCCCCTTGTTTGGCTAACGAGCTTATTGCACGTCTCCCACTCCCTCCGCACCACCACCACCAGTGGCCAAGCTTTCAGATTCTGTATCAATGCAAGTTGTTGTGCGGTGTGTAACAGCAAGACAACTAAAGTAAGAACCGGAAGAGGGGCTTCGGAAGCGTGACTGGACAAGAGGGGCAGCAAGGACCAAACAGAGGTCACCTGCATCCCACTCCTCCTTTCTTGATGATTTCTCCATTGCAGAAGCTGCCGGTGTGACCCAGTAGTGAGAGGGCAGGTTTCACTCCCAATTTCTTCACACAAACAATTCCCAATCTCAGCCGATTTGAATCGAGATGGTGGGAGGAAAAACCTAACTCAGAGAGCAAGTCAGCTAGCTCTTTCATCCATCCACTTGACCGTTGATAGAGCAGTTTGGCTGTGCCTTTATGCAAGGGAAACTGAAAAAGGATGTGAAAACAGATTTCTCGTAACATGCAAAGCAGAGGGGGAAGAAGCAAACACATCATCCCTGTACCAGCTTCACAAGCTGTTGGCTTCATTTCTCTCAAGACACTGAAAACAAACACAGTAAAAAATGGCTAGAAATTAGATCCCTCAATTAATCCTGCTCCTTCAGCCCATGAGGAAGCAGGAAGCTCTCACTTCTCTATGCGAACTGGAAGGGAAGGGTTGGAGAGGAAAAGAGGATCAAGAGCAGGAACTAAAGTTTGTAGCTAGTTCCTTTCCACAGTACAAACACAAGCCAGGTACATGGTGGTGTATTCTTTGTTAATTCATTGGAACTCACTGCCTCGGTAAGCTGCAGAAGCTGCATTAATTGGGCTGTTTCAAAGGGGGTGGATAGATACTTGGGAAATAAGAGCATTTAGGAATATGGAGAAAAGGCAGGAAAATGCCGTTAAAAGATTAGTCAATAATCTGGTGGAAAAGGCACGCCAAGGATCTACGAACTCTTCCTGTTCCCATTACTGAAACCACAGGAAGTGAATCTGTCACTGGCCCACAGTGACACTGAAGTAACTCAGGACAGAGCTCGCTGACAGATTTTCAAGTGCATTGTTCTGTCGAATTCCCCTCCCTCCTCAGATGGCAGGAACTTGTGCCAGGGTACGGATACCATGGGCTAAGGCCAAATTCCGCTTGGGTACCTTCACCACTCCTTCATCACACGCTCCTTCACCAGGGAACACAGTCATGACATCAGCACGCATAGAGTGTAACAACCCCTAAATTTATGGGGCTACTGGTAGAGCCTGGAACACCTTCGGAAGTGATTGAGCCGAGGGTCTGCTTAAGGACCCTTTTGGGATAAGGAATTAATCCATACACTGAGTTACAATGATAGTGTTTCTTTCCCCCCTCAGTCAAAACAAGCACGAGGGGCTCCTGACCCCAGCGAATGGATGGGGCACTTACCTGTTTTGCAGTACGGGTAAGCGTTCCACGCCTTCTCATGCACGTTCAGCGCCCCCTCTGGAGCCAGTAACTGCACGAACGTTGGCACCTTGCTGAAAGAGCACAATTTTACCATTTCACCAGATGGCGGGATGGAGATCACCCCGAGCACAATCCCCTTCTCTCTGAGCAACAGATCGGTCGGTCCAGGAGAGAGACAGCGACAAAAGTCACCAGAACGGGGTTCTAAAAGGCGACAGTCTAACTCGCCATCAACAGAATGGATTTTCCAGAGTCTTGTCCAGTGACTGGGATTCAGTCACCAACAAGCTCCTATGCAACTGGTTGCTGCAGGGGAGAGAGGGAGAGGGTCACAGTTAGAGGAGAGGATAGCCAAGGTTCATATTGGAAAAGGACCTTTGTTCAGTCCAGCACTTCCCAGTGCATGGGGGTGGGGGGGGGGGGGGACACTCTGCGATTGGATGGGACTTAGAGCATCAACACACCGTGGTTTACACACAACACACACCTCGTGAACTCTCTTCACTGTCTACACTAAACACACAATGATGGCAATAGGTCGCTTAAATCACGTCACTGGTTGCTGCAGCTTTGTCGGATTGGACAGGAGGCATGGCAGTGTACTTGCTGAGGGGATGATCGGTCACTCGCTGCTTACAGTCAAAAAACACGCACTGCGAGCGTGTGATTTACCGCATCCTCCTCCGCGATCTGGCTGGGACCGGATTACCTTCAAAGAGTGCGAGCTACACTGGAGTCTCACACGTCCCCACCAGCATTGCTGAAACAAGCCAGCCTTTGAACACAGCTCAGGTGTGGGTGGGCGCATAGTCACTCTGCTTCCAGCTGTTGCCCACATTCACTAACTGAATCTGGTCAATAACTGGAAGGATGGAGTATCTGGGCACCTGCACTGCAGGCATAGTACTTGGGTGTCTGTTGCAGTTGCAGGAGGGAACAGTACAGTACTGTGAAGTTGGCTTACTGCTGTAGGTGGTAGATCTTGTGCGTGTACTGCCCTTTCTCACCGTCCTTCTCATACGGTTCATTTTTCAGCACCTCCACCCCTTCCCCGCCGCCAGTCTCATTCTTGCTCGCCTCAGCCACGGAATACAGCTGCCCCACTTGGTACTGTGGGGGGGGGGGGAAACAAAGCGTTGGTCAAGGCACATACACAGCCACTTCTCCACTCGGGGTCCTGTGCCGCCTGCTCACCTGATGGAGCTTCTCAAACACTCGACACTAGTGTATCTGCTCAGACCAATTCCTTTTTTTGTTTGACGTCTGAATGTCTGACACACGCGGAAACCCATTACCATGCTTAAGAGTATCCGAAGCCAGGCTTCTACACGTGTATGTCACCCACATAAGGAAATTTCCATAAGCTTGGAATGGAATGTGCACTCTCTCTCCCTCTCTCTGGAGGAATGCATCCTACATATTTAAATCAACAACAACAACTACTTAGATTTATATAGCGCCAGAGACTCGGGGCATAGTGGCGTAAGGCACGGCCGCCGAGGGTGGAGGACTCGGGGGACAAGGAGGAGGCCAGACTCGGAGGAACGAAGGCAACGGGCACTTGTTCTGAGGATAGAGGAGGTCAGAGAGATAGGGGGGTGCAGAGGAGTGGAGGGATTTGAAGACAAGGGTGAGGATCTTGAAGTCGATCCTCTCTGGGACAGGCAGCCAGTGCAGACTGGACAGGACTCGGGGGATCGGGAGCGGAGTTTGGTGCGGGTGAGAATGTGGGCGGCAGAGTTTTGAATAATCTGGATTTTATGGATGGTAGTGGAGGGGAGGCCGGCGAGGAGGGCATTTGAATAGTCCAGCCAAGAGATGACAAAGGCATGGTCCAGGGTTTCAGCGGCTTTCGGAGAGAGGTATTGAAGAAGACGGGTGATGCGTCAGAGGTGGAAGAAAGCGATGCTGGTGAGGGACCGGATGTGGGGGAGGAAGGATAATTGGGGGTCAAACCTGACCCCTAGGTTGCATATGGGTTCGGAGAGTTTTAGGGGGAGGTCGGCTAGGTAGAGGAGGGGGGCAAGGATGCATCCTTGGGGTACCCCGTGGTAACCGGGTGAGAGCGAGAGGAGAATTAACTCGAGAGTATTAGGTGCAGGATAGCCGGAGTTAAGGCTTGGGGACCCCAGGGTATGCATTGGAGTTTAACCAGCTAAAACCACACACCTCACCATTGAGACCACTGTCAGGCAAGCTTCCTTCTGCTGTCCGGCTATGACCACCTCCCTCGTTAAGAGATGTGGCTTGCAAAATTAACAGGAGCTGAGAGGGAAGAGTCCCTGCTTCAGTATGTCCTGCCAAGTCTCACTGCTGAGTCAGTTTGCCTGTCAGTAGCCGTGCCTTGGAGAACTGCAGACTATTCCTGACTCGGTGAAACTACAGACGAGAACGAGCTTCATTTTCTGAAGGGTCAGGAAAGGTTCTCGAGTTGAACCCTGACATTTAGCCAAGTCGGCTAACAGGAGGCACTGCCCCTGGCTGGGTCCCCAGACAAGAGGAGCTGCAGTCAGCCAGTCGGCACTCACCCAGAGCTTGTCTGGCCCCTGTCCCAGACACTGACAGCCCACAATCAGTCAGGCGCATCAGACACTATATTTAAAATAGTTTGGGTTAAAAAGATCAAGTATTGCGTGTTTTGCACACTATTAACACTGCAATAACAATAGTCATTATCCAGCAAGTGGTGGACTGCAGAGTCTCTCTTAGCTCAGTGTATATGAACCCCCCCCCACCCCCCATCACCACCACGCAAGATACCAGGGTAGGTTTAATACTCAATAAGCTCGCGTTCAGACTGGATAAAGTCCCCTTAACATAGAGCACAAACTTTACAGCTCTGCTGAAGGTATAAACGAACATATAGCATTACTGAGGCAAACTCTACCAGCCACTGTGTGGCTGGATAATTCCTTCTTTCAGCATGAGCTCAACTTTCTCTAAATCGGAGAGATTCAGGGATCAGCTTAATGGCATTACCTGCTAATTCCAGACTGGTAGTTGCAGTTCAAGCTACGCCAAACAAACAACCAAACAACCTGATTGTAAATTGCTGGCTGACAGGTTCTATCCAACAGAATGTGGGCATGTGCGAGGTAATTAACCTGAATCAGAGGACTCCCCTCTGCCAAGCGTCCACTGGGGTGACAGTGAATTGACTGTCATCGGCCAGTAGACCCCGACAGCATCCAGGTGCACGACCTCCCGCTTAATTACACATGTTCTGACGCACATTTGTGTTGTCCCGACACACCCCAGGGAGAGCAACAGTGCGCATGACAGCACAGGAAACGGTCGCCATAGTTTGGAAAGGACTGAGCACTCACGCACGCACACAGACTTGCACAGACTCATGCACACACCCATGAGCACAGACTTGTGCACATGCTTGCTGATACACTGTACTGTCAGTTCTATGGATTTTTGATGTGTTGAAAAAATAAATCCACAGCATCAGCCCGGGGAGTGTGGACATACTTCCGTGCTCTAATTCACCTGGGAAGGCTGGATAATAATAGTAATAATAACGTTCGCAATTGATACAGCGTCGTTCATGTCAGGATGATGCCTCGAAGCACTTGACAGGATTTACTGTCAACTGTGTATTTTGTAGGCAGCAACTACAAACAGCCATGAAGTCAATGACCAATTGTGTGGAGAGTGTACAGCATTACTTGGAATCTAACCTGCGCTGTAGCTGACCTGGGTGTGCCTGCTAATAGAGCTTTGCTCCCAGGCTCTGCTGCCCACTCATTAATGAGTCCAAAGTCAGCAAACAGACAACAGCTTAACGACGGGTATTGAGGTTTAAGGTAGGCTTGAAGGAAACGCTAAGATGGCTCCTGAATCATCCTCGGACCGTTCCCGGCAGCATCTTCTGGAAGCCCTATTGTATTCTGACACAGAAGTTATCCAAAGCGGGGGTCTGTTGCCGTCAGAGTGAAAGAGAGAGAGAGAGAAGCCTGCTACTCAGAACAGTGATAATAAGCCATCCTCTCTCTCTCTCTCTCTCGGCGTTCAAAGAGCACAGCGGGTCTCGGCTCTTGCCGTGAGTGCTGGGCTCTGTAATTGCAGCCGCTGGAGATGATGAGGGAGCAGGTACACCAGAGAGCAACACTGCACACGGCTGAGTGCCGATCAACACTTGCCGTGACTAACCTCGGGTTTGTTCAGATGAATGCGGGATTGTTGAACTGACCCTCCCGACCATTCTAGCAATGAGACAGTCACCATGGAGACCTTTTCTCTCAGCGTCAATGAGATTCATCACCGAAGGCTGGTGTCATCCAACTGTTTCCTGCCTCTGAGGAGCCAAGCCTGATCCTCTCCAAACCCGATATCCACACATTCTCAACACCCCCTGCCCCCCACCCCCCCATACACACACACCTTACTCGCTTACTCGCACCCCCCCACCCACTCACTCACGCACCCCACATACTTATTCCCCTTCCCCCATACTTATGTCCCCCCCCACCCACACACACACACACACACTTAATTAAGTTAGCTCAGCTCACCAACAAACCTTTCCTGAAACAAACTGGGCAGAAAGGGCATCAAGCAAGACAGAGAGCTGCAAGCTGGAGAACTTCAGTACAAGTCCGCTGGCTGGTTATATTGGCTAACATTGGGCACGTTCATGCCCAGTTCGATTCAGCGTGTATTACTCTGTTCAGACAAATGGTCTCATTGCAAGTTCATCTCCAAACCCATTTCAGGTTGAGTCCCACTGCTAAAAACAGTGCACTCAGGACACGAAGCTCCAGTAACCCAGCTTCACTGGAGACCCGCAGGCAGACAGGCCCTTGGGTGGATTTCCTTGTGGTACAAATCAGGAAACACAAACTTTAAAGAAGCCCGGAAAAACAAGAGAGGTGGAGGTCTGGGCCTGAAGGTTAATGTTACTTTACTTATTTTTTTTTGCACAACGCTTACTCAGAGCACATTAAGATCACGCCAGCTATTGTAACAGATCATGGGACCATGAGATTGTTGAGTGCATGTTTTGTCCAAGTTCAGACATGCCATTTATTGAACAGGAAGCTACGGAAATATGATTTAGTAACGAGCTAGTCCAGGCTTATGTTCAGAGGACAATCCCTCATACCAGAGCTGAGCTCTGTGCTTCAGCAGGTAATAATCCCTTCAAAAAAATAATAATTTGATCACTCCATCCACGACTGTTTGTGGGACGCTGCTGTGCGCAATTGACTGCCGTGTTTCACCCTCAAAATATACAGTCAATTCACTTTAAAGTATGTTCTCTGAAGCGCTTTGAGACGTCTCAACGACATGATAAGGCGCTGTATCAAATGCAAGTATTATTATCATTTCAGTCCAGAATGTCTCATATCAACCCACTTCTCTCCACCATTTGCTAAAGAGTGCATGAACTCCCTGTAAGCTGTAGAATCCTTGTGTTCCCCTCCACCGAGCCTCCTCTAATATACTCAGAAGCCCACGCAAATACAATTAATTTCAAAAACGTTGCTTTTTTGGAAGCAGATGGGAGAGATCAAAGGGCAACTGCAGGTCTCCTGCCATTACGTTCCATTATTTCATGTGTTTTTTTTACAATAAATCTACTGTAAATAATGCCAGAATTATACACGCTAATAGACGTGAGCTGAAATGAACACTGGTTGGCATTCTGGAAGCCATAAACAGCCCATAACACTGTCTTTGGCCACCATAAAATGGGAATTTATGGTCTCAAACGATGAAGTGGCACATCACAAAGCACGTATTCAGAGTGTTTTGTTTTCTCGCGTACCGTTGAGGGAGCGAAGCACATCTGCCACATATGTAAATCAGCAACATTCAGCCCTTAATAATAATAATAATCCTTGCATTTAATATAGCGCTTTTCACGTCGGGAGGACGTCCCAAAGCGCTTCACAGAACACACTGTCAAGTGAATTGACTGTATATTTGTGGGCGAACGCGGCAGCCAATTGCGCACAGCAATGTCCCACAAACAGTCGTAGATTGAAAATGACCAATTTATTTTTGTTTTGGGTTTTTTTGGAGGGACTATTATTGACAAACAGGATCTCTTTTGTAATTGGAAGCCCCCCTCCCCAAGAGTGACTACCATCTGAATAGGA